GTCGCTACTCCCCTTTACCTTCGTTTCAAAAGCTGCATACTAGATAAATACTAGATGATCAATAAGATCAGATCAGAAAACAAATCAGTGACAGTTTTGACTTTTAAACTATATCAGAAGCAAGTAATCCAACATCCTTCTTTACGTCTTTTAAACAAACATTAACGTGAAGACCTTTAACCTTTATGCTGCACACTGGACTCGTGCCTTTCTTCTTTAATCCCCCTTGTTGCCTTTACAGCTGATGCTTTGATGATGGGTCATGGGGCACTCAGACTACAGCGTAAAACCATCTGTCTAGCCATCAGGCATACCAAGAGTGTTTACTCTGTGTTCTGATAGCCGCTTGACAAGCAATTACAAGCTACTCATTGACTCTCTACAACTTGAAGGTAGTTTTATGGGTGAATGCCATCAACATCCCAGCTGACTCTGGTGATAATGGAGAAATATCACAGAGTCGAACAGAAGCCTGGGCTATAAATACTGTGAGGGGGTGTGAAATTTTTAATAGTGAACATGATAACTCAGTGTTTGTAGTCCCATAAAACAAAACAGCCGTAACGTCTCATTAATCATGGCTAAACAGAGCGCTGACATGTGTCAATACAGGGTGACAGATGCTGCTCTCTCCATGTGTGCTGAAAGGACCATTGTTATAAAGTGATGAATATATGAGGGCTGATTAGTGCCATACAAAACTATCACTGTTTGCTAGATTTAAGAGCTTTTTTAAGTTCATATTGCACACTTTAAAAAATACATAACTCCCATGGTGCAGCCGGTGAAGAGCCGCCTGTAGAAACAGAAGTGTTAATCATCTAGAACAAACTGGAAAATCAAAATACTTAAATGCAACATCCACATGTTTCAGACTTTCTTTTTTTTTTTTTTTACTTGGGGGCATCCTCGACCTACTTCCTGCTGAGGCCTGAGATAGAGTGACTCACCATAAAGTCTAGCAGTGAAACATTTATTTTAAGCTGCTTTCTGTAGCCTGATAGACTGGTAAGAACAGACTGTAGTCCCCTGAGGTTTGGGCTCTCCTACAGATGAGAAGGCTGATAGTGTTACACACAACCAGAAGTGGAGAGGCAGAGCCACTTTACTGACTCACACATGGCTGCACAAGTTTGGTTTGTAGACTGTAGTTTTGATTTTTTGAAAGATGTCTAAAATATGGACATACTTTTTTAGTTGGAAAGTTGGCTGACAAGATCAATATCGCCTTCATGCACATGACAATGAAGACAGAAGCCAAAGCTAACTTTGATTAGTTTGGTGTAAAGGGGAAGAAAGCTAGCTTTGTTCTGCCCACTGATAACAGAATGAGTAAAACCAGCATCTCTACGGCTCAGATAAACTCTTCATGTGTTGACTCCAAGACTCCAGGCAGTCATTGCTGTCAGCTGGGAAATGGCCGACCACACGGTTACCGGTTACTTGTTTGTACACCAGTCATTTATAGAGCTGAATCCTAGATCAGAAATACAACGAAGGCATCTGAATGTGCTTTCTGCTGTTTGAAATATTGTTTTATCGTGTTTGTTATTATATCTTGTCTTAAATGTAGTAAATGGAGCTGTAAAGCCATATCTAATCTAATCCAACAATCTTGCCCAGATGTTTAGCGTGTGCTTTCTCTTCAATTTCTTGTGAGGAGTTTACCTTTTATGATATCAAAAACCAAATAAGACCATCAGAGATAAGATTGATCATTTTTATATCCTCATTTGTAATACCTGAAATGAGTGTCGAGGAGTAGGTGTCAGTTGTGCAGCTGAAGAAACAACCTGTGTTTTTTCTCATAAAATATTCACAATAAACGACAGATTTGACTTTCTAAAGTCAGGATGAAGAAGATTTTGTCAAAAGTGCCGCTTATTTAAAGAAAAGTAAACACTGTTTTATCCAAAGGGGGCGCTAAAATTGACATAGACCTAAAGTTCCATAAAGAGCTTTAATACACAGGGCTGTTATTTGAATACTTTAACACATAGATTACAGCAATCCACTTTTATCTTATCAATATTTACATTATTTAGAGTGAATACTACTCCATCAGGTATAGATACTGACATTAATACACTGTACTTGAACACAGTACTTTACTCTGTGCCTTATTCTCTCTAAAGATTTGTATAAGTAAAAAGAAAATCCAGATTATTCTGAACATTTCATCAAAGAGGATGGATTTTTTTTCTTGACTTGTTTGTCTCAGTATAAACAACAACAAAAAATGAATAGTGCAACATGATCGTTTAAGTTAACATCGGCTCAATACTCACTTAAAAATATCTAATCAGTCAATTGTGTAGCGATAAAAAGGCTTGCAGCCTGGTCCATGTGCCTGCCTCTTGCTTTGTGACTCCGGTGTTTACAGTGAATTCATAAAACCCAGCTGCATCATCTGCCTATTCATTAAAGCTGCTCAAACAATGTCTCCAGTCATGTCCTGCTGCTGAGGCCCCCATCTCTAATTTAGACTCTGTTATGGAAACAAACAGTCATTTGGAAACATCATTCTATAATTAAGCCGAGAGCCACGAGGGGCTGGAGCTCAGGGAGCTGCGAGGCAGATGCAGACACAAGGTGGAGGTGATTTTAAAGGCCTGAAAATATGCTTTATGAGTTTAATCATTTAAAAGTCATGAGCTAAAATCTGATTAATGAGGCACTTATTAAAGTTGGTAAAGGCCCTCGTGTCTCTTTGCTGCCTCCACTCTTCATTTTGCTTAAAAGTTGCTAATTTGATACCAAAGTTTTCACAGCATCTTCCCTCTTCTACTTCTTAATTTTTAGAAAGTTAACTTTCACTGGAGTACAGCTTAATATTTAACCAATAAAAATGAAATATTACTGATGATAAAAAGGCTCTCCTTTCATTATTTAAAGGAGCAGATATAAAAAGTTGCTAATCCAGGCTTCTGTGTGTTTAAGTGAGGTGGTCGTGGGGTCACGGGGAAGTACTTTCACCTCAGAGATACTTGACCCCTGAGCAGTTCATGTTCAAACAGACAGTCAGCTCGACTGAGGCTAACTGGCACCAGACGCCTATAACTGTCCTGCAGGCTCCGAGCCCTCCCATATCTTCACATCTGTGTGTGTGTGTGTGTGTGTGTGTGTGTGTGTGTGTGTGTGTGTGTGTGTGTGTGTGTGTGTGTGTGTGTGTGTGTGTGTGTGTGTGTGTGTGTGTGTTAGAGAGAGACAGAGAGTGTGTGTGTCGGTAGTAGGAAGCAGTAAATCACAGAAAGATGGATTCGCAACAGGTGGGGGAACTCTAAGAGGTGGAACAGACATGAAAAGTGATCAGGAAGAAGAAGTGGAAAATTGGGCATTCAGGGGTGATGGCGAGGAGAAAGAGAAAGAAGAAAAATGAGGACACATGGAGAGAGGGAGAGAGACGTTATATTCAAACAGAAAAGGTGGGCAAAGAGAAGAGGAAAAGGGGGACAGCTGGATGACAGTTAAATGCTGTAAAAAGGTGGTGTGGTGTTTTGAACGCAGCTTGAATTGCTGAACTGTCAAAGCCGTTCGTTCTGTTTGATCGCACACTTTATTTTTCCAAAGAGCTCCTGATCTCAATAGATAGAAAGAAGTGTCAGAGATGTTTGGGCTGCCACTTCAACATCATTAAAAAATAAGAGCCGAGCCAAACTACAAACGGCAAGAGTTTGATTTTTTTTTTGTATTGCAGGCTTTAAAAATGCAAATTTATGCAGATAAGTCACTATAAAAGAAGTTTATTAGCTGAATGAGGTTGGCTGTTGTATTTTACCTCTACATGCATGCTGCCCCAGGTTTGAAGATATGTCTTCCAAACTGCAAAACTGTCTTTTGTCCATACTTGTAATGGTTTATTAGTCACGCAACATCAAACTCTGTCTTAATGTACTTCAGCTCCTGCCTTATATGTATAATGGGGCCAAAAAATGAGCTGGTGAAGTTGTTTTCTTGGAATATCTTTTCAGAAAACCTGGTCAACATTCATACTTCAGCTATTCCATGTTCTTAAAGTCACCAATCTGAAATTTTAAACTTACCTTCAATGCATTTTAAGAAATTTTAGGTTTTGTATTACTGCTTCAAGCTTCCATAACCTGCATTTTATTTCCTATGGGATCTTATAGAAACCTTTGATTCTCGATTCTGTAGCTGTCAGGAATATATCTACAGAGGACATCACTGAGTATTTCAGAAGTGTCACCTCTAATAATAATAAAAATGCACACAGACACAGCAATACATGTGAGTATTGTCTTAATTCTGACCTCAGAGGATTGTTTACACCGTCAGATCTATTTGAATAGCATATTCACACATTCATGGTGAATGGTGTGTTTGCATGGGATACTACAGGTCAGTAAGGGTCCATTTAGTCATGCATTTGGTAAAAAAAATACTGTAGATAGTGTTATAACTTTTAAAATCTCCATGTTGTAATTTTATCTTCATATCCAAAAACAGAAAAGACTGAGACGTAACACGGGCGGCACAGTGGTGTAGTGGTGGGCACTGTTGCCGAACGGCAAGAAGGTTCTGGGTTTGAATCCGGGTCAGGGAGTTTCTATGTGGAGTTTGCATGTTCTCCCTGTGTCTGCGTGGGTTTACTCAGGGTACTCCGGTTTCCTCCCACACCCCAAAAACATGCAGAAGTGGGGTTAGGTTGATAAGCCACTTTCAAATGGCCCGTAGGTGTGAATGTGAGTATGGATGGTTGTTTGTCTCTATATGTCAGCCCTGTGATGACTGGCGACTTGTCCAGGGTGTCCCCTGCCTTTGCCCGAAGATACTGGGATAGGCTCCAGCCCCCCAACGGGAAAAAGCGGTAGAAAATGGATGGATGGATGAAACATAACACATTGTCATGTCTTGTATTACTCTGATTTTAAGCATTAGATTAAAAAAAAGTGTATTATTCCTTTAATTAACTCCCGGAATCTCTCTTCTTCTGCAGGTTTCTGGATTGTTCATCCCTCTGCGACCCTCCGCCTCTCATCATGAGCTCCTGGGTGGTGAACAGGAAAGGAGAGCCACAGTACCGCCGCCACTTCCTCACAGACAACAGCACCTTTCACGGTAAACACATCCCACACAAAAGAGTGACATTTATGATCACACTTATAACTGCATGTCACAGGAGTGAACAGCAGAGGGAGACTTGTACCCACCAGTGAACCTGTAACACTCAATAAAAGCTTTTAAGTGCAGACAGCTCAGCTGAGATACAATCTTGTGACATCAGTAAAACCTTTTTTTTACTGTTTGTTTTTGCACAAAGCCTTTTCTAAATGAGCTGTGCATGGATCTTTTTATGGACAGGAGAATGTGCACTTCATACCATAAAAAATACATGTGCATAAAAAAAGCAACATCACTTTAACAACACATCTCTCTGCATGGGTGATTCATACACATCAGAATTAATGCAGCATGTGTGGTTCTATAGTACCTATCTACAAGATGCATGCGCATATTTTTCTGCATGCATCAGCTCAAGAACCCTGCACAAACATGCTCATCTGCTCATTTCATGATGTTACATTACATATAGAGTGCTACACCAGAGAATACAGCTTTTTTTCCTTTTCACCCTCCTTGAAATATTCATAAAACATCAGTGTCATCAGGATGTATTTGTCTGAACGCTGACCAATAAATCGATGACACATCTCTGTTGCATCCAAAGCTCACGAACAAACCACTCAGAGGCTCACCTTGACTCTTAACAGCCAGCATCCAACCTGTGCAGTCTGAGCGTGTGCATTCTGATTGTACTGTCATAGAAATCAGGCCTGATTGCTTCAGCTTTCTACCGAGGATGATGGATTGATCTGGTTGGTGCAGAGAGTGAACACTGGTGTCTTTATATGTCTTGTCTTGAAAGAAAAAAAAAAAGGATGCAATCAACTTTACGGGAATTTCCCCCAGCTTTTATCAATTTGTGAAATATTTCTCAGAACTTAAAGTCGACTTTTCTTCCAGAAAATGGGAATGAAACGCCAACAGAGCATGAAATAGGAATACATTTTTATCAAGTTCCACTAGAGTGAAACTTAAACCCTTTTAAAATCGAATTGAGAAAACTTATTCTGATGATTATCTAGCAGCCTACAGTTATTTTGCTCAAACTAAACTATGTGGGAATAAATACGCACAGACATTGAGATTCTCCTGATCCTTGTCTGTATTTGCTCATGAGTATGACAGCTGCTTTTCCCATCACTCAGAACCACTTCCCTTTATTTCCGCATGACTTTGCGTCTTTCTGCCTCCTTCCTTCCTCGCAGTTGTTTCCAGTCTTTTTTTAATGGCAGCGTTGCTGATGGTTTTTGTTTGGACACGGTACATAAATCAGTCTGCAGAGAGGAGGAGGATAAAGTGTCTGTGATCGGGCAAGTGTGGATGAAGAGAAATTTATGCTTAAATTTGTGCGCAATCACAGGGAAGCCTTAAGTATGTGCAAGTGCAAATGGAGAGCTCTCATATGTGGTGGCCAAGAACTGCCACTGCTGCAAATAAAAAAAGAATGCAAAAAAAAAAAAAAAAACGCAGAAGCTGCTGCAAACTAAAAAAGAAATGGTGCAGATAAAAAAAAAGCCACAACGAAAGTTGACGCCAAAAAAAGTGGCAATGAAAAGAAAAATTTACTTACTGTGAAAATAAAAGTATGCAAATCCATTGTGGCTTTTTTTTTTTTTTGCATCCTTCTAGTTTCATAATAAATAACTTTTTTCCATTGCCACTTTTTTTTTGCATTGTTAACTTCCAATGTGTGTTTTTTTTTTAATCTGCACCATTTCTTTTTTTAATTACAGCAGGCTTCGATTTCTTTTTATTTATTTTTTTGCATCAGTAACTTCCGTTGTGGCTCCCCCCCCCCCCCCATCCTTTTATTTCTGCAGTAAGTAATTTTTTTTTTTTTGCATAGGTAACTTCCGATGTGTTTTTAATTTTTTTTTTATCTGCACCATTTCTTTTTTTATTTGCAGCAGGCTTCAGTTTCTTTCCTCTTTTCTGCATCGGTAACTTCTGTTGTGACTTCTTTTTTTGCATTTTTTTTTTAATTTTTTTATTTGAAGCAGAAGCAGTTTTCGGCCACCGTACCCACATGCACAGGGGCACACAGAAATGTAGAAGACAAGAAAATGCAGCAGTAGACTGATAATGGTGTCCAGACATGCTCTTTTTTTGGGTTCCTCTAGACAGCACTAATCGATTTGGTGTTCCCAGCCTTTGGCTTGTAATGCGTAACTGTGAAGTGTGAGTGTGTGAGTTGCGGGGTCATAGACATCTAAATGAAAAACATTAAACGTGGACAATAAGCATGAGAATGAGGAAAGATCTGGTGGCAAACTTTGAGTTAGGACACTCAGGGGAGGATGACTCAAGGACCTCATCACCACAAACTTTCTCACTCGCCATTAAAAACTTTCACTTTGATCAGTCTTTGGACCGAGTTCTCACTCTTTCAGATTCTCTTTTGCCCTCCTGGGACTCGCAGCCCTCTCCCTCTCACGCAGTCTGTTTTCCAGCTGATTGTTTGGGGAAGCAAAGACGCCCAAACTGAGGAACACTGAGACGCACACTGAGAGCGTAAAATGGGTCATAGCGCTGGCATCTCTGCGCATTGGTGACTTTTTTCTCTCTCTGGGAAATGAACAGAGGCATCGCTGCACAAAAACAAACAATCGAGAGTGACAAGAGTTCGTTTTGGTGGGAAAATCCAATGCCGCCAAACAGCTGAACCACACTGGCGGGCACGTCTAATGAAATGTCCACATCGCCAACTCAGCCGCGGTTAAGGCTCTCCGCTGTGCGCGCTATCATTCACTCTAACCCAATCCCCGCCAGTCTCGCGCTCTTGCTCATTAACAGCCACTCACTGTCTGTCCACCGTGCGCGTGAGAAATCGGATTATCGTGGTGCCTCTGTGTTGCGCCTGGTGAGAGGAGAGGGTGTGCGCACGGAGGCTGTGGATGTGAGCGGTTTGCAGAGCATCCAGTGAGGCAGATGCTGGGGAGCAGTTTTCTTCCTGGGCTCGTTATATTTCGATCAGACAGTGACACTTCATCAGCATGGCACGCTTTTTAACAACATTCAACCATCATGGGAAAAACTGACCTGTCAGATATGTTATGATGGATTCTTCTACCGATACAACCAGGATATGAAAATGATTTCCAAAACGCACGGAAGGAGCTTGTGAGAGCAACAACTCCAGTCTTAAATGGCAGAACTTGAAGTTTGCAGAAATCTGAGTTTGGAAAAGGGTAAGAGATCATTTTCAAGCTTTTTGAAACGTTTGGTTGATTTGTCTTCACTCATTAATGAAAGGGAGCTTTGTGTTCTGCGTGCAGGGTTCATTTGGATGCATACTAACACTACAGAGAGGCTAGAGCCAGTGCGTAATTCTCTGTTGTACTGTTTTTTTATGAGAACATTGCATAACCCACAGTGATACCAGCACTAATTGGCAATTTGCATGCTGGAATTATTATGCAGAATTAATTTAAATCGACAGTTTGATTGCCAAACACCTGATTTAATAACATTTTACCATCCATTTTTTGTTCCTATAATAACTGATTGTGTCAGTTCATGGAGTGCTCTTGATGGAGAGGACTAGTTAAGAGGCAGGAAACTGTCCTTGGTGCTGAAAATACCCCTTCATACTCGACACTAGGGGGCAGAAAAGCCTCTAAATATATGGCTCTGACAGGACCTGCTCTGCCCTCAGTCCCAGTAGGTGTGGATGTGTGCCGTATCCTTCACGACCCTGCGTCCTCCCCCCCTGCACCGTCTACAGAAATTAAGCGACCCCTTGAGATGTTGATAGGATCTGCTGGTGAGAAGATGCCTCAGAGACTGACCAGTGTCACCACTTGCAGCTCAGAAACAGCTGAATTGGACAGCCAGGCAGGGCATGTTAGCGCCTCTCAATGTGACGGAGCTCTGGGTCGAGCGTTGATGCCCAAATTGAAGCCCCAGTCATCCCAGGGTCATCATTGAAACTCCTTTGCTCTCTCCGTTTGCTGTCAAAAATGTGGCGCATCACTGGCAGGATGTGTCAACCTGTCAGTCTTCACCCCAGAAGCCCCGGTGTTTCTTTATCTCTGTCAGTTGTTGTGTGGAGAGATGAAGGCCCCTGTCTGCTCTGTGGACAAATGAGATGCCTCTTTATTCGTTTTGGCCACACTTGTGCCCAGAACAGCCGCGCACCACCATCAGCCTCTTTGCAAAACGGCGTGAAATGATGGAGGGAGAGAGGTTTGGACAGTCAGGCACGGCTGCTAATCTCCTCCACATGGAGGAAATGGCTTTTCCATGTAAAATGTGTTTTTTGTCATGCGTCCCTCCCGTTCTGATGATGATGATAAATCCCAGCATGTCCCCCCACCCCCTTTTGTCTCAGCCTCTTTATTTTCTGTCACCCCAGGGCAAAGAAACAGCTTACAGCCACCACAGGAACATACTGTCATCCTTTCAGCTCCGCTTCTCTTTTTATAGAATTTCTGGTTATTTCAGTCTCCTCTTCTCTCCTCTTCACCCCTTCTCTCCTCTTTTTCCAACCATCTCTTCTTCTGCATTCTTCTTCTCCAACCTTCTAGTCCCCTTTTTACTCTCATACTCCTTTCCTTTCCTTTCCTCTTCTCTCTTTACCCCTTCCCTCCTCTTCTCTCCTTTTTTCCCACCCTCTCTTCTTCTGCATGTCTCTTCTCCAATCTTCTAGTCCTCTTTTTACTCTCCTTTCCTTTCCTTTCCTTTCCTCTGCTGTCTTAACCTCTCCTTTCCTCTTCTCCCTTCACCCCTTCTCTCCTTTTCTCCCCCCTTTTTCCCACCACCTCTTCTTCTCTAACCCTCTAGTTCTCTTTACTCTTATACCCCCTTCCTTTCCTTTCCTTTCCTTTCCTTCAATTCCCTCTCTCCTTGTCTCCTCTTCCTTCAATTACTTTTCTCCTTATCTGCCGTTCCTCCCACTCATTTTCTCTTTCCTCCCCCTCTTTCTTTCCTTGTCTTTCTCTTTTATCTCCACTTGTTTCCATTTCCTTTCTCCTTTTTCCTTCATTCTCTCCTTCTCTTCTTCTTCCTTTCCCCTTTCCTCTTTTATCCCCATCTTTCATTCCCCCTCTTTCATTTCCTCTGCTTTCCTTGCCAGTTCTATTTCCCCCTTACCTTATCTTATCTTTCTTTATTTCTTGTTTTCTTATTTCTTTTTTTGTTCTCTTGACTTTCTTCTCTCTACCCCTTACATCCCCTTCTTCCTAATGAACTGTTACGAGCTGAAATGTGAGGAAAGTATGAATTTTGATATCAGTTATTCTTGTGTTGGTATAATTGTTGCGCAGACTTTGAAGGTTTTAAAAAGCTGGTCACTGAATATCTGATCAGGATGTGATTAAAAAGTCTCTCAGACTGTAAAGCAGAAACTTAATATAGAAAATGTAAAACTGTGCATATCTGTATGAAATCTTCTGCTTTCACCTATTTTTCATTATTTTTTTCATTCAATATTGTTAATCAAATACCTCTGAGTCTCTCATATACGGAGGTCCATTAACAGGCTTCTTCTTCTTCATCAATTGATTCAATTGATGCTTGATTTGCATTTACATTGAATCCTACAGAGGAGTTACAATCTCTTCATGCATGTTGACTTTGCTGCAGGCGCATCGTCACCATCCCCCCCATCAGCTGTACAGATGTGAATGCAAAATATACCCAAACATACGTGGCTGCAGCTGGACAGTTTTTTGAAACGATGAATCAAACTGTCTGAGTGAGAAAGGAAACCAAATTATCCATAACTACTCGCTTTAATTTCATTTCCTCTCACTCCCTCTGCAGTTAATAAGCTACCCAGAGGCTCGCTCAACTTAATGCTCTCAGCGAGACTTTTAGGCTTCTTCTGTGTCACCAAATGTAGCATCAGAGAGACAGTTATATTTCATTTGAGGCAACAGAGATCAGACGGTTTGCACAGCAGTCTGGCTCTGCTGCCAAAGATACTGTATCTCCATCTCCTCACAGTCATCCAGCTTCAGTTTGGGGGGGAAAAAAGAGGAAACCTTAACGTTGCAGAAAAACAGTCAACATCAATACCTAACCTCCCCCTCCTTCTCCTCACATATATACTCCCACACACTCGTTAACACACACACACAGAGGCTTCAGTTTCCCTCTTTGATGTCTGTGCAGTGAACTCCTCCACTCGGGGAGCCCCCTGTAGCATCTTTGGTGAATGCATTATCATGCTGCAGTTGTCATGTGTTTATTTTTATTCCGGTGCTGCTTCACACATGCTCCCCGGGGAGACCCGGGAACCCGTTTGTAACTTTGTTTCTGCCTTGAGTGCCTTTAATTAGGTGAGGTGGCTGACTGTGAGATAAGAGTGTGTGCTTCCCCTGTTTCTCCTAACCTTAAAGGCACTAATGAGTGGGTATACCAACATATTTTGACTTCTAAGGCATAGAAGATTTGCGTAATTAGTTTTCTTTAAAAGGTATTTATATTGGAGTTTGTCGCCCCAGGTTAGTATAGCTGGTAGCATTATTCTGTTAGAGTGTGAATTACTGAAGCTGTAATAATAAAACGCCGCCCCTGGTACGTTTTTAATTTCTGAAGGAATCTGCTTATGCCTAATATGTGTGGTATTGAATAAATTTATGATGGTGCTTAGGAAAACCCAAAAGATGACCTGGAATAACAAACTCTGACATTTTTTTGTAATATAGTGTAATATGGTCATTTGGTTTCTGTTTTTGTAATGATTGACATTCAGTATGTTTACATGCACTAAAAAATTCATTCTACTGCAATAGTTGGACTGAAAGGAGATTTTAAAACACATTTTAACACATCAGTCCGACTGAAATCAAACTCCCTATCGCTGGACAAACTCACATGGAGAATGCAGTTGGAGATTAGTTTTCTTTTGCATGTATACGACTAAAGTGAACCGAAACTGGCCTAGGTGTTCTGCCTGTGCTCCTGTGTTTGCATGTCAGGTTCTGAGTTGGCGGTTGAGTAGCATTGCCAGGGAGAAAGATCATAAACAAAATTTTTGATTGGCAAAGGAAGGATGTTATAAAATTAGCTTCTTGCTTTTCAGCAGCATTGGGTATCGCATACAGGATGCGTATTTGGAGCGTGACCACAGCGTAGAGTGGCCCCAGTCAGCTGGGCTCAGTATAGAGGAAACAACATGCTCACAACAGGTTGTTTTACCTTCCTCTGGTCTATTTCATGCTAATTTGGATATAATTCAGTGACTGATAAGTCTCTACTTTATGTGAAAAAGCAACGTGATTTTACAGTTTTGGTTTTTGCAGGTTTACTCGTGTTTAATAAAGTAAACTATGTTTCTTTATGCTGTGCTGTTACCTTCAGACAGAGTTAGCAGTTAAAAGTCCTGTTGGGGTCCACATGGATCAGGGATTGACCATCATATTGTTCTGTGTTAATGATACACAGTCGGGAGTTCGCATTTGGTTTTTTATTTTGAAATACCGGATGACAAGCAGGGTTTTAGTGCCTGACTTCCTGTCTGGAGGGATCTTCTCTGTGTGGATTGATGCACATTGAAAGCGTAGAGCAGCAAAAATAGACTCACCCCGTATCTTTAGCAGTGCTGCTCTTGACATGATGCTGCGACTGAGCTAAGACGCGTCCTGTATGCTTTGCTGCATTGATCAGAACAGAAACCTATTTGCTGTGTGATACGCGACGCTGCTGCCACGCTCCAAATACGCATCCTGTATGTTTTAGCCATTTGAGACAACCCCAGAATAACAAGCTAAAAGGGGTCATGTCACCACTTACCGTAGTAGAGCTGTACATGCTTCTGTCAGTATGTTAATTCTTGCCCAGTACATGTAAACTGGGAGAAGGACAGCAGTCCTGTGAAATCGCCTCATTAAGCTTTAACTGGACTTAACAGTGCTTGAAACGTACTGACTGTAACCAGGTTTACTGTCACTGAGGTTCAGAACTTGGCACCAGCACCCCCCTGACCCCCCTCTGGACATGGCACTGTTAATTGGATAAACATGGAGGTGTTTGCTAAATATCACTCAATAGCAGCTGACTTAACATCCTGACAGCTTTCAGTTTTATCAAAGTTTGTCATTTAGTAGAAAAAAACTTGAACATGAGGCTACCTGAGCTGAAAGTTTTCATAGAAACACTTTAGATGTTGTCTGTGTCGAAATCTGTTTCAGCAAAGCACTGACGAGAAATGATGGCGTGAAAGATGTGCTCCTCTGACCTCTGAGCGCCTTTGTTTACTTTCCTGACAGTGACCTCTTCAGGTCGAGTGAACGATGTTTTATCCGGAGAGCAAAGGCCAGAGTACGGAGATGTCTGACTTCTAAATCTCTCAAGGGGGCGTTTGTTCGAAAGGTGCACAAATCCATTTTCCACTTCTCAACAGGCTTCCGGGGGCTTCTTCTTCTTCTTCTTCTTCTTCGATAATGGAAGTGATTTTTCCTCCGACTGTTAAAGCACTACTTTAACTCAATCAAAAGTTAACCGCCAACACAAGACTGGTCTTTTTGTGGTTTAGAAAGATGCTCAAATTGATCGCATTGAAAACAAAACAGAGGCAGTTCAAGTGCTTCAGATTGTTGGTTTGCGAGGACCCTGGTCTTTCATTAACCAGAGTAAGAAAGCAGCACTTAAGAGGACATAGAAAACTTGGATATTTGTGTTTTGTTTGTGCTCTTGCTGTTTGGAAATGATTGAAGCTTTTTTCATGTTAAACAACTTCCTGTTTCTCAGAAACTGGAAAATGTAACGTCAGAATCAGACTTAGTGTGTAGGACCTGATCTGAACCAAGCTTCCACTTGGAGAAATTATGTAATCAGAGGTTGAGGGTTTAATTTCAGATACTTAGTGGCAATCTTTGGCTTAAGCACCATCGATAAATCTCTGAGAACGGTGACAGATATGCTCTTTCACCAGCAGTGGGCATGTTATCCCAACATCCACACCAGAATCATGTGGATTAGAGACTCCAGCTGTTCCTACGGGGATCAATGTGAATGTCTATCAGTGTCTGCTCTGACTGACATCTGAATCAGTCTGTTTCCCGGCCCTTCACCTATAAAACCTGTTCTTATTATGACTTATTATGACTCAGTGGGTCTAAATGAGCCCAACTTATCATTCTTGTAAATCTCTAATGAACCCACAGTTGACACTTTATTGTTAAAGCAGGAGGTGGAGTTGGATTTTGTTAAGCCCAAATGTTGGTGCTGTCGTAAATGCGCTGGAACCACTTGTCCCACCATGTGGTAGCCTGAGTTTCCTCTCACATTTATCCTGGAGTCATTCTGTGTCTCAGAGCTGTGTGCTTGACTAATTAAATTTCATATGCTGTTGAATGTCCGGAGAGAAAATAGAGAAACAAAGAGGACACCGGATGATATGAACTTAAATGAGAGTCGGTGCACAAAGAAGAAGTAATGGGATTACAGGAGGTTTGATACGGAGTTAAATGTCTTTGATTTACACCTGATAACAACAAAATTGATTTAATGTGAAAATTTGTCAGACTTTTAATGATTTTATAACATTTAATAACGTAATGCGTTGGTCTAAGAATATTTTCATTAGGCAGATGGTGATAATTGTGCTAAAAGTTGTAGATTGATATTGAAAGTTTATGCTGCAATGTGAGTTTTTTGACTAGCATCATTTTACTTGACTTCCATTAATTGTCAAAGGTTCCCAGACTGACCCTGTCTACCACTGTGGTCACTTCAATCCAAAATGAAAACCAACTTGCACCATTTTTAGACCTCTCTCCATCGAATTCAATCTCCACTCTCCCTGATGCGATTGATTTCCGTCACGTCACTGCTGTGTAATAATGTCTAATGCTGGGATATTTTTGGGACTTGACTCTGCCTTGACAGTGTATGTGGGGAAAATGTAACCTAGAGGAAGAAAATCAGCTTATTTCATGCAATGAAATAACATTTTCTGGAAAAAAGCAGGCCATTTTCTCTGAACTTGAACAAAAACGGTTTCCCGCTTCTCTTGGTCGGAGGGCTTTATGCTGCTTCTGAGTTAAAAAGAAGAATCAACTCTGGCATAGGCGCAAAATTACATCTATTAGAAATATTGATATTCATTTTCCTTTTATTCACAGTTGCATCCAGCTGCTTTGAAAGAGTGTTTCCACTGTCTGAGAAGATGATTTCATTTTTCTATAGACTGGCAACTCCCACACCTTTCATTTGTTAGTTTACAAGACAAAATTTATTTGAAGCTTCCGTAAGGAACTTGTGTCCATTTTAGCGCCCCCAACAAAGCATTTGCATCATTTTCTAGCTAGTCTGTGGTAAACCATGACATTCAATGCTGCCATCGAGGTCAGTGATTCTTTCGGATTCATCCCTTTGGGTTAAGTTTGAGATTTGTCCCTCGTCAGTTATTATAAAAATCAAAAACAGGTTTTGAAGTAACGTATAAATGAGAGTGGGAAATTTCAGTTGGCCTAAAAACAGACTTAAATGGGACCATAATTTTCATTTTCAAATATCCATGTTATTTTCTGTGATGTTAAAGAAACAGAAACAATGAGCCACATCAGCTGTTTTTCTTTTCTCTTTGTGTTGAGTATCAAAGGATGTCAGCCTGCAGAATAACTACCATACACGGTAAAGGATGTATTTCCAACAAAGTAAGCTGCAGTGACGATTAGTGCCGGATTAATCCACATTCAGGACATCAGTTCAAGTCAACAGCAGACCTTTAAGTTTCATCACTTTTCTTCATGCAACTACAGCAGAATCACCGTCTCACTCTTTTTAACACCCAGTTTATAAAAATCAAGCTTCTGTGAAGCAGCTCAAATGATTCCTTGCTGTTCCCTCATTCCCTATGCTGTTGAGCAGTAAACCTCACAGCAATCAATCACATGCTAAATGATGTTAAAGCTGAATTCATTTTCCACAGTTTTTTAATCAGCCTAATTACCAATTAGATGCACAAAACAAATTACAGCCATAAAGTACATTGACTTTAGAAAGACAGCATATACAGTATTCAACCTGCAGGTATAGAAATTCAGAAGTGTTTATATATGCTGAACAGAGATCTGCAGATCAACAGGTGCAGTGTGCACTTTTTAAGAGATATAGTGGAGTTATTATTTTCTTGTTCCAATCGTAAAATATAACAGATTGATAAACAAAATTATTAGACTTGAGGATTTTTAGAGGTAAAGGGGATTTTCCTGCTTTTTGTGTGACACCAGTCACACACCTGATCTTGTTTTTTTTTTTGTGCTTTTCAACTATAGTCAGTCAAGTGAGCTCCATCTGATGTTTTTTCTTTTTTTGAGATCTTAAGAAAATTTCTTAATCATTCATTTCTCAGAGGAAATAAAATCTACAGGTGCATGTTTGCTTAGAGTTTCTGCACAAATTGAGAGGCTCTTCAACTTAAAATAAAAATGAGCGTCATCCTACACTGCACCAAGCTGCAGATGGTTTCCCCTGCAATAACTGAAATTGAGAAATTTAGTTGGAATCACTCATTTGTGATCGTGCCATATTCTAGGAAAAGCCCTGTGGGTATTCCATTAAATGAATCATAGTACCTTTATATAGTACTGTGTAGCTGCAGAGGAGGAGGCTCTGTGTGATAAAAATCCAGTACCCATAGTGGATCATATCTGAAAAGGACTTCACCCTCAGTGAGGTCAAGTTAGTGTGAAATCATAAAGATGGACAGATGTGCTTTTCATGCAACCTCTGCAGCAAAAACTCACATGCGGTCATTCAGACAGACTTATCCCACATCAGCCCATTAAATCTTCCTTTTATAGTGCATTATCATGTATATTATGTCATCGTTCTTATCCTCGTGGGCCCCGTGGTTTGACCCTAATGAAGCCCAGACGATATGCACAGACTCACATCTGCTGCACTCTCCTCCTCTCCTCTTCATAACATAAATAAACAACAATACTGGAGCTCATATGCTGGACATACATCTGTGCAGCGGGGCAGCAGGTTGGCAGTCACCCCGACACAGCTGCACATGTTCTGACCGACTCGTGAACATCAGAGAGAGGTGGATGTGCACAGCTGCAGGCGGGAGAGGGGAGCAGATGACCTGCAGACAGGTGGACGTCTGTGTGTGTGTGTTTCCACAGGGAAGACGGTGAGGTGAATGTGCTGCCTCAGATCAGAGTACGGACAGACAGCAGGAGCGTTAAGGTTTTTTTTTTTTTTTTTTTGTTATGAGCGTGGATGCTTTGTGTCTGAAGAAAGTCTGGACTCTCTGATGTGAGGGAAGACTTTGTAGCTACAGGTGGAGCTGGTCGCGGTGGGACTGAACTGTGGAAGACTTCTCTGCAGAAAAATGGAGGGAGTTTGTTCTTCTCTTTTTGGTCCTTCTCATAAAGTATCATCTACTTACATTTACCGTCCTGCCAAAAAATCAGCTGTGGTAACTGTGGCGAGTCTTCTGGCACACAATGTCTACCATATCAGTGGCTCTTTGGTGGTGCCGTATAAATGCAGACTTCCACAAATTGGTAAGTTAATGTCATTGTATGTGTGCGTGTGCGTCTGATTTGCTTCTTTTTCTCACTGAGCCTTAATGAAAGACACCCTGAAAACAAACTAAAATGTTCGTTTTTAACATTTTCTTCTCATTTCTTCAAACTGATGTTTGCGTGTATCATACTGCATTTTGAACGCTCCTTTCAGGGACTATTTTTAGCGCTGGAAAAGAGCAGGAGCTTATGTTTATGCATTAGAGTATCCCCGGGATAATTGAAGCGCTCACTTTCTGCAAACCGTAACTTTGAACCCGTTCATGTCCTAATAAGTTGCTGCTCATTACATGCAAGAGGAATTTTGTCTCATTTTAGCAGTAATTGTGTGTAAATGCCATTTATTGTGTCTAACTAAAAAAAATAATAGAACTTCCACACTACAAAGCAAACCCTCAGGTTATGAGAGCTGACGGCCCAAACAAAGCAGTAAGAGAAAAACACGATGACACGCCTCTGTTTGGACAGGTTAATTTCAGCGTAATTGCTGTGTTTGTTTAGTCTTTTTAACAGTCAAACCGGCTCGCAGGGTTCAGGCAGTGGTGCCTTATGTCACATGAATAGTGCATGAAGGATCAGGGAGATGCTGCTGAATATGAATTTATGTATTTATGAATAAATTATACCAAAACTCAGACTGTTGTCCACTCCAGTCAAAGTCCTCACAGCAAGCCAATTATGGATCTCTTGCAGGATTCGAATATCAGCCTGAGCAAAGATGGAAAAAGTCGTAAACATAAGGTTGCACGGATGGATCAGAGTGTTGTGCGTTATGTTTGCTTCAAAACTAACAGCTCAGATTGGAAAGTGATGAAGGAAAACTGCTTTCGATGCCTGACCGGCATTGTGTGGGTCTAAGGGAGGCCGGGCTTTGTTCATCAGGTTATCACAGAAGCGTTTTTATCAGCCACCACATTAAAATATGTTTGATTCGCCCGGGCCTCTGTGGCGAGACGGAGCTTTGATCTGCTGTCTGTGCTCTGCGTCGACAGAAATTAATGTTTTTCCAAATGCACGTGCACACACAAAACACAAACACATAGACATGGATACACACCTATGAATGATCATGCATGAACTCAATTTCATGTTGAATACGAGCAAAGAAAAAGATGATTTACATGTATTTTTGATATCTTTTCTAGATGAAAATCTTTTTTTTTTTTGCACTTGACTGGAGATGTTACAAACAAATGTCTTTTAAAATCCATTTCTGGAGCTGGTACCTCGGACACCTGAGGATAACCTGCACATAAATGCCAGATAGGGTTGAAAGGACACTGTAGAAAATAAGACACTAGATTTGGAGGTTTAAACTTAACATTAATCTAAATCCACCTGCCCTTTAGGTGTGGGCATTGATGCTTGAGGGAAAATGGGATATTACATGGAAGTGGAGGTGTAATGGCGTGATTCTTTGATTTATCTGCTCTTTCGGGAACCACTTCTATTCGTTCTCATCTTTGATTTCAAAGCAGCTCCCGTCCACCTCTTTCCCTTCGCTCTTCTGCTTCACTATCTTCACCTTTTACAGGGTTTGAGATTTCTCTCTTTATGATCCTTATCATTGCACATGGAAAGTCAAGAGAGTGAGGAGGGCCTGCAGAAATGTCAAGGATTAACAGAGATAGATAGACAGCCAAAGAGAATAGAAGAAGAAAAGCTGTAAAGGTGCCAGCAGCCAGCATCAGGGAGTACGCAGAGTCTTTCAGGCCGATACATACCCGTCCTCTATTTCTGAAGAGCTGGATGAAAAAAAATTGGCCTCTGTTTTCCCTTTCAGGCATTTCCAGTGAAATATATCTGACTGCCTCTTGGGTAACACTTTTATGTGTTAAAATTTCAAAGGAACAGGCATGTGGACTCGAGTGGCAGTGAAAAGCCTTTATCCACTTTGGACCCGGTTTATCATGTTACATATCTGTGGGCTGCAGGCCTGTTCCTGGGCACTCACTCGGCTTTTATCTGCGTCGCATCCTCTCCCCCTGAAAATGAAAAAAGACCCAGAGTAATGTGCATGGACACTAAGGAGGGTTTATGGATGTGATCAGTCGGACAGTAAAATCACATTGGACAGGGACTGCTGGTGAATTCAAACCTTAATGAAGCTGTGAATATCACAAGTGGCTGAAAGAGATAAATAATGCACCAAGGCCGATGTTCTTGTTTCTAATTAAGTCTTCCTCTGGGTCTATCCATGTCTTCATTGTCCTACAGCACCATACAGCACACGCACATCAATTATTAACAAGTGTGTGTTTGTATGCAGTGCTGCTATGTGATAAATAGTCAAATGTTTTGTATAAGTGATGAGTTAATCAAAATTTATCCTAAAGCAGGATGCAGAATATTAAGTGTTGAGTAAATGTGCTGAAGTGCAGCAGATGATGTAATAGGGCTGGGCGATAAACCGAAAATTTACAACGATAACTGACGGCATTTTGCCCATATTGGTATATTGGTTTTGGATGTGTGTAGGTAGGCTATGGTCTCATGTCCCTTTAACCCGGGATTTTCCACCGCACCTGGAATGGCTCCAATCCAGAATGGCAGCGATTTTCATCGTACGGCAATTCCTACCGGATCCGTTTGTGAGGCGAATTTCGTGGTAAATTACGGACAGCAGGAATCGCGAGAACTCACAAGTACCCACAGATTCACGTGCAATTGCGAGAAAACAAGTTGTCTTTAGCCACAGGGGTTAACCATATAAGCAGTAGATTGTTTCCTTCTAGAGGAGGAAATCTACTTTTAGACTTATAAAATCAGCATCCTCTCATCCATGGTGTCATCGGGGTGAAATGCTGTCTATAAACCTTTCACTTGATCGTCTTTGAAACATGTAGTGTTTTATTTTGAAAAGAAGCCGGATGTTTAATTTTGTGTGTCTGTTCTCGACTGCCTTTCCAGCACGGGTTAATCTGTGTTAAATTTATCCAGCATGCTCCAGCATTCGGAAGAAATAGTACTCTTGCGATCAGCTGCGGAGTCTGGCGATCCATAGAGGAACGGAAAGAAGCCGGGGGAAACTGACACATTGACTTAAATGGTTATGTTCAGCTATAATCGGCAGATACGGCCTTTTAATAGATGTTTCGGAGGCGGTGGAAATTGGGGGTTAGATGCTGTCCTACGTCAGAGACATGACTCCACCCCGTCCACTCCGTAACAAAGAGGGAAAGACAAGTGAGGAGATGGAGGAAGGTTCAAAAGTTGAGGCTGAAGTAGACAAAGTTAATGTGGGAGGGGGTAAACAGCTTGTGGAGTAGTTACCATCCATTTATTGTTATTGAGATGAACTGCTCGATATATCATGATACTGATCTGAGGCCATATCGCCCAGCCCTATGATGTAACCTAACACGGCTCAGAAGTAGCAATAACTGATGTTTTAGAAATTACTTCAGCTGAATATTTAAGATGAAAACGGTCGTTCACAGTGAAGAGGCCATTAGTAAATTTATCTACAACTTCACATTTTTCCCTCTCGTCTAGCTCTCATTGCTGCTGCAGGGGTCTAAAGATGAACCGATCTGATCGTAACAATTCAGATCTGAGTGCACTGTGGTCTGCTGCACCTTTGGACCAGTAAAAAATGTCATGCGGACCGGTCGATTGGCTCGTTTTAAAGTTGTGGTCTGCTTCGTTTAGCAGCTGAAAGGTCAGATTTCCATCTATGGTCATGGTGAAAACAAAGCTGAGCCAACACAAGAACAAATACTGACCTTTTTACTCATTATAGAACCTTGATTTCCATAAGATCCGTCTTTGTGTTTTAGGATATATTTAAGTTAATCATATCCCTTAACTTGACATCTGTCTACAAGCTGTTTTGTGCCTAAAGAGGTGACATTTGCATCTATAAATATCAGATAAAACCTCATTTTGTCAGATCTGTTTATTCCAATAGAACCGACAGATTATGTTTAGAAGTAAATTGGTGAAAACTCTTGTCCTCACAGCCCTCCGACAGATTTGGTTTACCTTGGCTTTGTGTGGGTCCTTTTTCAGGATGCCCAGGTGGTACCTCATCTCGATAAACAAGCATCGTTTCATGCAAAGGGAACGGTCCCAGTGGAAATCAGAACCACAGTTCACTGTTTTATTTACTCGTTTGTCCTCCCTGGTACTGGATCGTGCTCCCAACATGGCAGGTTGTGTGACCGACAGTGCATTCATGATTTGTCTGGGGAGATGACACACAGTCTCAGGCTCAGGTTTAGATGTTAATATTCGTGTGTGTGTATAATACACTCCCTGAAGTGGGTATCATGGCCTCAAAGAGTAGTGAGAATAATATTTGTGTCTTCTTAAGCCTCTCCGTAGGACACTCGGTCTGTTAACAAGCACTCTGCTCAGCGGGTGCTCCGATAAGTGTTTAAATAAAACGTTTTTATCCTTAAAAGCTTCGACTTCTGTTGTCTTTGAAGATAATCGTACATTGTGTCTCAGCATGTGTTTTCTTGTATGTGTCCTTATAAGGAAAGATTATAAGTGCCTTGTAACTTGGGGCATTTTGTATTATCTAATACCCCCTTTGAGCTACCAGACTGTTGGAGTTTTTAGTTGAAAGCCTGAAGACTCTGAGTCATTCAGTTTACTTTTTCATACTTGAGTTAAAACATGATTTTGATTTTATGCATGAATTTACATCTCTCTGTGCATTTGACATGAGAACACTAAGGGTGCATGATTACCTTACTTTTTTTTACCATGAGTCATTGACAAACATGCAGTTTTCATTGCTGTTCATGCATTCAGTATACTGTGTGGTTAAGACTGTGTAAGTTTGTGCTGAATTACATCTCTAGTTGGACATGTCTCTACTGTTCTATCTTTACCAGAACACATCCTTTTCAAGTGCAGCCTGTATGATCTACTGTATATATTTCTATATCACTGCTAATCTCAAGGCCCTACGACCAGCCCTGACATTTGGGAATGTTCTTGGTTGTCCTGATATATTGTCCTCTGTAGGTGTCTGTGCCTGCTGTTCATTTTCAGTCAGTGTCTGACATCTTAAAGCTCCTCTGAGTAATTTTTAACTTTTAAGAATTAAAATGAAATTCACACTGATGTCTTTTTATCATATACAAAAGCAAACAAGACCACCAGTGACAAGACTGCTGGTTTTTATTCTTTTCTTTTCAATGCCTGAATCTAGTGCAAGGGGTTAGGTGTCTGCCTTCACACCCCTGTTTTAATCATTTGTGCCTAAAATATTCACAATAAATGATGCATTTAACTGTCAAAAGTCCAAAGGTTGAGATTTTTTTGAAAGACTACATAAGCTTGTAGAGGAAGAGATAAGCAAAGACTGCTTTGTCCACAGGGGGCGCCAAACTTGAAACTGAAAGTTCTTCACAGGAGTTTTCAAATTGTTTTGACGAATGGAGGAGCTACAGCTAGAGGAGTTGTTCTCTACATCCTCTCTTATTTATACCTTAAGAAACTCATGTCTGGTTGTAACATCATGACTCCTGTAGGACAAAGAGAAGAGCTGGGAGCAGAAAAGCTGGAGAACTTTCTAAAACTTTTAGTTATTCAGCACCACGGCAAAAAACTTGAGGATGTGTGTGCACCTATGGGAGATTGCAGAGCAGGAGGAGAGTCAGTCTCAGAGCCACAGAGCCTTGACTTTTGGTCCTGTGGGGAAGTTCACAGCTCTGTTAAGACCCTTTTGTTTTGAGTAGAAGCTGTAGGATCACATTTTGAATCACTGCAAGGCATCTTCTCAGCTGTAACAACCAACTCCATCTCTTGAGACAAATTATAGACAATACCTGCCTGGTTTTACTCCAGGATATGAAATCGTTTAATTTAAATGTTTCATATTATTCCTCACCTGTAGTTGTCTGTATTTAATTAGCAGCATCAGAGGTCTATTATTTACAAGTCCATCTGGAAATAGGGCAAAGGGAGTGTTGCAAAGTGTTTGTGCGTGAAATAAATGAAGCAAATGCTGTTTGAGTGAATTCCTCGGTAAATACCAATATTTAAACAAAACATTGTTAGCAAACTCTTAGCATCAAGAGCATGTACAAATAGCATGCTAAACATCTGCTCCATCCACACTTCTATATCGTCAAACACATGCACCAGTGCACACACACAGACACAGAGACATAGACATGCACAGGCAGACACTCTCCACTAATGAGGCTCGAAATCTCGTTGTGTTTCTGCTGTCGTCCTCGTCTGTGTTGCTGCCACCAGCTGCCACAAAAAGTAACAGGTTTGAAGTTTTATCTTTTATGTATCTCGGTGCTGGACAGTAGCAGGCAGGGAGGCAATCAAACATAGAGCTGCTCCTCTCCATCATTTCACTCTCTCTGCTCTCCTCTTCACAGCTCTCCACCACTTTCCCACTCGTTCCCTCCCCACACTCCCCCCTCTGTTTCAGCCATCTTTAATTGAACATTCGCCTATAGATAAATGTAAGGATTTTTTTTCTCCTCAGGGTGTACAATACTACTGCAGGCTGCTGGAAAAGAGGGAGAGCTGTCGTCTCTGCTCACTGTGAAACAATTGAGCGCTGTTGAATGCCGTGCAATTAGCATGCAAGAGTGTTGATGTACTGCAAAACAGCCAATGTGCTCGACATCTTGTGAGCAAACATTCATTTAAGCCTGTTTAAACATGACCTATTATTCTCTTTTTCACTCTTGTCTATCTGGGACACCAAATATAAAGCCTTTAATAACTGCAGCTGAGAAAACTCCTCATTCATCATGTACTGGTGTCCATGAAAACTCTCACTGCAGCACTTTTCAGCCTCTCTGTAACATTTACCTACAACTTGTGATTCTGAGCATTTGGGAGGGTCTTCATAGGTGAATCAGCCCCAGGTTACAGTAGCAGCTGAGGCATCAATCCAGCTTGTACTGGTCTTTGTTTACAACAGAGTCATCTGTGAATTGGCCCTGCCTGCCAGCGACATTGTGGCTGTAGCCTTGAAAACATAAGAGAACAGAAGAGGAAGAGAAAAACATGAGAAGAGAAAATAGCTGTGACTTTCAGACTTGTCGAATCAACAGAGTGCAAAATAAAGAGTGTCTGTGAAAGTCTAAACCAACTCAAATAATCCCAACCTCACATGCAGATTTTCTCATCTGTGGCTGGTCCTCCAGCAGGCAGACAGTTTGGCATACATAGACTCTTAATTGCTGAATTTTCTTGAAAAACCATAACAGTCCAAAATGGATGGTCCTGTAACTCGAGAGGGTTCTGAAACCTTCACTGGAAACATTTAATTGGGACTAAATTCTGTGGAAGAAACTTTTCCAATGCAAAATCACATACAGAACTTTTTCCTTTGAATAAGAAGTTGGAGAAGAAACAAAATGCCCTTAAAGGCATGGTTGATGATTGGAGAAGCAGTTCAAAAAGAACTGATCCATAGAGGTAGATTTGAAAAAAGTGTCCCACCCCCACTCACAAACCTCTTCCCTCTGTGCTCCATGATAGGCCGGCAGAAGATCCTACGCTAGCTTCAAATAGGATTCACCATGTCAGATTGCTCGTGACTGGCGACAGTAAACGCCAGCTCCTGTAGCTAAGCCGCAACGCTACTTTTAGCTGCTCAAGAGCTCCGAGGAGGGCCGGGAGAGTGGGAGGGGACGAGTCGGAACTACAGGAGAGGGATGTGTCGAATACAGCGAGGTTATTGGATGGAGAGGCGGAGCAGGAGATTGACCAATGGGAGCTGTCTGGGACGAATGGCTCCCATTGGTCGATGTTTTTGCAGCCCTGCACCTGCGAGGGTAAACAGATTTTTTCCATTCTTTTTTCTCTTCACTTTGTGGAGATCGCACTCTAGGACCATGATCGCCATATAAACAAGGTTCATAATTTTTACCAATTTCTCCAATCGTAAACCATGCCTTTAAATAACATTTTCAGTAAAACCTTATCTACTTTTACCTCTGTTGTTCTGGTTAAGACCACTGAGACTGATCTCCTAACAAAAATAAGAACATTTTAACTCGGTTTTGGCCGGCCTTAAATTCAGTAAAATCTTTCACCTGCTCCAGCGTGATATGGAGATTTCCTTTTGAACTCCCTCACAGACCCAAACTGAATCTTTTAACAGCGAGAGACACACACGTATACTTCAGCTTTCTCCTTCTTCCATCTCTCCTCTGCCTCCCATCGCAGGTTAGTGGGTAACAGAAAAGCAGCCTTGTGCGCTCACACAGTAGCATCTCTGTTGTAGTTTGGACTCTGACCCACATCAGCTGGTGGCTGCGGCCATAACTGAACAAACTGTGACACTTTGCCTGATTTCTTCCTGGAAAAGGACAAATAAAGCCAGACACCTGTTCCCTTTATGTCTTCCTACAGCGCTCCACTGACCTCAGTGTTTGTGTTTTTGTCCTGCAGTGGAGCGATGCATGAGTGTGATGCAGTCCGGGACACAGATGGTCAAGCTGAAGGCAGGATCCAAAGGGTTGGTGAGACTCTTCTACCTGGATGAACATCGCTCCTGCATTCGCTGGAAGCCCTCACGAAAGAGTGAGAAGGCCAAGAGTGAGTATGCATGGACACACTTGAACACACATGAAACATATGCAAAAACAGCTGCATGCACAGATTCAATAGAGTGTGCATACAGTCTCTTTCAACAACTCCAGGCTAGCAAAATTTGGTCATGTATTTGAAAATGCACGTCCAAATTCCTTGAACTTTCAGTGTAGATGAAAGCGCTTTGATGACATCTTCAAGAGGTGGATTCTTACACTACATTACCATCGCCCTTGACAGACTAGCTGCCTCATCAATCCCTCCATTAGTATGATATGGAATTATGTACCTGTTTTTGTCCTTGAAATTAAGGTTGTGTTCACACCAAAAGGTCAGTTTTTATACATTGATGATACCATTGTTGCAATTTCTCAACTGGTGCGGTTTGCGTTCACAAAGGCCAAACTCAAACAGTCCAAAAATTGTCACGTTGCAGCAAATGCCGTTCAGTGATTGCTCATACAGTTTGGGCGGATAGATGACAAATCCCTCACAATTTTTACTGGTCATCATGGAGCATCGTCTGCTCATTTTTATGTCTTTAACAGACTTTAACAGACTGTGCATATGAACGGCTGCGAAGACTGCGGCAATTAAATAATCTATTCATACACGCACGTCGCAGGAGACGTTCTACAACCGGTCATATCACAGAAGACGACAGGCAATAATTAGAGCCTACCTCGATGTTTTTTCGAGGCGCGCTTCCTGTGATTGGTGTGGATGGGGTTCACACCAGAAGTAAACCGCTCTAGAGGTCACTTGATAGTGGTCTGAGACCACCCCTACCAGGTGGACCCGATAGAGGTTGACTTGTCGGCACCAGAGTTTGAGGCTAGTGTTCACACCAACCAAAATGAACCGCACCAAGGAGGTAAACGCTCCAGGGTTCAGTTCAACTGGACTAAACAAGGCTGGTGTGAACACGACATAAGTTTACAGAAAAAATGAAAGGCGAGATAAGTGTATGAGGTTCCCAAATGCTGCTCCATAACCACCCCATTATCTTTGACTGTAGAGAAGCAGAAAAGCTGCATTGTTCATCTTTTTTTGTTATATTTAAACACTTGTACTTTTTATTTGAAGCCGTCCAAAGTGACTTGGTTAGTATCAGAATCACCCAAATCAAAAACTCTTCTTTTTTTGCTCTGCAGGCTGTTCTTTGAAGTCAAAGTCCTTTGGTATTTGCGCCTGACTGACAATTACAATCCGCTGTAGCTGAGATGGTTTTGTTTCAAAGACTTAATGATTTTTGTAAGGGAGTTAAACCTGATAGATACGTTAGCCAAAGCTTCAAAAACCTGAGCTGAAATTTAATCTAAAAGTTACATAATGATGATAATATTAATTTTATTTCTGTATCATGTTGTCAAACACTCTGCAGATTGTCTCTACCTCTATGTGCCTTTTTCCCCTCAAAGTCGCCACACTGCTCGGTCTCTGAGGGGATTATGGTTGTATATATGTCAGCACCCACTCAAACATCATGTTATTTTTATACTTCCCTGGTTTTATGGCTCAACCTTGTGACATATATATTTACATTTATGCCCGTAGGTTAAGGGTCTCGCTCCTCTATGTGTTTCAATGGCAGTTTGTATGTGCGCTCGCTTCGTATAAGCCGCTTTGTTCTTCTGTTGACATGATTGAGAGAAACACAGCAGCCGCCTGGTTCTTTTATTACATTATACACGTGTGTGTGTGTGTTTGTTTGGTGTGTATGTAAATACAGCCACTGCATTGTCTCTCTCTTCATCTAAATTTTAGAGATGAGGTTATGAAAAGAGATGAGAAAGCTGGGAGTTATTAGGTAATGGATTTTGATCATATTAGAATTGATGTATTTTAGGGTAAATGTGAAGGTAATTAATCAAATAAAATCATCATATTTGTCTTTTGTAAGATCAATTCATGGAATTGATGTTTTCAAATTAATAAATACTTCTGATCAAACATGACACATGAAAGGATCACCAGTCAGAGGAAACAGACAGAGCGAACAGACAGATCGAGCAAATGTGTAGCGATGTTGGACCAGACGGTTTTCCACAGGCTGTTTTTCTCTCCTAACAAAGACGCAGATCAAAGATGGCTGAGCTCGTACTCCAATCTCATTAAACCATGATGCACCCCGACGCCTCGAAGAACTACTTTCTCTGTTTATTTTTATACATGATGGTTTTTCTAGTTTTATTTATGTACATTTTAATCTTTTGCTCTGATTGACTGATTGATTTGCCGTCTCCATTCCTCAAGTACTGGGAGTGACTGTGCACATGACTGCTGTATTAATGAGCGAGACGACTGTTATTTTATATGTTTCTCATATAGAAGAGATCAAAACAAACAGGTGGAGCCAGTTTGATGATATTTTTGATATCTGCACACTTTTTGTTGCTCTCAGCCCCGAGTGGACTTAATAAGGTATTATCTCTACTTACCTTGGATTCACCTTCAGGATGGAGTAAACTCCTTTGCTTTGCATTGGAGTCAGCCTCACCTTATTGGGATTATATTTGGTATAATCCCCAGTCTACTAAATCTTATCCTGCTCTCAGTCCTGGGAGTGAATATTGTTTTTAAGATGGTATAATTACTCTCACAGCTAGAAAATAATCCCTCAGTTTTAATAGTTGGTAGCATTTTTATAGCAACATTATTCTTATTAACAAACGTACGGGTGGAAATACCTGTTTTATTTGTGGTAACATTTTCACAGAGGGTGCCAAACTTGATTTGAGCATTTTCTTCTCACTTTTTCAGTCCTATATCATTTTTATGTTTTCTTCAATTTGATAGATGTCTCTTTCAATCTGCTTCTTATGTGTTTTGATATCCTTTTATAATTTCAAAGTTGTTTTTACCGCTCATCCACCGTTAATCATCGATCCATAGTTTTATACGCCCCAAATGTATTGCGAGCTACTGTTATATTAAAAATATCATCCATGTTATCTTTCAGGGGGTGATGCTTTTGACACACTGTCAATAGAAAGAGGTGAAATAATCAGTATAATTCATTTTTCTTCCTTGTTTTCACTATCATTGCCTTCGCTGTTGAGAATGCATACATTGAGTTATGGAGTTTTGACAAATCAGAATCAAGAATAACAGATCATACCAATTCACTTTGACTCTTTAAAGGCCATGTGGTCCCAAATAAGCATCTGCAAACTTTATTCAAACAGATCTACTTGGACATATTTTTGTCATTTAGAGAAATTATGATCATTTTTAAAGGCTGTTTAGGGAGTTTTTAACTGTTGACTGAAACTGACGGCTTTCTATAACCTTAAAAAGCAAACAACACCATCAGCAACAAGACTTATGTCGTTTTTGGTGCCCCAAACTGTCCAAAAAAAGTTTGGTAACGTTAATAATTATTTTATGTGCAGCAGTGTGCCTACCTTATAAATCAAGTTATTTAGTCTTTTGAGAAAGAATCACAAAAGAGTAATTACTGGCAAGGACGTTGAGTCTCTTGATTACAAGAAAATTTCTCTTTCTTCTTCCCCTCTTCATCAGTCACCATCGACTCGCTCTACAAAGTGACAGAGGGAGGCCAATCAGACATCTTCCATCGGCATGCAGATGGCAGCTTTGACCCAGCCTGCTGTTTCACCGTGTACCACGGAAACCACATGGAGTCCCTCGACCTGGTGACGTCAAACACAGAGGAAGCCAGGACCTGGATCACCGGCCTCCGCTACCTGATGGCTGGGATCAGCGACGAGGACTCGCTGGCCAAACGGCAGCGCACACACGACCAATATCCTCTAAAGAGACAGGAAGTGTGGCACAGTAAACTCTGTGTCTTGTCGCGTTAACTTTGAGAGAGCATCGTTGTTGTGTTGGTTTTATTCCCACATGATACAAAATCTTGTTTTCCTTAATGTGGGTGATACGTGGCTGAAGCAGACGTTTGAGGAGGCTGATAAAAACGGAGACGGTCTCCTGAACATCGAGGAGATTTACCAACTTCTTCACAAGCTGAATGTGAATCTGCCACGCAGGAAGGTCAAGCAAATGTTTCAGGTGAGAAAATCAGGATGTATCAGTTTCTTTAATTTCTGCGTTGATATGCTCCTGCATATCCCGCATCTCTGTATCTCTTTATATTATCAGTCATATTTGGTAATGCCAAATTCTTCTAAACTATTGTGGATTACTCTCATCACTATTTAATAACCCAGACAGTAGTTACAGTGTCATTTTATTGTCTTTTTCTGTAATAAATCGACTATAAACACAAATTTGTCAGTCCAAGCAAGACAGTCTGATACACAGGTTTGCAGGGAGACCACTGCTCAGGTGTTATTTTGAGGCACAGGTGAGAAAAAGTAAAAGTTTAGGTGCTTGTTCAGTTCACCTGTTGACTGTCCCACTTTATTCCTTTTTCTCTCTTTCCTGTACAAGATAACAGAATGAAACAAACACCCCCAAAACATTTAAAACAATGTTTTGATGCATCATACAGCACTGTCATAACATTCACTGTAATAGACTGGTACTGTGTTTATGATGCACTCTAACTCCCACCCAGTGACAACCAGGATCTGCTACAGTTTGCCCCCAAGTTGGTATAAATGGTGAAAATTGTAAGCTGGATCATTTTGCTCAAGATCCAAACGGGTCACTAAAGTATCAGATTTAATTTAGATGTTTCCATTAGCCATAAAAAAGAAAACAATCTGTGTGTGTTTGTATTTGTCAGTGTATTGTCCTTGAGTGAGACACTAAACCCCAAGTAGTGACTGTGAGATGGTGTGAGAATGTTATGAGTGCTGACGGGCAGTCAGGGCACTTCACATAACAGCCTCTGCCGTCTGTGCACAGTGAGCACTGTCTGGGATATCTGTGTTGACATTTGGTTGAAAGCGATGAAATCAGGGTTGGACGTTGAATCCCTAATTTTCTAGTTCTGGACTGGCCAAATATGGCAGCTGATACATACAACATTAATGTGTCAGAAAACACTTTAAAAAAATGATAAATTGGTTATTTTGGGGGTAGAAGTGATTACTGTGCCAGCATCATCCCAGGTGTTTTTGCCTTTTATGAAAAGACATGTTTGTTTTTCACATTTTTCAGTCTTTGGCAGGTTGAAAAAAAAAAAAAAAGGTCACTCTGTGTCTGAATGTGTGGATGTAGCGCCCACAGAAAGCATCATCAGACTTGGTAAACTTCAGCTTTTGAAAAAAGACTAGTTGTGCCATTTAAAAAAAGTCTCTTCTGTCGCTCTTAAACTGTTTTTACAGTCGCAGTATTCTCAAAAAAATCGATAAATCATCCAAAGTTTTACTCAACTCAACTCAACTCAACTTTATTTGTTAAGCACTTTAAAACAACCACAGCTGAACAAAGTGCTGTACATAACTAGACAAAACAACAAGATAAAAAACAATCAAAAAACAATTAAAACAATGGATAAAATAAAAGCAGAATTAAAAGTAAAATATAGTTTCAATGTTTTTAAAAACTAATTTATAAACATAGAAACATATAACTAAAAACAAACCATAAAACACTAAAACAGGAGCAGAGTCTCATGCAGGGTTAAAAGCCAATGAATAAAAATGGCTTTTAAGACGACTTTTAAAAAATGCTTCATCCCCTCGTCCTTATGCTTGGTTCAGTGGATCTCTAAGTATGTCTATCCATGGTGTGTTGCACTGTTTTTGCACCATAAAACAACTCGCTCTTTGGGTTGAGATAAGACAGAAACTTATTAATTTATCACTTTTCTTGTAAGCATTGGCAGACAGCAGCATGGCAGCCTGAACAGCTTGTGCTGCTGCTTAAAATACCCTGAAAGTCTTTGTTTCCTTTCCATGCATTTCTGATAAAGTCCATTACAGTGATTCATCCTGCTGGTTGTGTGCACATTCTGTCTGTGATCGAGTCCCCCTGAAGCCCAAAGCAAGCTCATTATGGGACCGGGATGGAAGCATTAGCCGGTATTATTAGATTTGGTGTACAGTGCAATGGACCCTTGCGAGATCCAGGTAATATGAGACGAGGGATCCCAGCAAGCAAATGGGGCAAAGGTACGGGATGGAAACAGTAGGGAGCAAAGCTGTGTATGTCCTCAGGCAACGTGTAGTCAGAGATAAGTGTAGGAAAGACATAACAGGCAGGGTTTGATGTCTTAGGAGGAGTGTGTTGAATTGCTGCTGTGAATTTGTGTTAGGAAGAACATGACAGGAGATGGAGAAAAAAGGAGACGGCAGTTTGCAGACACATGCGTGCAGCTGTTTCACCTGAGCAGACTGTTTGATTTTTCCTTTCAAGAATAGTGGATCCATCATTTGGTGTCATTATTTGTGCGATGATGTACCTCCTCATTCATTGTTTGTTTGTGTCTGCTGGTTTCTTGTCAGGAGAAGACTCGTTTTATTGTGTTTTGGCAACAGGAGTTGTATCGTCATTTGCATCATAGACAGTTTACACACGCAGCTGCTCGACACGTCAAATTATAATGAAAGGCAATTTGTATGATTCAGTTCACAACAACTTATTTGGGTTATTTTTCAATCACATTCTTCCCGGGCAGGAACTCAGGAGGTAGAGCAGTCACTTAATAACCAGAAGGTTGGCGGTTTGTTTTCCCCCTATCCCAAGTCTGTCCGTTGTGTCCTTCGGCGAGACACGTAACCCACCTTGCTCCCAGTGTGTGTCCTGCACTGGTGTGTGATTGTGAGTGTTGTGTGTGTGGTGGTCGGAGAGGCCATAGGCGCAAACTGGCAGCCATGTTTCTGTCAGTCTGCCCCAGGGCAGCGGTGACTACTAAGGTAGTTTACCACCACCAAGGTGTGACTGTGTGAGCGAATGAATGATGCATCCAATTTAAAGCACTTTGAAGGTCTCTGATAAAGCGCTATAAAAATCTGATGCATTATTATTATTAAAATTAGAATAAGGTTCTGCCATTTTTCTTCTTCTTGAATGTACCAGGATAGGGAGCTGCTCAAACAAGAGTCTTTTGTCTTCATTTTTACAACCTAAAGAGGTGACTTGTGTGAAAATATGATACCTGTAAAAAAACAACCGCTGCAAAGTAGTCCAACACTTATCAGACTAACTCCATCTTTTATACACTTTTAAATTTTATCTGTTGTTCAGTAAATGAGGATTTAGTTTGGGATCTGGTTGTTGGTTTACAGAGGAGTGAACAAGAAGCTGTAGAGGCCCACCTTTGGGGCACTCCTGAGGTGCATTAAGGCACCAAAATTGCAACTGCTGAAGGCCTCTGTCTGAGTGCAGCCCCTTCACACAGATGTATCTCTGTTTGTTCTGTTTGCGCCTGTATGTGTGTGTTTGTGTGTTTAAAGCCTCTGACCATGTTCAATAACACAGAGAGAGAGAGAGAGAGAAAAAAGATTTCCCCCGCTGGGACCATCAAGTATGTCTTAAAGGGAAGACAGAGCTCAGCGTAAAGCCAATGTCACCTTCAGCTGCAGCTTTGAAGCAAAATACAATCAGTATCAAAAGCAACCAGGTCTTGCAATCATGTTATTAAGCAGACGTAAATATGCAGCGCTAGTGCATGCAAATACCATGCAATGCAAAACATTGAAACGGTGAATTAATACCACTTCACTGCATTCTAGTTTGATCTGATTGTGACTCAGCCTTAGCTGGTGATGAGCTTATGATGTATCCTCTCCTCGCCCTCACAGGAAGCAGACACAGACGACCAGCAGGGCACGCTGACCTACGAGGAGTTCTCCGTCTTCTACAGGATGATGTCAATGAGGCGCGACCTGTTCCTGCTGATGATGGCGTACAGCGACAGAAAGGACCACCTGACAGCTGAGGAGCTGGCTAACTTCCTGCACAATGAGCAGAAGGTCAGGAGTCAAAGTGGTCTTGGGTTAAATGGGGTAAAATGTTCCAAAAGGATTTTTAGTACAAGGTGTCCAGAGTGCTTGAAATTTGGGGTTTGAGTCAGTAGATGGATGGGTTTTGTCCCTGCTCCCTCTCTTTAGTGAAACTTCATGTTACTCCGGCTGTCTCTCCAGAGGAACCCGCTCCTCTAAGCCAATCTATCACTCCTAAAATTGGTTTTCCTCCCGGGATCCCCTCTCTTGTTCTTTACAGTTTTTTTCCATGCTGTTATTTCTCTTACAGCTTTATTTTTCTTTCCTACTTCCATCACAGCCTCTTACACAGCAAAAATGTCATTTTTCTTATTATGCTGTGTTTACTGTCTCTCGTCAGCCATGCTTGACATTAATTCTGCTCCAGACACGCCTGTTCAACATGATTTATAATTGATTTTACAGCTTCACAAATGTGCCACAGAAATGGGAAGTTACTCACACTTTATTAACATTCATTAAATCGTTACATATAACACGTCAAATGCTTAATCTAATATCATGATTTTTTCTCTTTAGATGGCCAACCTGACCCCAGAGTTCGTGGCAGAGATCATTGACAAGTTTGAGGTGTCTGATGAGAATAAACAAAGAGGCATCATGGGGATCGAAGGTAATTCCTCCATTTCTTCTCCCGTCTGCTTTTTCTTTTTTCCTATAATCCTCTTAGCAGGTCATCAATTCAATCAACCAATTTGATTAATCCATCGTGATTACTTTTTATTTTCATTGAAATGAATGTCTCAAAACAACGCTAGGAGAAATGCCATTAGGACTTCTTCAGGAGGTTTGTTATTAAATGACGTAAGCTTGAGCGATTTATCAATGCTAATTTTACGCCGTATTTTCAACATGAATGGTAAACGCTGTGTGAAATGTGATTAACAAATTAGCCGTGCAACAAAACTGGCTTTTTTTTTTGGTTAAATGCTTTTTCCTTTTTCTCCCAAAGAGAATTGAAACAAAGAAGTGAATGTAAAACTCCTCTAAAGGATTGAAACCACTGGAGATATCTAGAATAAGGTTTTAATTTTATGAGAAATAAAGTTGTCAAAGAGAAAAGAGGGTAAATTCATGCGGATGAAGTTATAAACAAAAGAGATCAGAGTCTTTTGTAATTTTGTAATTTTACAAGAAACACACTGAGGGAGAAACTTAATTCGCAGTAAGATACAGACAACAATAGAGCAACTCAAGCAGTTACAAATGAATAATCGGTTCAAGTAAGGGTGTGGAAGTGAAAAGAGAAGCAAGAATAAAACATGCTATCATCGATTGATAAACAATGCAACCCACAACAGTAATCAATAAAACAGTTAAAAGCCATCAGAGAAATACAAATATTAGAGGCAATCCAATTAAAACCAATAAGAGACGAAGAACACCGACCATCCTGTAATTTCATCCTCGATAGCCGAAGGCAAGCAGAGGTTCTGGTTGCAGAAGTCTGCCTGATAGCCTTCAAAATAGACTCCATTTTTAGCATTAACTATTAAGAAGGCCTGATTTTATGAGAACATGGTGCAGATGCATGAATCCATTGAGCATTCAGTTATTTATGAAATCTATATGAGTATACCCTTGACAGGTGCTTTATGTTCTTCATTTCAGCGCAGACAGATGGCTGTTTACCTTATCTTTTCCCTAAAATCCATTTTTCTTCTAATTCTCACTGATTTTTACTTTATTCATTAATTTTGTCCTCATAATCTTAACTTTTTCTCCAATGGTGATGCCTCAGTATTATGTCATTCAAACACATCAGAAACTGGGCTGTCTTAAAATCAGATGTTTGCCCTATGATAATGAAATATCCCAATTATAAGATCAAGATAAGATAAGATAAGAAATTCCTTTATTAATTTACACAGGGATAAATACAAAAGAGAAATTAAAGATACAAATTTAAATCAGACATGCGTGTTATTTACAGCTGTTATGCACTTTTGATATATTACAGTTGGAAAATTTGAGTTATTTATATGTATAACTTTATACACATAATAGGCATACACGTGTGTACAGAATATACATAAACATTATCACAATATTTATGGAAAACTTGAGATTTGAAACAACACAGAAAGTTAAATTGAGAAAAGGTAATATAAATGTTCATAGATATAAGTCCATAAATGTGACTGATAAACACAACTAACTTACATGTCATCATCCGGCTCTGATGATATTCAAAGTTATGATTTATCAACATTGTTGGACATGTAACTTAAACTCCTTTAGGGGAGACATTCACGTACGATTGTTTGTTTTGCTTTTATTTTGATTTTTTCCCAGTCTTTTGCTAATCGTACGCTTTTATTTTGAAATATGAGCTAGAACTGATGGATCTGAACTGATTGAAAACAGTTAAAAGAACAGTTAGAGAGTATAAATGTTCATTTCATAACCTAGAGAAGTGAAGTTTTGCATTGGTGTGTATTTTGGAGTTCCATTTCAGAAAATGCTAAATGTCATTAAAGGGTGAGCTGTTGGGAAAAATGGGATTTGGTAAGAAAAGCCAGAGAGAGGAAATGAAAATCGAGGACGGTAGAAAAAGAGAAAATGAGAGTGTGTCAGAAATAAAAGGAGTGAGTATGTGGAGAGGAGGGGGAGGAGGAGGAAGAAGGGTGAGACTAATCTCGATGTTGGAGGCATGAAGGCTAACGCAGTGTGTGTCTGACTGATCACACCAGTATGTCTGATGTCTACTCTGCACGCATGAAATGTGGGTGTTTAACAATGAAATAAGCACAGTTGTGATAGTAATGTCGAAACAGTCATATCAAACAGTCTTTTACAGTGTGATCATGTGCCGTTTCCATCAGTATCTGAATCAGATTTCCAGGTCAGTTCTCTGAAGGATTCATTTCACAGGCATACTGTTAAATTCCGTTTTCAGCCGTGATCCTACTGAGATGAGATTGCGTGTCCGATTTCATCGCTGACTCCCCATAACAAAAATATTTCCAATATTTGCATCACGTTTTCTCATCTCACCCTCACAGTCTCCGTTTCCACATTAAGCGTCTACTTTCCCTTCCCTCTTCTGCTCTCTGGTTTATCTCCTGCTTTGGGTATTCCCGTCTCATTTTCATCCTCCTCTCTGGATGAAAGGATGCTTCCTCCCCCTCAGTCCTCTTCATGCTGTAGTATAGAAATAACGTTGGCTGTGTGAAGTCAGTACACCAGGGTGGTTTCAAACCTCTTCACTTAGGTTTGAGTGTTCCTGACCGTCTCCTATTGCTCATTTCCTGGAGATCCATCCACTAATACAGAGATTTCATGGATGTCACTATGAGAGGCTGTTGAAAGTGACACATGACCTTGTTTCTGGTTGTTGAAAATAGAAACCTTTCTGTCTTTTGCTCACTAACCTAACGAAAAACCAGGCGTCACTGGTTTAAAAAATCACAGTACCTTTTTGATACCATAAGCAATGATTTCTACATTAAAACTGTCATGTCAGGATCTGTTGACAAAGTGTGCTAACCTTGACTGTATGCATTATGGACCGTGTCGCTTCAGTGTTGCTTATTGTAAAATGTGAATCTAAAAAATGCACAGAAGTGACTGACGTTACACCCTTTATGCAAACCAAAGCTGCATTAATTTACCAATAAAAACCTTCAAGATTCCTCAGGTCAGTTCACTCCACAGCAGAGCAGATTCTCGAGATTTGAAGCACACACTTGTGGCACTTAAGGGAAGCTCAACGATGCTTGTGTCAGGGTTTGTTGCTGTTCCTCTTCTGCTCTGCCAATCCAGAGCGGAACCCCGCAGGAGCTGCATTTGTCAACAGAACTGCCAATCATCTTTAAAATGAAATAACAAAATGAATTAAATGTCTCAGAAGAACACTTGGATGTGAATAAGTGGTGAGGCAGGAACCATGTTTGAGGGAATTTAAGACATGTCAAACCATATTTGACAATTATATTTAATTATATTATATTTGATATTCAACAGTACATAAAGGGTCCCAGCCATAGTTCTAGCCACCAAACATCTTTGTAACTTTGCCTGATTTCTTTAGCAAAGAGACTAAACACAACTCACCTACTCTCTTCCAGCAGCTGCTTGTTTGTAGCGAGACCTCAGGCCAGTCCATTGTGGACTCCAGTGGGGTGACGCAGCTCAAGGAAGAACATTTATGATCATTTCTTTATCATTTCCTTGAAGTAATAATCACCATATTAATCATTTTGCACTGCAGACGCGGTAGTTCTTCTGCCTTAGCGTCTTGGTCTGATTGCATTTCCATGAAGAAATGATCATATATTGTCTTATGATTACTTTGTTTAGTAAGTAAGTAAAGTCTATTTATAGAGCACTTTTCACAGATAAAAATCACAAAGCGCTGTACATAAAAAAGTGCAATTAGATAAACATAAGACGGTAAAAGATAAGTACATAGACATAAAAAAATATGAATACAGTACAGTTAATATGGAAATAAGTGCAGATATAAAAGATGAGTAAAAGAGACAAACAGAACCCTGTTAATTAAATGCTTGTCTAAATAAAAAACAAATACACACAATGACTGATACATTTCACAGCTGCAAGACTACAGGACGAGTTTTTTGTCCACAAAGACCACTACAAAATATATTTGGGGATTCCAAAACAGCCTTAAAACAGACAATTTAAAGAATCATTATAAAGATCAGAAAAACTTCAACAACCATTTAAAGAGTCAACACTTATGGGTCCTCCTAAAAATACTGTCCAAACCATGGTGCTAATACATATCTATGCTAACATACAAAAGTCCTGTGATGCCTTAATGTGTTTATGTATTTTTTTCGTAGGTTTTACAAGTTTAATGCGCAGTCCAACATGTGATATCTTCAACCCTCTGCACAACGAGGTGAATCAGGATATGGAGCAGCCTCTGAGTAACTACTTCATCGCCTCATCTCATAACACGTACCTAACCGGAGACCAGCTCCTGTCCCACTCCAAGACGGACATGTACGCCTGGGTGCTGCAGTCGGGCTGCCGCTGTGTGGAAGGTAAGTAAGCGCGTATTTAGATGTAAGTGAAGACATCATGCGAGAGGAATCCTTCTGTGAGTTTTCTCTTGGGACATTTTGACACGGCACAGTATGAAAATCACACGTGTGAATAATCAAATTAAATACAGCTGGATACCATTTAGCTGCTTCAGTTTAAAGGTCCTGTTGGTTATGCATGTGGGGTTACTGTCATAATGTCACAGCCCACTGGGACTCTTTAATAAAACAAAGCCTCTGTTAATGTACAGGTAGTTAAGAATGCCTATTAAAACAACCCCCAATGTCTGCTGGGAAAAGAGCCTATTTTAAGCAGGAAATACCTCCAAAATGACGACAGTATCAAGTGAGATAGTTGGATCAGTTATGGTGCGCAGGTGTTACTCATGCTTTGCCTCTCCTGTGTTTCCCTGCAGTGGATTGTTGGGACGGTCCTGAAGGCGAACCCATGGTCCAACACGGCTACACCCTGACCTCCAAGATACCGTTCAAGTTTGTCATTGAGACCATCAATAAATACGCCTTCATAAATAACCAGTGAGTCCAAGCTTACCACCTTATGTGTATTTGTGTTGGGTAGATATGATTGTTTGTGACAGTTTATGGAAGCAACACGCTTCTGTTTCCCCGTTGGAATTATGTGGTGGGAAAATGGTCCCAGAATGACAAGTAGAAATGACATTTTATTCATTCCTCTCTGTTTCCTCACTATTTTGAGTCTGACTGAAACCACATTTTCTGGTTTAGAAAAAAAAAATGTGTTTTTGCTGGTGGGAAACTAGCCCATCGCTGGTCCTTGCTCACAAACACAGAGATTGAATTATTGATTGCATGTTCTTTAACTGGCTACCATAAGATGATAACATCAGCTTCATTGTAACAAGGATGTTTGACCATCTGCAAAACCACTAAGATTTTACATATAAAGTGGGTCTCAGGCTAGCTGTGAAGTATAAATTGATGTGACTGAAGGTTTCCTCAGCATTGTTTTACAGGTTTATGTGTTTCATAGAGCAGTGAGATTGCTGGCAGTAATTAGCACCTATTACCGAACCATCTGTTAAGCAGCCTCTCCTCTGTCTCCCTAAGGAGCAACTGTTTGTCTCTGATGGGTTCAACAATACCAAAACAAAGTGAGGAGGGATGCAGTTTCCTGCTGCTATGCTTGCTTGATTTGACATCCTCTTCATTTACTCATGATTAAAGTGCCAATGCTATAAAACCATTCCCATTTAAAGGTAGGGATAGTACTGGAGTAGGTTCAGCTTATGTTTTTCAAGAGAATCATGAGAACTTGTTGTTTTAGTTTGTCTGAAGTTCACTAAATTATTAAGATAGTGCATCTTGTGTTCAACGTATTATGTTGTTTTTTGTACAGTGGTATTGTGTTGTTGTCATTTCTGTGTGCATGCGGATATTCAACAGTTTGAAAACACCACAGTGAAGGTCGTTATCGATCATACCCTGGCTACAGTGCTGACTAACCCTATCCCATAATACTGTTTGCTACTGTACAATATCAAATCTTCTCTTATAAGATATCATATCTCATTTCCCATCACATTGTTTTATATCCTATTTTGTCAGTCTGTACTGCAATTTACTATACCATCCTATCCTATCATATAGTTTAGTTATCGTTATTATTATTATCGTAATTTCATATTGTAACATATCTCGTTCTACCGTATCGTATCGTATCACTTGGAACCGTATAATATCATATCATATCATATCATATCATAAAGCATTGTATCATATCGTATCTCATCACATTGTATCACTTTTTGTCATATTTTATCATTTATTTTGCTATCCTATTTAATAAAAACAAGCTCTTGAGTTGCTTGTTATTTGCAAAGCAGTTTTTTCGCTTTATTCAGTATTTTGTTCATCAAACCCAAAACAGGCTTTTGGCTGTAGCTTTGCATTTTATGAGCAAACAAAGGCAAAATAATTTAAGATATTCTCCAAAATGTTGAACCATTGCTGCTGTGTTTGGCATGTGTGAGGGTAAATTAAAAATTTTAGACTTTCGGCCAAACAAACAAACCAAAAAAAAAGACTTGATTATGATGTTATTGTAGGTTGTGGATAATCATGTTGTTTGTTTTTCCAAACAAACTAAGAAGATGGCCAATTGTTAAAATCTACAATTAGACATATCACTGTTGGAACCCTCCCTCTCAAACTAACTGGATCTTTTTTTTTTTTCCAGAAAATTATAATGAACATTTTGTAAAGATAATGATGGTAATAAAACACTTTCTCCTAAACAGTAATAGTAATTCTTTGAATCCCTCTGAGAACTAAATTGAAAACACTTTCTGTGTAGCTTTCCTAATGAAAACATGCACATTTGCTAAGTGAGTAATACCTTTATACTCACATGAACTCATACTATAGTAATAATTAGTTATCCCTGGCACAGTTGACAACCAGAACAGAAGAATACGTTTTGTGTCCTTTGAGCTCTCTCTCTCTCTCTCTTTCTTTCTTTCATGTCACTCACTCTGCTTTTCCACTTTTCTCAGTCAGCTGATATTTTATCATGTGTGCCACCTGTTAATATGATTAATGGGCCCTGGGCTGTATGGAAATGGATTGAGTCCTCGCCTTCTCCTACATTTTATACACACATTTCACGGCTCATTGAGCCACCCCACTGTCTCACCTGAAAGCTGCTCCCGCATGTCACCGTCTGTGTGTCCAAATGAAATGACTCCGGATGTTCCCTCTCTGTTGTGTCTTTTTTTTATCATTGGCGAAACACCCATTTGTGTGTATGTGTGTGAGTTTGTGTGTGTTTCGGGGATCAGAGGTGGGGTTGGGAACGTGGCTGCATCCGCCTGAGGGAGACCTGTCAGTCCGTCAATCCTGACATTTGAGCTGCACTGCTGTGTGGAGACAAGTTATTTCACCTTTTCTAATTGAAAACACACACAAACACACACCAACACACACACACATAATGCCACTGAGGTGAATAGGTGCTCAAGCGGATGTATTTTATCATTAACCTGCGCACCTTTTTTACTGGTTGGAGGTGAAAAATGAAATCACAGTCTGAGATTTCTCCTGTTTCAGTCCAATTTTACAGTATTAACAGGTTCTGATGAAAAATATGAACATATGTTATATACTGTCTTTCAGGTTCCCAGTTATCCTGTCCATAGAGAACCACTGCAGCATCCAGCAGCAGAAGAAGATTGCTCAGTATCTGAGAGAAATCTTTGGAGACAAACTAGACGTGGGGGACGTGCTGAGCAGAGAATCCAAAACACTACCCAGTCCTCAGAGCCTGCGGGGCAAAATCCTCATCAAAGTAAGAAAAAAACAAACTTATGGATGCTCAGATGTCGGGTTTAAAGATGGAAATTTAAATGAAGAAATAAATAATAAGAAAGTAGACCTGGGTAAAATGAGTGCACTTTGAAATCAAAGCATCTGCACAGCAGCGTCTCTGTTTTCGTCCTCTTGTTTCAGCAAAGAGAGAGAGGAGCACTAATTATCTCTGCGTATTTCACTTTGTGCTGTGCTGTACAGAGAATAGAGAGTGGAAACTGTGCTGATGGCGGCTAATTATCGGCCATAAACACATGAACAACTGAAGAGGGGAAAGGGAGAACCATTGTTTTTATCACAAAGGAAAAACTGGCAAGGGATGGGTATCATTAGTATCATACTGAAACGGGTATCTATGTTGATCAATATTCTTATTGATTCCACTCTTGGACTTCTTCGATATTAACTACAGCAGATCGAAACATTGGCTGCTGACTGACGCTGTCTAAAGAGGTTTGTTTTTCCATGGACTTACTGGTTACTCAAGATTTGACTCCATTATCCATTTAGTGGGTGAGATGCTCAGTGGCAGCTGGGGATCCCCTCGTTCTGGTACTCTAGTGTTACGCTGAAGTCTTACATGGATTCAACTGCATAACTGATGCAATATACGCACTTTGTTTGCACACAAATCCCCAAAGCTGTTGTTAACAATAAGGCCTCTCAAGCTGACTGCACAACCCAGCAGTAATATATGCAATCCCCTGAGGATGTTGGCATTAACCCCCGAAATCACACTCTAAGTGAATAAAGAATTAACAGCAAATAGATGAACTGAAATGTGCTCACTCACTTATACCAAAAATACACCTGATACTCAATATGGTTCTTAACCCACACTCTTAATAGTAACCAGAATCCTTAATAGTAGACACAAATACAACCTGCAGTTACTTATTTACAACAACTCAGTGATCAACATGAGGATATAAAGATTTAAAGACACAAACTTCATGAAAAAATATGACTGTCTTATAGAGTTTACACAGAACTCCTGTAAATATTCATATCAAAAACCCCCCTCTAAAGCAGCACGTGAAAACTAAATAATGTCTCCTCTTCTTGACCTTTGATAATCAATGATTCATCAGTTCATAAACTTAAAATAAAGTTACTCTTGGTGGCTCACATTCTCTGTCCTCAAAACTCCCCCTGCCAACATTAAGACTGATGCGGTGCTCCAAAAGTCCTCAATTTCGGGGTGGAGCACTTCTGCTTATGTTTTAAAATTCCATTAGATGTCCCCATTTAACAGCTCGAAATACATTATTCATAGATTTTGCTTGATATTTTGCAGCTGTTCTTGATTTTATGAGAGTATCTAGAAAGTTGATATGTTTTAGAAATGGTCTTCACAAAAATTTTGCTATCTTTTTTTCTTCAGGACTCAGAATATGGAACACTGATTAGCCACCATAGACCTTTTTCACAGTACGTGGAAGTTGGCATTCTGCTCACTTCCGGTGTTAGCGTGTGGTGGAGCCACTTAGCATCGCTCATAGACGGCCATTCATTTTTCACGATATTAACAAGCTCGCGACTCGTTTTTTTGAAAGGTAATTTAAAGTTTTATGCTTTGTACTGTTTTACTAACTCCTGTTCTACATAATACTGTCCGGATTTTGTACTTTACTTTTCGGGAATTATGTTTAATAGGTCATTACTGAAGAGCAATGGTTACCATCATCAGAAAATATTATTAAACATAATTCCCGAAAAGTAAAGTACAAAATTTGGACAGTATTATGAAGAACAGGAGTAAGTAAAACAGCACAAAGCATAAAATTTTACTTTACCTTTCAAGAAAACGAGTCGCGAGCTTGTTAATATCGTGAAAAATGAACGACCGTCTGTGGGCGATGCTAAGTTGCTCCACCACACGCTAACACCGGAAGTGAGCAGAATGCCAACTTCCGCGTACTGTGAAAAAGGTCTATTGCAAAATTGAACATTGAAAAAATAAAAATATGGAAATTTGCACAAATTTATCTTGCTACAACAATAAAAAATTGACACTATAAAAAGTGATAGCCTAATATAGTTCCTGAATTTAGCTGCACAGTGAGTTATCTTCAAAGAGCACATGTCTCGCCTCCTCGGCTTTTCTTTTTGCAGCTCTTACATCTTTCATCCCAAAACACAAGAAATGTGCCCGGTGACATGAACCTATGAAACACGACTGATACCATCACCCTACAAGAGAATGAAAACCCGGCATATTATCTGTCATGCACTCTCTCTTTGATGGCTTCAGACCAAGCAGATCCTAATCCACCAGCCCAGGTGGAGTAACAGAGAGGGCATGTGGATGAGTCAAAGCTTTCAGCATTTATTGGATTTTCTTTCATAGGAGCCAGATAAAATAAACCTTATCTGTAATGTGAAGAAAGCCCACATTGTTCCCTGGGAGAAGCAGCTCTGGCTTTGTCCCTCTACAGCCACACACGTCTAGAAAGTGAACGAACATTATTGATTTTCTATAAAGCCTTTTAGTTCTCTTGAACAATTTTCCTCTCTCTTCCCGGGGTTTTCTCCTGCCCTCATTGGCGCACCTTTCACCTCTCTCCATTCTACAGAGGAAGGAGAGAGCAGAAAGCCATGAGACAATGAAAGAAATGGTGTTTTATGGCGGTCACAGATACCAAGCGGCGGCAGGGGAAGGACTTCTAGTGACGGTAGTTGAAACAAGGGCAGAGGCGGTAGCCTGAGAGTGTCTTTGGAGGAAGATAGTTAGAAAAATTTTGACTCCCACTCACACCTCCAGAATGGCTCACTAATGGGCTTCCACTTTACAGAAAGAACTGCTTGGGGAGCTCCTCAGAGCAGCTGATTGTACTATTTGTGTGTGTTTGGCAGCAATGTGTGTTTTGTGCCCTGTGATGTGGCAGTAATGGCTTTCCCTCTGGCTATAAATACCAGTTGGAAATACATAGTAGAAAGAGAGGACATGTGCATCTTTGAGTGTGTGTGTATGTGTGTGGAGTGGATGCCTGAGTTAAACCATATTGCATTCTGCTGTGTTATTCTTGGAGGTGCAGCCTGTGTTGGCGTTCTGAGAAATAAGCAAGGATTTGCGCTAAATTGAAGACATATGCACGGGGTTAGAGGTCTGATTGTCGCTCTCCTCCCATCTCATTGTCTGTCTTCTGACTTTCCAGGGGAAGCGTCTGCCTGCGTATCTGTCTGCCGACGCTGAGGAGGGGGAGGTGTCGGATGATGACAGCGCTGATGAAATTGAGGACGACTTCAAGCTGAAAAACAGCAACGTAAGATAAACGGACATCACGAGCAGAATCAATCGACAAATCAAAGCAGAATACAGCAGATATATGGATTAACGTCTACAGTTAATACGATTAGATGAAGAAGCTGAAAAATCTGTTGATATATTACAGGATGATCCATCCTAATAACAAGATTAAAGGGCCACTCTGCCAAAAAACCAAGCAATTACCAGTCAGAGAGACTTAAAAGCATATACCAGCAGTTTTACAAGCAGTTGTAACGCAAAGTTATCCTGCTAGAGCAAGACAAATAAAAAACTCACAAGATAGTTTCCTATTAATACAGGCTGTATTTGTGAATGATATGGCAGTGGTAGCAATAAATCAGGGGTCTCATTTTACTGTGGTTAACAGAGATGGATTTTGACTTTACTGTCAGACTGTAAAACAAACAGATAACAGAGAAACTCAAAGGTGATAAGAGAGTCAGAAAACCCAGACACAACAGAGTGGCAGCTCACTCTTTCTCTGCTGTTAAATATTTCAGGACTGAAACATTTCTTACAGAGCCACAGTAAAAAGAAACCAATCGAGCATAGTGTTAGTTCAGGCAGGCCAAAAAATCAACAACAGTCGATTTCAGCCAATTTTCCCTACACATCCTGGTGATGAATATCAAACTAGACGTGTTGTTTAAACTTCTTTATGGTGATGGTGTGTGCCCATTATTTTAAGGTTTTAAGAAAGTGTTGGGTACTGAAAAAGATCAGAAGGTTGTTTTATATTGACATTCGTTCAAAACAGCTTCAAACACGCCTGTGGACAACAACCCGCAAAGTCCCTTATTCTTGTTTTTCTGCATGCCAATAAAACCAAACAAGCTCTTGATTAATAGTGATTGATTTTAAGCCAACAAATCAAAACATTGTTTTTGCTGGATAAAAAAAGAATCAGTGAAAGAAGAAAAAACAACACTGAAAATCCAGAAAAATAAACCAACAAGAAGATTTAATAATAAAAAAAAAATCATCCCAGACAGACAGACAGACAGACAGACAGACAGGCAGGGTTGCTGTTGAAGTATCAGACCTCCTCCTCCACATACAGGCACCACAAATACAAGTGTGATAATGGGATCTTAATGACGTCGCAGTGCTGAACTTAATGACTTTGCTAATTGGGGGTAATGTTGCTGCTTGCAAAGTTTTACAGATCATCGTTGCTGTAATGCTTTCAAATAATCAATGCCTAATGGAGCAGAAATAACATCAAGTCAATAAAAAGGCATAGAGAGGCGTTAACTCGCTGCTCCTTCCTGATTCCTGAACTTTCTTTATGCGGTTGTTTTTTTCTTTTTTTAATAGTCATTCTTAATCTTATTTGTTTGTTTGTTCCGCAACAGAGAACTGCCAGGGTCCTTCTCACTGCTCTCAAAACAGGAAAACACTGCTTTATTAACCAGATGGTTCAGTTGTGTAAGCGAATGTGGCATCGTTCCCACACATTAGCTGAAGGCAGGGAGGCGCAGATGCCTCTTTGGATGATCATTGCTGTTTTTGAAGGGGTAGTGGCAGGTTTCCACTGATGAGAGGTTTTGTTTGGAGCTCATTAAAGCGGCTAACACAGCCGTCACCACTAACACTGCTGTATTATTTTATTAATTTACAACTCTTGCTGTATCATATGACTCATGTTGATGCAGGATGAGAGTATTTGGAGGTATGTACTGTATGTGTGACTTCCTCCTGTGCGGTTTGCCATCTCTCCCTTTTTCTTCATGATTTGTCTTTCACACAGGGCAATGGTAATCCCCAGGTGGAGTCTCACATCAGAAAGAAACTGGACTCCCTGCGAAAGGAGTCCCGCATCGGAGACAAGGAGGACACGGACAGTTTCAGCATCCGCGCTCTGCTCCGAGCAACGCACCAGGGCCTTCAGAAGAATCTGCGGCAGGTACCGTCTTCAGGCGATATGAGGAGCATATGGAGCTGAGTAATCAACAGATGCTTAAGAGAGAGAAAAGAGGGGAAATAAAACTAGGCCACTGATTAGTCATGGAATAAAAAAATAAAGGAAATGACTACACTGCACCACTCACAGGTCAACACCCCCAACTGAACACATTAACATGGACAGTCAGGCAGCAGCTTCTCAGGCAGCCCTGAAGGGACCGCAGTGTTCTCAGCGAGGTGCTGTTTCATGGCGAGCATGTCAAAACAGACACGAAGTGATGAGAAACTAAAAGTCTGCAGTCTTACTTAATATTTAATTCCCCTGCTCGGCTCGTCTGCTATTTATAGATGCTTTCAGTTCAGTTTCCTGACGGCCATTTTAATGGAGATATTTTTTTAAAAGCAGGGTTTCCCTTTGTTTTTATTGTTCCCCAGCTTTGTTCTGCTTCACCTCGTTTGTGCTGAAAGCTTTTTTGATTCCCTCTCTGCTTTTTTTACTGTAATCCTACTTTTTCAATTTCCCTCTGCCTCTCTTCTTTGGCTGTGAAGTGATATATTGGCTCTTGTCTCTTGCAGCCCCTCCGGCTATTGTACTCTAGAGTCTAGGTGTCTTACTGGGAGCTAACGCTGTTATTAGACGTACATCAGATGATCTACACACATACATTTACACAAGCGCATATACTGAAGTTAGGTGTCTCTGAATGTGTTTTCCTTGTCTGTAGAGCTCTAAAGGAGTTTTGAAGAAGTCCCAGAGCAGATCCTTCATCACAACCTTAAAACAGAAGGTAAGTACAGCAGCACAGAGAGCAAGGTTGATTTTCTGTGAGATCTAAAATAGCAATTTCAGGTAAATTCAGTTTCTGTGTAGTTGACAATGTGCTTATACCACAAAAAACTTACTGATAATATATTTTATTGATGGACTAGTCGACACAATAATCTCATTTAGCTGACACAAACACTTTTTCCTGATATGTAAGTGCGCTGACACAAATACCCTGAAGAAATAAAAACTGTATTTTACTTAAAAAGAGTGACAAGCCTTACTGAGTGAGAAAATCATTATTTTTTAAATCAGCTTTACGAATCAAGCCAGACCAAAAATTCTGAAAATGAGCAGAAATTGATTTTTAAAAGAGATGTATTTTTTTGAGTATACTTCATCAACTCCATTTCCCCAAATATCTGATTATTTAAAGACAAACTGACTAAATTAAAAGAAAATTTTACTTGATGCCTATCTCAATAACGCGTTATCAACATATGTATAATGCATTATAATCACGTTAAAACACTGTATAAGTAAAGTTGTAAACACTCATCAATGATCGTAATGCTTTATAGCTATAATCATAACACATTATAAAACATTTTATCATGACTTACAAGGTCAGGTATTTAAATGTGTTATGCTTATTGTTATAAAGCCTTGTGATAATTAATGAGTGTTTATAATGATAGTTTTACAAGTTTATAAGCAAATTATAACACATCATAAATATATGTATACGGCATTATCTATGTGGGCATAGACAGTGAGTTGTTAACAGTTATAACACATTATAATACCTGACCTTGTAAGTCATGATAAAATGCTTTATAATGTGTTATGAATATTGCTATAAAGCATTATGATCATTTATGAGTGTTCATAACTATATTTATACAGTGCTAAAACGTGATAATAATGCATTATACATTTATTTATAATACGTTATAGAGAGAGGTGTCAAATAAAGTGTTACTGAAAATTATGGACATGCTGGACATCTTCCAGTTTAAGGAATGCGACCAAGAGATCAAGAGGTATCAATATTCCCTAATAGCTTCCAACAAACAGGCCGCTGAGTTTGTTGTTTAACAGTTTAACATTCGTGTCTGTGGCTTAAACTTATTAGCATCACTTAGAGGAGCAGGAAAGAGGCCTGCTGTCCTGCCGCTGCTGTCCTAGAGATAAATCTTCCATGAAGTCACACATAGAAAATGCAGTTACACAGCAGCTTTTGAAGTTGTCTCAGCCTGTGGTGGGTCACGGACTCATAATTAAGCCTGCCATGCTTATCTTTCTTGGTATAATACAGATCAGTGAATGCATGCATTATGAATACCTTTGAATTAAACATGCAGGTTTTGTATTTGATCCTTTCTGAGCCGTGTTTGTCCTTTAGAGAACTGATAATTCTTTTTTATAGAATAATGTATAGGTTTAAGTATCAGTGTGTTGTACGGGGTTGTTCTTTTGCATTCAAATATTATCTTTTGCTTCAAATTTCCTCCTCCATCCATGGGTTTTTCTTTTTACTCCCTCCAACATCTTCTCTGTTTACTCACTCGCATCTCCTCCTCATTCTTTCATGCGTCCCTCTTTACATATTATCCATCCTCCTACGTGTGTGTGTGTGTGTGTGTGTGTGAGTGTATATATGCCTGTATGCATGGGTGCATTTAATCTGTGAGCAAGCAGCCTAAACCCTGTAATTACTGTGACCCTCATCCCCTTCAAAACTCCACTTTAGCACTGATAGAGACGTCAGAGAAAAAAACACACACACACACACACACTAAATATAATTACACATGTGACAGCTAGAACACCCACCAACATGCAGAAAAACGCACAAGCAAACGGCTGCTGTGAAAACAACACAGTGTCTGAATCACACAGAAACACACACAGTTTGCAAGAGACACATTACTAACAACCTTTGCCTGGTGAAGATCTCTTACAATGCGAGTTTGGGTGTAGGCGGTATCATGCATCATGTGTATTTATATCATCAGTCAGGATTTCAGCTGAAGACTACAGACCATACTGTATGTACTCTTCTGCTTTACAGCCGCTAAGCACATCTTCACTGTGGTGTTACTTGTTGGTCTTGTTTGTTTGTCCAGAGGCACTCTAAATCCAGGCTGACATGCCAGAGCTCGGAGAAGGAGGAGGACAGTCAGGAGAGATCTGGGAGGGACTCTGGAGGACAGTTTAACAGGTAACCTTTGACCTGTTTCATCACAAAACCGACCATCCCAGTGCCACCCAAGGGTCTCACGGATTCAGTAAAGAAGTTTTCAATGCCTATAACTCGAGTTTGAGGAGAATGAGGAGACTCACTGGGGAGATGACCTCTGACTTTTTCACAGCCTGTGTTCACAATAGCCAAAATATTTCCTTTTTTCTAAAGCGCCTTTGAGTAACTTTCAATTCGTGTCAATTTTGGCGCCCCCTGTGGACAAAGAAGTCAAATTAACACAACCAAAAGCTCCACACATGAGATTTAAGCAGTATTTCTTCTACTTCTATAACTTAAATTCACAGGGCGCTGGTTTGCCTGGCGGGTTGGTGCATGCCCCATGTGAAGGGCTGTGGTTCCCGTTATGCCAGTCGCAGGTTTTGACTCCTGGTTGCGCCCCTTTGTTGTATGTTAGGGTGACCATATGTCCTCTTTTACCCGGACATGTCCTCCTTTTTGGGGGCTGTCCGGGTTTGGACTTACTGAGTTAGAAGTGCGGAAAAGACACTTGATCCAGCCTGATAAACTCTCAAAATTATCTTCATGTGACTCTGTGACTCCGCCCCCGCTTAGTCTTGTCTTCTTTTCTGGAAGTTAGAATATGGTCACCCCATTGTATGTCATCCTCCACTATTTGCTTCCTGAATTTCCAACCAATACAGGCAAAAATGAGTAAAATGAAGAATTAATAAGAGCATTACACATCATTATTCATTTGAATTAAACCAGGAGGATTTCAGTTTTAGCCTCGGGTCTGTTCTTGCATTACCTTAGACGTTAGTAAAATGAAAGTTTAATTTCTACAAAGATTTTTCTGGTTGGTATTAATGAGTTACTTTGTCATTTGATGTTTGTTTGTGATCCCAAAAATGAGTCCAATAAGTTTTTGCTAAAAGCATGATATTAAAGTCCCTGTGAGGAGTTTTTCGCCTGTTTTGAATCAGACCGAGATCGATACCGTACCTCTTTATGAGCTGCAGAAGTAAATTAATGAACCTGAAACTGCTGCTGCTGCTGCAGGGTAGGTGTCAAAAGAAGTGATGAACTAAATACTGCTAAAAGTTTTTGTTCATATTATCCATAGCAACAAAAAAATGAGTGATGCACCAGACTGTGAAAGTCGGCAAAGACACAAAGAGGTAGAAGTTAATCCAGGGGGCGCCATATTAGTCACAAATTAAAAGTTACTCATAACTTTTAATTGCAGGGAGCATTTAGTATCAAGGATCCAAGAGAAAACCAACATGACATCCACAAAGAGCATGATCCAACAGGAAAACATTGCATCAGATTAACATCATGGTAACAGCAACATGGTATCAGTGTAAGAAATAGAAATAAATCCCATTAAAAATTAGGATTCAGTGTCTTTCCACATTTACACTGTTACACTGAAAGTGATCTGATTCACCAATGAAGAGGAACAAAATCTAATTGAATCCCGTTCCCTCAGCTGCACAGATATTTCCCTGTTTCTTTCTCTCCCACGTTTTTCGTTCACCTCTGCCTCTTTCTTTTGTGAGTGAACACCAGGAAAGAAGGAGGGATATTCAGCTATTTTCCTCCCTCAGTTGCTCTCTGTGTATCAAGCCTTTGTCTTCCTTTGTTCTCTCAGTCTGTGTTCCTAGTTGCATATTCATATATGCATGTCCCCAGGAACTGTCACAATGCAGATTCCTATAGGCGTGTGTGTGTGTGAGTGGCTTTGTGACTGATTTTGTGCAAGAAAGCACATGTCTGACTGTGTGTGTGTGTGTGTCGTTCTAGTCCTTATGGTAAGCTGTTTGCCTTTGATGCTCTTGCTGCCATTTGTAAGCCACCTTGCATATGGACGTCCCTCTCTTTGCTTCTGACACATCGAGTGTCCAAAAAGGCTAATGTGTTTGTTAATGTTTGTACTTCATCTTCCGTGTGCTCTAGCTGTCTTGTATACTTACCCACACTATCACTCACTTTCCTCTGTTTACATCTCCTCTAATTCTGTCATCTGGCGCTTTGTTTTTAGGGGTGGAAGGAAAAGGAAGACGATGAAGCTGAGCAGAGATCTGTCAAACCTGGTGGTGTTCACCAACTCTGTCGCTTCTCAGGAGTGTCTGAATGAAGGTAACATACCTCCATACATAAACAAATAGGCACAGTGAAATCTCTACCCTGGGGGACATTGTCTTACGCCTAACCCATGTATCTCCTCAGGTACTCCAGGTGATGTTTTGTCATTCAGCGAGACCAGAGCACAATCCCTGGTCAATCACAAAGCGGAGCAGTTCCTGACTTTTAACCAAAAGCAGCTGTCACGGATTTATCCCTCAGCCTATCGCATCGATTCGTCCAATTTCAACCCCCAGTTTTACTGGAACGTTGGCTGTCAGCTGGGTAAGACGGCTGTCTGTCGTTTTGTGCTTTTGACCTGCATGGAGTCTGCCTCTTTATGAAAACACCAGGTGCCCCGCCTTAAGCCACGTAGCTGCCACTGCAAATTAACGGACACTGTGTACGACATGTGTGCAAACAGACACACACACAGATTTCTGCTGTGGCTGGCACACGGCATAATTCATTTATAAACAAAGCTGTGTGTATGCTTGTTGTTATGTGTGCAGAGGCAAGATTGTAAATAAGACTGAGTGCCCACAAGCCTTAGCTGGAAACCCATAAATACTAAGATGATTAAAAAAATGAAAAAGAGAGAGCCAAAATATTTTCTCAGAAACAAAGTGCTTAGAAATCCAGGATACAATAATATCCTCCTCTGCTGCAGCACAATTTTCTGTTCGATCCTCTTTATTGTTACCTGAGAAAGTCCCTAATTAAAGCTTCTGTGGGGGACTTTTGGTTTGTGTCAGTTTTGGTGCCCCCTGTGGGCAAAGCAATCTCATCCTGCTAACTCATTTATTCTGAACATTTTTTGTAACTAGTATGAAAACAAGGCTTTTTTTCAGCAACTCTGCTGACACCTACCCCCTCAAACTCGTTTCATGCATTGAAAATAACATTATAAAATCATCAGTCTGGTCTCTTACGGTCGTGTTTCCTTTTTTGTGTCATAAAAAAGAAACTAGTATGAATTGTAGTCGATTTTATAAATGTTAAAAACTCCTCATAGGAGCTTTAAAACAGCCACGAATAAAAACACAAAAGGGGGGAAAAGAGAAAAACATAGACAGATGCCTTACTTCGCGTTTCTTCTTCTCCACTTTGTTAATTGCTGGCTCCTTGTTCATTTTTTCCTTGTTAAGGTCTGAAGGTTTTGCAGACACACAGGCCTAATGAACAAATAAAAGAGAAAATGAAAGAGGAACATTTGATAAATGAAAAACATTCACAAATAGAGCGACAAAGCACCCCCTCTGATGTGGATTTTGCTTCCGACTGGTTGGCAACCTCAGAAATGCTACATGCTTTTCCTTCACCACTTTCCAGATAGTGTCAAATAAATAAAGCTGAATGTTAGTGGAGTTTTAATCGTGAATTCAAATAATAAATGTTCTCTTTTTGATCTTTTCAGTTGCTTTGAACTACCAAACAGAGGGCCGGATGATGCAGCTCAACCGAGCTAAGTTCATGGTGAATGGAGGGATTGGCTACGTCCTCAAGCCACCACCCATGTGTAAAGGTACATTGGCAAAAACAATGTTAAATCAGTGTTTGTTCTGGCTGGGTATTTGCAGCAACTAATAGTTTGAGGATAAGGCTTTGGACGGAGAGAAAAAAAAAGGTTTTCGGTGTTGAGTTTTGGTGATGTTTTCTGCACCACATGAGATAATAAAGATGATTTAGTCCGCATCATGCTGCAGCCCTGTTCTGGATCCCTTCCAGTGAGGGAATTAGTGAGACAACAAAGCAGATGTGGACCTTTTTCACAGGGTTGCTACACATAGGGTTGAAAATAATGATTTAAAAGCACAGAAAACATGTGATTTTCTGTGTATGTGAATGTAACTGAAGTAAGTTACAGGAATGGATGCATGTCAAGAAAGTTAAATTGACATTTTTAACTTTTGAGCAAAAAATGATTACTCTCTCATATCTTGTGTGGTCACTATACTAGCTTGTGTGCATATGATAATAACTTGTATGCAGGTATAGCAAATATCACCCCGTGTTTGTTATTTTGCAGCTGCTTGCTTATAAATATACACACAGCCCAATCAGAGAGGATCGGCTCATACAGGATTGAGTGATGACATAAATCAAGCTTCTTGCCCTGCTCTCTTTCACCCCCTCCAGGCTCGTTCAACCCATTCTGTGATGACCCGCTCCCAGCTTACCCCAAAAAGCAACTCATTCTCAAGATCATTAGTGGACAGCAGCTGCCCAAACCTCCAGACTCCATGCTGGGGGACCGTGGAGAGGTACCAGATCACAAGAACTGTGTGCCCACATCCTCCATCTGTCTGTCTGTCATTAATACACACACACACACGAATGTTCACTTAAACCTGAAATTAACGTCTCCTTTGACAGTGATATATTGAAGGTCATGAGAAATGTTTTTGTCTTTTCTCCTCCGTCAGATTATCGATCCATTTGTTGAAGTGGAGATCATCGGGCTGCCAGTTGATTGCTGCAAGGAACAGACACGAGTTGTTGATGACAACGGTGAGACACACACACACAGTGATTTGAACTGTGGGACAACACTGTTACCTTACTGAGCCACAGAGGAAAATTGCTCAGTGTCTATGATCAATATCATAATAATGATGTATCAGATGACAGTGTGAACGGGTCGGCTACAATGAGAAAACTATTACTGAATCTGCAGCTCCTCTTTGTTGAGCTTTGTTGCAAGTTTCTGCAGTTTAAGAGTTCTGACTCACTCTCATATAAAACTCAATTTGTGGCTGTATTGTTAGTGGAAAAACTGGATGAATAAAAGCATTGTTCACCGGCAGCTTAAGAGCTGGACATAAACCCACCAAGACAAGAAAGTAGAAAGAGAGTGATTGTTGGACATACTGTACGCTAACTATATGGCCAGAAATATAACTCATAATGAAAGCTGCAGGATTGTCAATAATTTGTTTATGCTGCCTCCAAGTGGCCAAAGTAAAGCAGTTTTTGAAGGTTTGAAAATTACTTGAATTATCATCCTATTTAGGGGGTTATTATCTTGGGATTAAGGTTTCACTAGTCACTTTATTTGAAAAATAAAACTTCAGTGTAGAGAATAAAAGCACATTAAGTAGATTTGAGCTAAATAGATGCTGCTGATCTGATGCTAATATCTAATTTCTCCTTGTTTCTTACATCAGGTTTTACAGACTTCTGGCATGTCAAAGTCAAAAGGCACAGGGGTGTATCAGGGGTTGACTATGTAATGCTACACCCACTACCTACGCATTTACCACTCTTACTTTATAAATATATACAGTATTTGATCATATATGTTATCAAAGATATTTTAAAAAAAATTGTCCTGTATTATGTAATTATGTTCGAATATAAACTTGAATAAAATAACAGTATCAGAAGAGTAGCTGCAGCTTCCTAATACTCTTATATTATTCTACATGCATTTTTCTAGTATATGATAGCACGTATATCACAGCACACATACTAAGGAAAATTAAGGTTAGCTTCAGTCTGAAAGAAAAAAAAACAATGCCACAGCCACAGATGCTGTGTTTTACTCGGGGCTGTGAAGCACCGCCAGGATCAAAAGTCAGAGTAATTAATTAGAAACATAAAGGAAGCAGAACGAAGGGGTCTGGTTGTTTCACCTCTAACATGTTTCCACAGATGAGAGCTTGCACATAGGGGGAAGGGGGAAAGCCTCCTCTGGAAAAAGGTTATTGAACCCTGAGAGCTCAGCAGCATTATCAGATTAGTGTTCAAGGCACTGAACCATAAAACACTTCATTTGACTCATCAAGATCACCAATTCACTCTTTATTTAAGTGCTGCTGATAGGCATGAGTAGACCTGGAACAAATAATCTATTTACTTTAATGTCAGGCTGAGAAGAAAGATTAGAGAAAGATAAATATGTTTGCCTGGATTCCCCTCAGGATTCAATCCAGTATGGGAGGAGACGCTGTCATTCACGCTGCACATGGCTGAGGTGGCGCTGGTGCGTTTTCTTGTCTGGGACCACGACCCAATTGGACGGGACTTCATTGGACAGCGGACAGTTGCCTTCAGCAGCCTGATGCCTGGTCTGTGTCGAATCCTGACATATTTTCATCTTTATTCATCAAAAAAAGAAGATAAAATTACATCTTTTGAGTGTAAAATACATAAATATATGAACAAGTTTCTAATGCAAGATAGAGCTATTACAACCAATCAGGAAGCTTTTTATTCAGATATACATGCTTACATAGAATATATGGCTTTTGGGCACATTCTTTGTGTCCAGTGAACCATGATTGGTCTGATATTTACATTATAGGACCTGTCATCGACATCCATCAAGGCTGTAGTTGAACTCTTTGTGCCCTGTCCTCTGGCAACATCTACACCATCGGTTATATGGTAAAAGGTGCCATCCCTCTTTCTATCATTCACCCGCTAACTCTCTTCTTTCTCTTTATCAACAGGTTACAGACATGTTTACTTGGAGGGTCTGACTGAGGCTTCCATCTTTGTGCATGTGTCAGTGCATGACGTCTATGGAAAGGTAAGTTCTTCACGGCCGAGTGTTTAATCCAGTATTTTCTCAGTGTGTATGATTTCTTGCCTAAGGTTGTATTTTTGCCTAAGGTTGTATTTTTGCGTTCAGCAGGAATAAAACAGTGTTTTTTCAACACAACAAAGCATTTAAGCTGTGCTCCTTCAACCCTTTGTCTTTCTAGTGGAGCCCTCTAGTCCTGAACCCCAGCTTTACCATTATGCACTTTCTAGGATCTAACAAGGTATCACATTGGTGCTTTTTGCAGCTGCATGAAAAATAATGCATGATGCAAAAGTGCAGGAGTGCAGAAGTTTTTGTGTGTTAAACTAAAACAGTGGAAAGTTCAGTTTGCTTTGCAGGTCATAATTATTCATACTTTATTGTTCTGCTGTTGTCTCACCATATCAAAGATAGAACCGTTTGATATGGCGACATGCATGCATAATTTACTGCAGCCTCTTGCAGATTGGTTATTGTGGCATTAAAGGAGTAAGTGTGCCCTCTATGGGGAGTGTGTATAAAAGCATGAATTTGCAGTATACTAAGTTCAGTATGTCCATTCATTTTCCTTTTAACAGTTGACATTTTTATTTACCCTGACATGTGAGAAGGTTTTGTCTTTTGTCTTGATCCCTTTTAGCGTCCTTACTCACTGCCTCTCCTTTCATCACCTCTTAGGGTGGTCAGCTGCGAGGTATCCGAGGTTTGTTCAACCGCTCCTCCAAGTCCTCCGTGGATACGAACTCTGGTGGCCTTCGTAAGCGCTCCATCAGCGATCACCTCCTGCGCCGCACGGCCAGCGCCCCGGCGAAGGGCCGCAAGAAGACCAAGATGGCTCTGTCAGAGTCGGTAGCTTCGATATCAGACCAAAAGAACGGCACAGGTGTAGAAGAAGGAGGAGAGGGCGTGTCTGGGAAGAACGAAGGGGTGGAGAAGCGTCTCCAGCCTAGAGCCCCGCTCATCCACAGACCTGTATCCATGCCTTTAGACAGGCTTCTTCAAGGGCAGCTATCCATCTGCTCCCCAGATAAGGAACAGCAGGACATGGGTGCAGACACTGTCATTGGTGGGTATTTTTCACTGAATCCTAATCAAATAAACACATCAGGATTAAATCTATTCTGGTAGTACTTGCACAAAGAAATTCAAAGATTAGAGATTTATTTATCAACGAAAATGGCACTTTTCACGCTTTGTTGTGTTATTTGAATTCTAATTAAAATATGACAAAAATGCTAGTTTGAAATTCTTGTGGTTTACTTTTAACAAAGCGATGCTATCCTCTGTTTTGCTTTACTTATCCTGCTACCAGTATCTAAAACTCATGTACAGTAACCATGTGAACCAAAAGACTGCAGCCTACTCACCATGATACCTTAACATGCCTTTTCTGTCCCATCTTCATTTGTTGTGCTTCTTTATAGTAGAGAACTGACTAGGATATACCAACAGGTAACCCAAAATACCTATTGTCTGAAGGTTGCATTGTTCAAAAACATGCCAGTATTGCGTCCACCCAGTGTATTTTGTTCCAAAGTGGTTTGAAAATGATATTTCTGTGTCATCCGATCCCATTCGACCGAACCAACCCCATTCGACCATGTCTTTTCCTAATCTGATGTACGCAAACATGGATTCTTCCTTTGTTTTAACCTCCACAGCCTCATTTTCCAGCTTCCCCTTCACAGTTGTACTTGGTGGTCCATTTGTCTGTGTATTGCTATTGCCTTGTATTGGCTGGACTGTTAATTGTTGTCATTTTATTGTTGGTTGGCTTAGTGTTTTTACATTACATGGTTGTAGGGCTCCATATTTCTATCTTTGTTGATCTTTTTCTTCATCATTTTTGTCCACAGGAGGTTTCCCCTTCAACAGGCCGAGGTCTTCATCTCTGGACCCTTTCATTGAAGCATCATTCTGTATCCAATCGAGCATTTCTTCCCCTTCAAAGACCTACATAAATGGAAATCAAGAGTTTGATCCATCACAAGAGGCTTCGTATCTGGTTATTGGTGGAGGGGAAGTAAAAAGGGAAGGAGATTACGCTAATTACCAGCCGAAAGATGATGAAGTCAGCAAATCCAAGTTCATCTCCACAGGAACAGAGAAAAACGGTTTGATCTTGCCTTCCATGAACAGCCATTTAAGATCAGATAAAACAGAAACGTCATCAGGCAGCACAGCATACACAGTTGCACCCTCTGTCTCCTCGTCCTCGTCTTCATCGGCTCCTTCCTCTGTGCCCCCTTTGTCCCCTGTTGGCATGCATTGGGATCTGAAGAGTCCCAGCTCTCTGCATGACAGCACCATCTCCAGACTCATTGATGCGGTGTCCTTAGGCAACGAGCAAGACACATGCGGCTCTATTTCTGTTCTGATTGGTCAGTTTGAGAGCACTGTCGACCAAAACACTACCATAACTTCATCTCATGATCTTTCCACCTTGCAGCAAAATCCAAGGTCTCCCGTGAAGGCCAGTAATGCATCTCCTACCAAGAAACACTTAAGTCCTCGGAAAGCTGCTCAAAAAATAAATCACGGAACAAATGAGATGAAGATTTCACAAGTCGATGCACCTGCCCCAAACCCGTTCATTTCAAGCCCAGAAACTTCTGAGCTGGAGGAGGTGTACACCATACTTGATGAAGAGGTCCTGTTACCAGTTTCAGTGTACAACCTGAGGAAACAGACAGTCCATGTTCAAGCAGATACTATCAACGGCACACCTTCAAGCAGCTTGGCGCCATCCCCATCAAAAGGGGTTCCTGGTTCAGGGAAAGGCTACAATGTGGGCTGGGATGATATGCACAGAAGGAGGGACCAATGTGAAGTCGTGGAGGAGGCAGAGGAAAGTGTTTATGAGGAGGTGTATGATCCCCCAGAGCAAGATCCCAAAATAAGGCAGGACAATCCTCAAAGGTACACAGGCTCCTCTGTAAACCGGCTCCCCCATCACTCAGTCGGAAATGCTTTCACAGAAGTGGAGATAAACGTTGACGAGGATCCACTGGAGATGATACTGACCTCACCAAGGCATGGCGGCCAATGGGATGGCCTTTTAAGTCCAACAAAACGCCATGCTATTTATCAAAACCACGAGTCCACTCCTAACTACCCCCAACAAAAACAGCATTCATCATATCACAGTCCTAAGCAATACCCACAACATGCATCACATGTAGCATTCTCACCGTGTCCCTCCCCAATGCATCAACCTTCCTATCAGCAGCCCAATCACCATCAACACAGGAACAACTCCAATCCCTCCCCCTTCCACAGATCTCTCCACTACAGATCCCCAAACCCTAGTCCACTTCATCACAACATGTACCCTGTTCCTCAGAGCAATTATGAACCTGTCAGTAACAGCAGAGACTTCAGCAGCTCTAACAGGCAACATAATAGCTCTAGCCAGGTCTCAAACAGGTCTTATCAAGACAGGCAAGGATATAAACAGATAGAGAAGGAGCAGGTAAAGACCTTGGACAATGGTTTCCCTGTCAGATCTGCGGTCTCTTCAAACATCTGCAAAGACAGAGACTTATACTCCCCTTCTTCAGAATGTGAAGCAGTGTACAGCTTACCAGACTTTGACTGTCTCACTCCCCCATCAGAGTCTCCAGCCCCTCAAAAAACCCAACCACACTGCCTAAGTCCAACAAATCAGTGCACCCCAAAGCAGTCGTGGAACCAAAAGGCTCCTCTGATCAGTGGTTGGCACCAAACCCAGCTTGACTCCAGAGTTTCACAGCATTCAGATTTAGGCCCTTTATCAACAAAATCCCAGTCTAGCGCTGTAGAGTCCACAGCTCCCAGCCCATGTAAATCCAAGTCCCTGGGAGACCTAACTTCTGAAGATATATCATGCAACTTCCAGAGCAAGTACCACATCATCAGTCGCAGTTTCATCACGCCCCATATGAGGAAGCAAAAGAGGTTCGGCGCCAGGGGGGAAGTAAGTTTCCAGTCACAGTCCTGTGATCCACTTACAGAACAGCTACGGAAGCTGGTTAGTCTGGAGGGGGATGACAGTGATGAGGGTCGGACTCAGCAACCCCAATTACACCAAGAAGCAAAATTGTCATCATCACAGCAACAGGCTGCACCATCCCCGTCTGTTTCTAGAGATTTAGATGATTCCCCTCCACTCCTTACTCGTCGCCTTTCTTCTCGGAGCCAAAGCCGAGTGCGTCACATCAACAGCCGCGCCCGGGAAAGACAACAAGAGGCGTTAAAGCCTCGGGCTGGTGCGCTGATCAACAGCACCACCAGCATAGGTGGAGTGGTACTGAGGAATAAACCAGCCTCCCAGAATCCACCAGTTAACAGACACTCTACTGGTTCTTACATAGCGGGTTACTTCGGTCAGCTGGAGGACCGAGGACTTCCCGAAGGGGCTTGTACATCTCTACGTTACGGTAATGGGGATCACTATGGAGATCGGTTCTATACTGATGACTCCCTTCCACACACTGATTCCAACCCGTCTGCATCAGAGCCTGAAGTTTACTTCCTGCTCAGACTGTAGTTCAGACCATCAGATGATGTGAAGAAAGGCTTGGACAGTCATTTCTGATGATGTTTGGTAACGCCAAAACCGGATCAGAAAATGAAAAATCATAAATGTTTGTTTTTCCATTTTCACAGACCAGTAGGTTTCCAGTTCAATAAAGTTATTCTGGGCTTAAAAACAGTCTGTTATATGTAAGTGAATGATCAAATAAATACCATGATAGGATCTGGCAGCATGATTTTCTTGTATGAAATGTCCACTATTCAAAAGTGAATGGTCTTTCTGGTCTGGCAGTGTTTTGGTCTGTATTCTGCTCTGTGTGTAAATGTTCTTGGGAACTCTGGTTCCCTCCAAATGGCTTCCTAGACTGATTGTACAAATACTTGTTATCTTTGTCCCTGTGATGTACTGTCCACACTGCGAACATTGAATACGACGCAAAAAGAAAATGTTTTTAAGCAGAGGGGGAATGTTTTTCTTTGTATTATTTGAATGTGCAGTAACATCTACTTTTAATAGACTTGTTTCATCTTTTTAAAGATCTGCAGAAAGTCTTCCTTCTCTTTTCAGTGTTAATTCTTTTGTGTTATATGTAAATATTTTTGTCTTTGTTCTTAATCTGAGATGACTCTTTGTCGAGAACCACTTCTAACTGTACATAAATGTTTGTGCATGTTACATGTGAACATGTCAGGCATGACTATGCATCAATTTATACAGTCGATGTTGCATTACCCAAAAAAGAAAAAATATTTGCACAGAACAAATAGTTGCATTGGATACACAGTGGAGAATGGCTTCTTGTGTCAGGTGCAATAAAATACATAAACTTCCATGCTTGGACTTTTTGCTCTCTTTGATTTGTAGAATTTGAAAACATTTCAAATTTTAAAGATTTGGATTTTAAAGTTTTTTATTTTTATAATTGCTTTGATACAGACAGCAAAAACTATCTAAAATGTCTTGTCGGGTCATTGTTATTTTACTCTAATTTTTAACATAATTGAATCAAAAGAAAACTGTGAGAGTTAAAGAAGGCCAGGCTAAGGAAGGAGGTGTGGAAAGCACCTTTTCTTTTCTTCTTCAGTGTTACATCATCCCTTTTCCAGTGTATTGATGATTATCAGAAGACTGTGAGAATTTTCTTACCAATGCAATAAAATTTGAACATTTGATTTAAACAAAATCCATGTTTTATTTTCTGTTTTAGATTCTCGGTGATGACAAAAAAGCAGCTTAAGCTCAAAATGAATTAAATGTAAGTCACAAACAGCCCCGTCTTTCCCCATGCGCCTCCTTCAACATAATGGAATAAAATTGCTTGTGAAATAACTATAATAGAGCTGACAAATGGCACACCTGTTGCTTGGGGAATATTATTCCCATACCAGTTCTGACTGACTGTGCTACTTTGTGAAGCTTTTTGGATCAATAGTACTCACTGCTGTGTTCAAATTAAGGAAAAAATGGCACATCGGATTGTGACATGAGTGTTTTATCTGAACTTATTGCTCAAAGATGATCAAAAAATCCTTTACTTGTGGCTTTTCCAGATGTAAAGAATCTCAGCTACCTTGATTTAATCCCATCACCTCATACAATACTCTTTATTCAGGTAACCTACCACTGCTAACATGAGACTGTTTAGTCCATTATCAGTGATGAAAAAAACACGATTCTTGTCCTGCTTGTTTTATCGGTTTATTGGTTTTACTCTATTTTCTTCGTGCAAAGTGTGTGTAACTTTCTTTCACACTCTTAGATGTAGAGCATGCAGGGCTGTGTATGATCTTCATCCAGACTCTAATGAAATCCTTTTCACTTTTATCTGAAATGAGGACTGAGGACCACTGAGTCCAGTTCTTTATTCCTTTACCCAGGTCAGACACCTTGAATCTTGTCTCGTGTCATCATACATGCAAAGGCTTCAAACTTCTTCTTGAAGAAATCTGTACTTGGTGGCTCTTGATGCTCTGACATCAGCCTCAGTTCACTCCCTCTGAAGCTCTCCCAAGTTCTGCATTGAAATTTCTCGTCCATCCTTTGAAGGCTTCAGTCGACCTTGCTGCCTGTGCATCAATCCCATTCTGGTCACATATCCACCAACACATATAAAGCATATAAAACCCAACTAGAAGATACATCTGAACTATTTGCTCCAGTAAAAAATACCTAGTGTTTCCATTTATTTAAATACTGACGGGCTGTTTCTGTAAATTCTCTCAAGACATCAATCTCATTTTAAATTTTGCACTAATATCTATCTTAGATGAGGTTTTATTGGATTAAATTGTTTAATCTAGATAGGATCAGGAGGTCTGTTTGTCCTCCATGCTAAAAGTATAATAATAAGAGTCTTTTTCCTTCAGGATTAGCATGCTCTCCGCTCTTTGCCATGATGTGGGTATCCTTTTTTTTATGCCAAAACACTTTTATGAGCCTCCAGAGGAAATGCAGATTAATTCCTTTGAATGCTTTTCCATCTCTTTTGGCTAAATTAATTACCAAAAATGATGGATTTTCTTCTTCTTTCACAGATAATCTATTTGCAGGAAACCAGTTCTTTAGTGGGTTGCAGTCCTCAATGAAGGCTGATTCCTGAGTGGGATAATTCAGTGTTAATCACATTCTTTCAGTTCAGTATCCTGATATGACTGCGTGTTTTTAAGTGTTCTAGAAGTTTAGAGGAGAAGCTAATCATAGCCAGCCTTGGAAAGCCAGTGGCATAGAAAATGTTATTAATAAAGCATGCATCATCACTCGAAATTTTCTGCAGCAAACTAAAAATACACCAGATTGAAAAGTTTTTGGTAATTAGAGCGAGGCTGCACTTTTGATGCCTGAAGGCTTTTTTCCAACTGCTAACATCACATCCGCCTATCACTTGTTGGCAGTGTTTTTCCACCATCACTCCAGAGAGGATCAATTTTGTGTCGAGGGCTGCTTGTGTCATCGTCCACTCCCTTGAAAAAGGTCTTGCATATGTTATAAATATTCACATCGAGACATTAGTCGCTCAGAATAGGAGGGGTGTACTGCATGTTGGTGTAAAGATGTAATTTTTAGAGTTGAATCTAAATCTTTTGATAGGATCTTTGAGAGCAGTGAAACATCTTTGTGTTTGAAGTCCTCTTATTGCAGGAAGCTGACATGAGGCTATGAAGAAGTATGTGGAAGTGGATCCAAACTAGATTTGTCTTTGGTTACAGGGGATATTCAACAGATTTATTGCTTGTTTTTCTTAACAAAATTCACTCTTTTTAAATTTTGATTTAGTATATGTTTAGTGTTCAGCACAGCCGTGTCCATGTCCATGTCTCGCTTTGCCTGGTCCTCCACTCTGTGGCCCTCCTCAGCTGTCAGTCTGCTATTTTTCAGTGTTTTGGGCGGACAGCTGGGGCTAGAGGTGGTTAAGGCGGCATTGTGCTCCCACTGGGGTGCAGCAAGCGAGAAAAGCCTCTCCCAGGATGGTGATGTGATTATTGGAGGACTTTTTAACCTTTATCACATACCTTCAGCTGTCGAGCAGGGCTTCACCGAACAACCGCATTATGAGCCTTGCACAGGGTAAAAATCGATCACTATGACTGCTTTGAAATGAATTACTGCAAGGTCATTGGGTCAAATTATTTTATTTTTCAATCTATTTTGGGTCTTTTTTTTTCTCAAATTGTTTAACCAGAAAGTAATTTAATGTTTCTAATGACTACATAGAATTATCATAGGTCCACAAGAAACATAGTTATGGTTTTACATGTTTGTGCTCCATGACCTTATCATGATGTACTTTTTCTCTCTCCTTTTTCTGCGGTTTTAGTTTAGAACTAGAGCCATTAAAATACTCCTACGCCATGGTGTTTGCAGTGGAGGAAATCAATCGTAACAAAGCCCTGCTACCAGGAGTGAAACTGGGTTACCGTATCCTTGATACTTGTCTCCTATACCCCTGGGCACTGCAGGGTGCAATGTCACTTGTAGGGGGAGACTCACAGAGCTGTAATCTGACAGCTCTGACAGCGAGATCAGGTACATGATTTGATTAAGTATGCTGCCGCATGTAATATGCATTGTCCATTTTAAATATGCGTGAAAGGGCTTCTCGAGTAATCATATGCCAAATACTACCAGGAGGTGGTAAGCCTGTTCCTCTGCTCATTGCTGCTGCATCATCTACAACAGGCATAATCATGTCCAGCACCCTGGGGCCTCTGTCTGTGCCAATTGTGAGTCTCATCGCCTCGTAAATAAATCCCTCTATAAGTCTGTGATCTGATCAGTCAATACGAAACAGTAGATTAAGGATTAAAATGGTGTTATTCATGTAACGGTTGAGTTATTATGATAATTTCATGACTTTATTTTAGATCAGCTACTTGGCGAGCTGTCCCTGTCTCAGTGACAGAAGGAAATACCCAAATTTCTTCAGAACAATACCAAGTGATGTTTACCAAGCTTGGGCTATGGCACAGCTGGTCTTACGTTTCCGGTGGACCTGGATCGGAGCCGTGATATCAAACAATGATTATGGTCATCTGGCAATACAGGTGTATGTTTTTGTTATAGTAGTGCATGGCCTAAAACACTCAGTATAAATCATATTTTACAAACACAAATGAAAACTGTGTTTGACTTCTACGTTTCAGGTGTTTCAGAAAGAGATCGAGGGGAAAGAAGTGTGTTTGGACTTCATCGAGACCCTCAAGACAGAAACTATTCGGACCGATGCCGAACGTGCAGCGCTCACGATTCAAGCTTCAACTGCAAGAGTGATTGTGATCTTTTGCTGGTACATTGAAGTGAGGAAACTACTTCAGGAGCTGGCCAAGAGAAATGTGAGCAGATGGCAAGATAACGTCAGTAAAATTAAGTGTTTTCATACTGAACAAAGATATGTATTTTCAAAAAAACAAAATGTCATTCATAGGTGACTGACAGGCAGTTTCTGGCTAGTGAAGCATGGAGCACCAGTAATGACATTATGCAAGATGAAACCATCTCCAAAGTTGCAGGTGGTGTTCTTGGTGTGGCAATTTGGAGTTCAGCTATTCCCGGATTTGAAAGTTATCTAAAGAGTTTGCACCCAATGCGTCACCCTGAAGATGTTTTCTTGAGGGAATTTTGGCAAAAACAGTTTGGATGTAATCCTCTTTCCGCTGATTCCTCTTCTCCTTTTAAGACAAAGTCTGTCCGTCCATCAAATGTTACCAAATCTGCTCCTAACAAGCCTCCTTGGAAAAGTTCTCTGCCACCCTGCAGCGGCACAGAGTCCCTGGAGAGGGTGCAGAATCACTTTACTGACACTTCCCAGCTAAGGGTGGCGTATAATGTCTACCTTGCTGTTTACGCTGCTGCCCACGCCCTCCACAGCCTCCTCTCATGCCCTGAGAGAGACAGGCCAAGCAGAAAGTACACCCTCACCTGCATCTCTTCTGGAGACATCAAACCCAAAGAGGTAAACATGATTATCAACTTTGTTTCTTCCACAGGAGTTGATGACAATGCAATCTCTTAACTGTGCAACCTACAGATTAAAGTAAAATGAAATTATGCTTTCAGCTTTTGCAGCATTTAAACAAAGTGAATGTCACCACACCACAAGGGGAAAGCTTTTACTTCCAGGGTGCCGACATCCCAGCAAAGTACGATCTTGTCAACTGGCAGAAACCCCCGGAGGGATCACTCAGGCTTGTCTTGGTTGGCCATGTAGACGGCTTTAACCTTCACCTGAATGAGTCAACTATTCAGTGGAACACAGGATCCAGTCAGGTTTTCACATCAACAAGTTGACTCTTTCACTGCTTGCATATTAACACAATTGCTTAAAATGAGTATATCTATGAAGGCTTAATGATTCATTCAACAGGTACCTGTGTCAGTGTGCAGTGAGAGCTGTCCACCTGGTACCAGAAAGGCCAACAGGAAAGGAGAGCCTCTCTGCTGCTTTGACTGTTTTCCATGTGCTGAAGGAGAGATAAGCAATAAAACTGGTGAGGAGATCTGTACAATTAGATTACAGAGGCTTATGTTACAAACCCTCCATGGCTCCTTTATTCTTCATAAGCTTTTGTCTTGATCAGGTTCACCTCATTGTGAGCGATGCCCACCTGAGTTCTGGTCCAACCCTGAACGAACTGCCTGCATCCCTCGTCAGCTGGACTTCCTTTCCTTTAATGAAACTTTGGGCATCACTCTGACTACAGCAGCTGTTTCTGGTTTTGTGGTGACTTCAGCTGTGTTTGTGGTCTTCCTTTACTACCGTCACACACCTGTGGTAAGAATCCTGTATAATGTCATAAAAAAAACTCTGTATATATAAATTCTGAAATTTTTCTACATTCTTCCTTCTATTTTTAGGTGCGAGCCAACAATTCAGAGCTGAGCTTCCTGCTCCTTCTGTCTCTGAAGCTCTGCTTCTTGTGCTCTCTGGTGTTCATTGGTCGTCCATCAGTCTGGTCCTGTCGCTTCCAGCAGGCGGCCTTTGGGATCAGCTTTGTACTCTGTGTTTCCTGCCTTCTTGTCAAAACTCTTGTAGTTCTGGCAGCTTTCCGCTCAGCTCGGCCTGGTGCTGAAGGCTTGATGAAGTGGTTTGGTCCGGGTCAACAGAGAGGAAGTGTCTTCATCTTTACCTGTATACAGGTGATGACCTTCATTAAGCAAAACATTATGTCATTGGATACAGAACAATCATTAAATTACTGTCACCTTTCACGCAGGTTATTATCTGCACCACATGGCTGTCCTTAAGTCCACCAGAGCCTCGACGTGATCTGGGTTTCCAAGGTTCAAAGGTGACCCTTGAGTGTGCCATGGCTTCTGTGGTGGGCTTCTCTCTGGTTCTGGGCTACATCGGTCTGCTGGCCTGCACTTGCCTCCTCTTGGCCTTTCTGGCTCGAAAACTACCGGACAACTTCAACGAGGCCAAACTGATCACCTTCAGCATGTTGATCTTCTGCGCTGTCTGGGTGGCTTTTGTTCCTGCTTACGTCAGCTCTCCTGGAAAATATGTTGTTGCCGTGGAAATCTTTGCGATCCTGGCCTCTAGCTATGGTCTACTGCTCTGCATCTTTGCCCCTAAATGTTTCATTATTCTTTTGAGGCCTGAGATCAACACTAAGAAACATATAATGGGAAGATAGTTGGTTTGGTCTTAAAGAGTGTTTGACTACCGTTACATTCGCATACTGTGCCCAGAATTGGTCCTTGGTCATTAAGTCCTTGAGTTCATGCACAGAAATTGAACTTAGCTCTAGTTTAGGTAGGCTACAAAGTCAAGCTCAGCCCATAGGGCTTAGCTGATCTTTAGATTAGCCCAAATCAACTGACAGCACAGCTGATTACCGTCTTTGCATGGAACTGGAAAATGGCTCCATAAACTCTCCATGTGCTCCATCTGGTTTATTCAATGTTGTATGTACTGTCACTATCACACTGTCTTTGCTGCTGCTCTCCCTGCCTTAGACTTTTTCTTTTTGGTTGACATGGTCCTGACTAAACCTCGGTTTAAGTACATATCCCTTAAATTTTTTACAGTGCTGCAGAATACTGCTATAAAACATTCATGGATTCAACAGATAGTCCAAAATCCAGATAGAGTGGTACCCAACTCTGCAGGAGATGTGACGGTTGACTATGCTCATATTTTTTTGGTCCTTAGTAACAGTCATATACTCAGAAAGTCTTTGTTTCACTCTCAGCTTGCTTCGTCGCAGACATTCTCCTGAAAGACCAGGCAACTATGATGTCCACCTCTTTAAGATTTTGCTAGCATTAAGAAAACAAACAAAAAGCAGGTGTAAAAGATTGACTCCAGAGAAACTGCCCTGCCACTGACCTCTTTAATTATTAAACAGCTACAGCTTAGAGCTCCGCCTCGGGCAAATCGCCTCGAGCTTCAAAAGGAATGGTATGATTATTGTGCAAGATCCCACTCCATGACTTTATCGACTTCATGTCGATTTGTACATGAGTATCTTTTGAACCTGAGTGTCCCTCTCTGCAGAATACTTGATGTATCTTGTTGCTTTAAAAGTCTATCAATAAAAAGAAAAACCTCAACCATGTAGTTATCTTCTGTGTGTTTGTAGCTAAAACAGTCTTAGCCCAGATTGTATATTTGAGTATGTGGATGCTGAGGGGTTCTTGTCCTGAGGTAAACCTGTCAGCTGGCCCCTCTGCAGATTACAGTTTTGGTTTTAGTATAAAATTACGACTTCTCTGTATCTTGGTAAAATTGACCAGTTCGTCTTTTATCCCAAACCTGCAGAAGAGAAAGTTGTCGGGCACTTTGATAAGACTCCCCTGCAGGTTTTGTGATAGGTGTCATAATTCATACCAAGGTGCTGTGGTCACGGTGAGGGTCAAATACCTGGGGCCAAACCACCCTCTCCAATCTTACCTCTCTGGAGGCAGCAAATCCTGCCAGGTAATTAAACTGACCTCCTTCAGCCCCATCAATTCTCAGAGGCTTTTTCCCATCAGTCTTGGAGAACTTCTGACATATATTGGTGCAACCTGGTAAGACAACCCCCACCCCCACACTCTTAGAGTTCCTGTTTTCTTGGACCACAACCCCATTTGCTCCTTCTTCCATGGTGGTACAGGACCTGAGGGGTCTCTTTGTATCCTGTCACCTGATGTGTGATTGCTGCCCTGTTGTTCTGCCATTTCACCCCACCAGCATGTGACCCCCACACTGTCTATAATGAATTCTACCACACCTTCACCTCCAGTTACCTCCTACCTCCAGTTGTTTACCTCTAAATATGCGCTAACATGTTGAGAACAAGCCTCTGCACCACTTCATACTACAGCACAGACAGAGCTAGGGATCGCAATTACACCCTACAGAAGGACTCATTATCGGCAAACTCCACCTTGTGGTCACAGTGGGTTATAACTTCTAAACTTTTTTTTTTTGATTTTGGGGATTTCAGAATATTTGTTAACTGAGATGGAAGCATGTCAAAAACCTGACCCGAAAAACCCTCAAAATTTTGTGAGGGGTAATAGCTTTAAATTAGACAATAGTTGTTTTCAGTCACAGCTGAAGAGCTGAGTATGAAACTGAATAGTTTAACAGATAATAGTACATGACTGATCTTTATATAGCCGACTGGACAGGGTATGCCTGATGCTAAAGAGGCTCATATGTTGGTCTGAGTGGAAAAAAAATAATAAAATAAAATAAACACTTATAAATAATATAGAAAAAATATAAAAATCTCTTGTTGGTATTGAGGTATGGTTTCTAAGAGCTCTGACATGACTCCATTCAAGGTGCTGTTAAACAAAACTAACCAAAGCAAATCCCTGAAACAGACAATACAAATAACATGACTAAAAACATGGTCATTATTATTATTATTATCATTATTATTTTAAATTGCAATGTAACAGAGAGTCAAGGTTGAAGAGCTGACGACTTTCTTCCTGCTAATAAGTTTGTGCATGCTTATCACCTGACAGGTTTTTTGTTTGTTTGACCATCACTCCAGAGAGGGGAAGGGGAATCATTTGGGGTTTTTGTGCTGCTTATGTCACAATTTGGATTACTTGATCTGTGTATTATAAATGCTGACATTAAGACTCACTGATCCAGAATGGGAGGGGGGTTGCCAAAATCAAGATGCCTCTTTCAGACTTGGCACATTTTTTCGTGGTTGGAGCCTTTGAAGCATGTTTCTGTTTTTGGGGTCCTTTGTTTTTTTTGCAGGGAGCTGGAATGAATTTAAATTGATTACTCTGGTAACAGGGATTGTTAAAAATTATCCATAACCATTGCCTTTTTCCTCAACACAGCAAATTCCAGTGTCTTGTTTTAGGATAAAAAGGCAGATCTGGTCTTAGCTGAAGTAAATTTGATAGTTTATGCATATTCTGAAATTCATGCAGCTGTTTTGTATATAATTGATTTCCAGAACAGCTCTATCCATGTCTAAGTTCATCTGCTCTTTCTTAATGTAACAGGCAGACCTGCAGGTTTGATGTGGTTCATACAGTCTACGGCTCTGACTAAGAGAAAAGAGGCTGTCAAAGGATGGAGCTGTGATTCTTGGTAGACTTTTTAATCTATATTTCATACCTTCAGCAGTAGAGCTTCATCAAACAACCACATTATGAGCCCTGCACAGGGTATTGCTATATTACATGTTGCTGAGTTTCTGGTTATCATGATCGTAATATCAAGTGTGCACATTTTCCACATGTTTTTTAATGCTTGACCTGTCTTTTCTCCCGCAGCGGTTTTAGTTTTGATGTAGAGTCATTAAAATTCATGTTTGCAATGACCTTTGCGGTAGAGGAAATCAATCAAAATAAGACCCTCTTACTATGAGTAAGCTCAGCTATGGCATACTTGATAGTTGTGTCAAATACCCTTGAGCTCTGCAAGGTGCAGTGCCGCACACACACACACAGCTGGAACTCAGTAGACTTTATACTTCATACCGTGATTTTGAACAGCTTAACTTGCAGTTCCTTTCTTTTTTTCCTAAAAAGATAGTTAATATGATTATAGAGTAAAAGACTGTCATTGTACGTCTGTCTTGTGTTGTTAGTTGGTGGTGAGCTAGTCCCTGTTCTCAGTGGTGCCACCGCATCTACAACAGGCATCTTTTTAGCCCGGGGCCTCTCTTTGTGTCAGTTGTTAGTTTCTTTGAGCTTTTGTTTGATACAGTCCAGGATAATACTGAAATGATACTTTAATTTTCTGCTCAGATAGGCTACTGTGTAAGTTACAGGCTGACTTCAACAGAGCAATTCCCAGTGATGTTTACCAAGAGTACTCCTTCACACAGCTGGCTTTAAGTCAATGACCCCAACGCTAATTGAAACTGTCCCATTCAGGTAGTATGGCTGGCCATAGGTGTCAATAAGACATCGAGACACGATCATGTTTTGCAGAATTTCTAAATAATTGCAAAGAACTTCTGTAAGACATAAGTTTGTCAGCTAACTGGAAAAGTGTCCTTCAACCCATACTGCTCTTCTTGGTTTTCCACATTTGACTGTTTTATATCTATAGTGTGGTCTTTATATGCTTCAGTAGAAAACAAGAGAGACTCATTTTCTCTGTATTAATGAATCTTAAAAGTGTCTCTTTTGACTCATCTGAATAAACATAATTACGGTTTTGAAAATAACTTTAGCTCCTTTATTTATAAGAGGATTGCAGAAAATATTGAAATTTCATCTGCAAGACATTAACTCAACTTATTTATCACTGTAAGGTTATAAGAATATGCTGACAGCTTGGATGTCCTTGTTTTTGCCTTCACTTCTCTTTGCGCAATAAGAACCACTAGATGGCATCATTATACCATTTAGTGCTGCTCTGACATTCTGTGACAAAGTTTCTCTCCACAGTATATTCAGTTATCAGGGGCAGAATTTCACTCATTTGAGTGTATTTGAGACAGAAATGAACGGAAACTTTTTGCAGTCTAATCCAAATACTACTAATAATAAAATAGTTCTGTAACAGATCCTTTTCCAAAAGGGTTCAATAAGTCCATATGTCATTTTCAAATAAGGCTGAGGAACAGTTAAACAATAATCTCTATTAATCATTTTGTCAATCTTTTTTTGTTTTGTTTTATTTACATAGATTATCTCTGTTTTTTTATTACTACTATTATAATTAAGTTTAAATGACTGACACCAAGATGGAGGCATAAAACAAACATCAACAATTGTAATTACATACATCAGTTTAGTTTTAGATTTATTACTGTGATTGAATGATAAATTTACTGTAAATCAGCTCTGCAAAGCTGTGAAAAACTGCAGCAGACAGCTCCACCCTCTCTTCTCCCCTGTGCCACCTTGCAGTCATACTATAATGGGATGTAATTGCTTATGAAATAAATAATGATGATGGTAAGGAGCTGCACACCTGCGGCTTATCTGTGCCTCCTTACTTTGCTACGCTTTTAATTGATTTTGGCTTAACTGAGTCCTCTGAGATGACGTGTCCATGTGCCCTTTTCCTTCTATGATGGCCACCAACTTTATCAGCTTGAAGGGTCAGACTTTCTCCCTCATATTTACAGCATATACTTTGAAGGCTGAAATCCTTTGCAGATTTGCCAACCCTATTTGGCTTACACTGGACATAAAAATCCTATCTAAGGTACCTCTGCGACTTATCCAGTGTTGTTCTCAGAGTCTGTTTTGGAGAAGCTAATGGATACAAAGCTTACAACAGTGCAAAAATTAAACTTTGGGCTACAAACACCTTAAACCTGCCAGCTGGCAAGAAATAAAGGTTGGAGGGAGGTTTATCTCGTTTCTGAGATTAAGCTTTTCCTTGGTTTTTAGAGAAGGCAGATGGTGGTAGCTGGTAAGGCCACGGCCTCTGTCTAGACTGTGTGGTGCCATGTCTGGCTGTCCTGGTCCCAGATGCATGGGGAGATTGTGCATATTTGCTCAGACTGTCTTAATTACCATCTGCCAGGTCAGAGCCAGATGCATGGAAGATACTCCAGCAGGCCCAATATTTCTGCCTCTGCACTCTGGGGACTTGGAGTCTGTTTTGGAAACTCGTAGAGTGGTCCTTTGACCTTATTACTCATCTTATGTAAGCCACTTGCTGCTTCCTTCTGTACGCGGCCACCTGTTTCACCATGGGATATGGAGATGATGCTGGAGGTCTTCAGCAGTAGCTTTAATCAGTGTTAATTACTTTGTAATGCATTACAAAGTGATAAAATACTGTCACTCCACCACTATTTGAGGTTATTAGTGTGTCTAGTTACTTTTCAAACAAACTAATATAGTTGAAATTAATGAAATTCAGAAGGACTCTTTTACAACTATCTAAGATTGCACATCTGATTGTGCGGCCTTGCAAGGCATCCTGGGAAAAAGACAGTAAGCACCACAATATGAATATGAGGACATTAGCTGCATGCCTACAGCAAGGCTAAGATAGTGAGGGCAACATTCCTATTAAAGGCAATGAATGTACATTAAAAATAACTCTTAACTTAACCATTTCTCAACTGATTTTCATGTGGTTGACTTTATTTTCATTGCCAAAACACATGCTATCAATACAGAACATTTGATTTAGAAAATAAAAAAACAAATATTTTATAAAAATGTATCAGTAGCTCGTGTTTTGGGGTTGAAAATAAAGTTAACAGCATGAAAACTGTTTAAGATATGAACAAGTTATGATTTATTTTCAATGTACATTGATTGCCTTCATTAAGATCGTTGCCCCCACCAAGATGGCTGCCTTGTAGCGGGCTGCTCCTGTGCGCTGGCACATCGAGTCTTCTATATACAGTATCTGTGGTAAACACACCCAGTGGCTGCTGATCATTCATGCACAGGCTTTCTACCCTGACAACACCACTGTTATATATCTCTTCTTAAGGACAAGAATATGTTGGTTAGTCGTAGTTAGTGTGCAGGAAAGAAAACTTGGTCCACAACCAAGACTGGTAATTCTAACTTTTTACGAAGCTAACCCCCAGAGACCCAGGTAGCCTACTACAAACACTCCGATTTAGCTAGCTGTTAGCTTGTGTTAGCTTGACAGTCGAGGGAGGAGCCACTCAATCCAAAAAAAATAGCCAAGTTAGAGTACAATGAAGTTGGGGATTTTATAAACCACAGTGTAAAATAGCATTAAAAAGGTTTGGTGAATCTGCAGAAGTTTCTATACAGAAAGTAAATGTCTGACAAAGTAATGAGGGATGATCTTCAGGCCCTCAGGTTGACCTGCATTACAAACAGACATGAGTCTGAAGTGGAAAGCATTGGCTAAAAACATTGTATGTGAAACTGCATGGACAATGCAGTTTAAAAATGTAACTACATGACTGGAGTTAAAGTGAAAGATCTATCAACTGTCCTTTATACACTTTAGAAATTCATCCTGTGTCTGATTTTGTCTCTTTATAGATTTTAATTTCACTTTAATAACCATGGAGTTGTGCAGCCAACAGAGGCTCACACACACACTTTTGTACTCGTCATGGTTCAATAAAAGAAATCACACTTTTTTTTCATTGCTTCGCCCCCACCTTTGTGAGAAGTGATCTGCTGTTTACAAATGTTCCACCATGGGCTTTACAGTTGTTATAAATATCCAGAACAACATCCATTTCGTACAAAGTGGGAGTGGGGTATGCTTCACTTCAGATGTTTTTCTCAGCTCTCATTTTATCTGTTGTAATTTAGCATTGCACGTTGATAATGTATGACTTTAAAGATAACTCTGCACTGCTTAAATTTTTAGCTGACTGTAAACTGTTTATTGAACCTCTTATCTCTTTAGTTTATTCTTTAACAAAGTAATTTGTATTTAATTTTAGGGTCTACAGCAGCTGCATCCATGCTTGGGTCCTCCGTGCTCCTCTCTCTGTGGCCCTCCTCAGCCTCAATGCTCCTCATTGGGCTCATGGGCCGACAGCTGGGGCTCAGGTTTGGGTTACAGGTTGTTCAGGCTCTGACTTGTTCACGTTGGGGGTCACCAGGTGACCAGGGCTTGTCCCATGATGGTGATATAATGATTGGTGGACTCTTTAGTCTCCGTTACAAGCCTTCAGTGACAGCTCAGGATTTCACTCAGCTGCAGTACTACCAATCCTGCACCGGGTAAAACTCTGCACTCAGTCATTGTGTTAAATGTGATGTTAAAAATTGTGTATTTGCAGATTTTTTTTCCTCATAATATTGCAGATTTATATATATGTATTTTCATTTCTTGTTAAAATTTTGCTGGAGATGGAAATGCTTTCTCGTTTAACAATCCCAGCAGTTTCCCTCTCTTCTCCTCTCTGTGTTTTCAGTTTGCAAAATCTTCCCCTGCAGTACATCTATGCAATGATTTTTGCACTGGAGGAAATAAATCAAAGTGCAACCTTGCTTCCAGGCGTGAAGCTGGGGTACCACATTCGTGACAGCTGCGGCACACACCCATGGGCAACCCAGGCAGCGCTGACAGTGGTTGGAGGAAACAGCAGCAGCTGTAATTCAGCATCTCTAACAAACTATTCTGCGGCGTCATCAGCTGATAAGCCTGTGCCTTTGATAATCGGTGGCTCTTCATCTGTGGCGGCAAAAGCACTTGCAAAAACTCTGGAGCCTCTTTCTGTGCCTTTAGTAAGTACAATTACAATAGTTACACTTATTTGTCTGCAGTTTGCAAACTTTAATTGAAAAAAATCTCAGCAACAAGGCCTCACTTTAATAATCTGATCATATGTTTTGGCTCTCTTCTGCTTTTTTCATCTCAAATTAAGCAGCAGCTCTCCGAGGGAATATAGCCCTGCATCTTTAGAGCCAATGAAATTTTAAAATGGCTGTGCTTTATTTTTTGTATCTGTCTTCTAGATGAGCTACACAGCCAGCTGTCCCTGTCTGAGCGACAGAGCCCAGTATCCTAATTTCTTCAGAACCATGCCCAGTGATGTCTACCAAGCCCGGGCCATGGCTCAGCTTGCCATTCGCTTCAAGTGGACCTGGATCGGGGCAGTGGTAGCAAACAATGACTATGGCTTCATGGCAGTAAAGGTGATTTGATTCTTATTTATTTTATTGTGTTTTTTAGGCAATAGTGTTTCATCTATGAAGGATAATTCTACTTAAATACAAAAGTTTTATTTTTATTCTCTCCTTTTCCTCCATCTCTGGTTTATATCGCAGGTTTTTCAGGAGGAGACTGCAGGTAAAGAGGTCTGTCTGGCATTTGTAGAGACTCTCCAAAGGGAGAGGATTGTTAGTGATGCCAGACGGGCAGCACTCACAATTCAGGCCTCCACTGCGAGAGTTATTTTAGTCTTTTCCTGGTATACAGATGTGAAGGAACTGTTTCTACAACTGGCCAAGATAAATGTGAGACGCTGAAACACAATATTCCAAAATCCTTATTGCTATCTAAAAATACTTAATAATGATATTATTTTTTTTCTGGGAAGGTGAATGACAGGCAGTTTCTGGCCAGTGAGGCCTGGAGCACCAGCACTACCCTTCTTGAAAATCCCATCACATCCAAAGTGGCGAGTGGGGTTGTTGGTGTGGCAATTCGAAGCTCAACGATTCCTGGATTTAGAAACTACATTAAGAGTTTGAATCCCTTAAAACGCCCTGATGACAAGTTCTTAAGGGAATTCTGGGTAAAGGAGTTTGGTTGCAATCCTGATGCTAAACCTCAGACTTCATCAGAGGCTTCTTTGCCTCCCTGCAGCGGCACAGAGTCCTTGGAGAGAGTGCAGAATCACTTTACAGACACCTCCCAGCTGAGGGTGACTTATAATGTCTACCTTGCTGTTTATGCTGCTGCCCATGCCCTCCACAACCTTCTCTCATGTCCTAACAGAGACAACAGCAGCTCCTCATGCTTTATCCTGAAACACATCAAACCCATAGAGGTAAACACAACTTAAATGAGTCTCATACTGTAAATCTCTTCTGCTCTTCTACTTTAAACTGAAGTGTTTCAATATCTTGTTGCTTTAAGCTTTTGCAGCAGATGAGCAAAGTGAACTTCACCTCACCACAAGGTGAACTGTTGTATTTCCAAGGGGGCGACACCCCAGCAAAATACGACCTTGTCAACTGGCAGAAAACCCCTGATGGTTTACAAAAACTCACCCTGTTTGGTCGTGTGGACGGGTTTGACCTCCACCTTAATGAGTCCGCTGTTCAGTGGAGCACAGGATCAAACCAGGTAGTTATCAGACTACTGCATTTAAGTCTAATGACTGAAAAAAATACCTTATGGAGATGTTTTTCACCTGTTATTCAGGTACCTGTGTCGGTGTGCAGTGAGAGCTGTCCTCCTGGTACCAGAAAGGCCAACAGGAAAGGAGAGCCTCTGTGCTGCTTTGACTGTTTTCCATGTGCTGAAGGAGAGATAAGCAACAAAACTGGTGAGGAGATCTGCACAACTAGATAACAGAGGCTTATGTTACAAACCCCCCATAGTTCCTTTTTTTTTCATAAGCTCTTTCCTGATCAGGTTCACCTCATTGTGAGCGATGTCCACCTGAGTTCTGGTCCAACCCTGAACGAACTGCCTGCATCCCTCGTCAGCTGGACTTCCTTTCCTTTAATGAAACTTTGGGCATCACTCTGACTACAGCAGCTGTGTCTGGTTTTGTGGTGACTTCAGCTGTGTTTGTGGTCTTCCTTTACTACCGTCACACACCTGTGGTAAGAATCCTGTATAATGTCATAAAAAGCACTCTGTATATATATATTTTAAACTTTTTCTTCATTCTTCCTTCTATTTTTAGGTACGAGCCAACAATTCAGAGCTGAGCTTCCTGCTCCTTCTGTCTCTGAAGCTCTGCTTCTTGTGCTCTCTGGTGTTCATTGGTCGTCCATCAGTCTGGTCCTGTCGCTTCCAGCAGGCGGCTTTTGGGATCAGCTTTGTACTCTGTGTTTCCTGCCTCCAAGTCAAGACCATAGTTGTTCTGGCAGCTTTCCGCTCAGCTCGGCCCGGTGCTGAAGCCTTGATGAAGTGGTTCGGTCCCGGTCAACAAAGAGGAAGTATCTGTGTCTTCACTAGCATACAGGTCAGAGTTCAGTTGTTGCAGAAAATAATGCTGTAAATAAGTGTAGCTTTGAAATATAGTAACATAAAGTTCTGCTTTCTCCACTCAAGGTTATCATTTGTGCCATTTGGCTTTCTCTAAACCCCCCAGTCCCTCAGGCTGACTTTAAAGTCCCTGGATTAACAGTCACTCTCAAATGTGCCATGGCCTCTTTGGTGGGCTTCTCTCTGGTTCTGGGCTACATCGGTCTGCTGGCCTGCACTTGCCTCCTCTTGGCCTTTCTGGCTCGAAAACTACCGGACAACTTCAACGAGGCCAAACTGATCACCTTCAGCATGTTGATCTTCTGCGCTGTCTGGGTGGCTTTTGTTCCTGCTTATGTGACCTCTCCTGGAAAATATTCAGTTGCTGTAGAGATTTTTGCAATCCTGGCCTCAAGCTATGGTTTACTCTTCTGCATCTTTGCTCCAAAGTGTTTCATCATTCTTCTGAGGCCTGAGAAAAACACTAAAAAACACATGATGTCCAGATAAAAACAATTAAAAAACAACATATGATTTTATTTTAAATATAAGAGAAATTATACACACATAGAAACTGATAAATCCCCTTTAGGTCAAGATTTATGTTTTAAACATGATGCTCTTTAGTTCAGTTTTATGACTATACCTTCTATACCTTGTATGTATGTTCTAAGACAGCTTACCTGTTTGTATTATATGGTAAAAAAATATATATTAATCAAAAACACTGTCTGACGTGTTATTTTTAAACTATAAATCTCTGTCTTGTTTAATTTTTAAAAACTTTTGATGAACTTTGTAAAGCTTTGGGGAAAAAAATCATTAAAATCATATTAAAATCTATATTCCCAGATTGTTTTCATTTTTTTAACTTCATTTTTACTTATGACCAAAGGTTGTTTACAAGTTTAAATAAAAATTCTGATAGAAGGGTTTCATCATGTTATACTTTTCAACAAACAGTGAACCAGCAGTCAGTTGCCAACTCATTCCCCATTCAGGATCAAGAGAGCTAAATACTTATGCATAATCTCTTCAAAGTTGAGTCACTGGACTTTGACAGAAATTAATATCCACACTAGATTAGAGTTGTGAGTAAATTAAGGTATTTCTTTAATTCACATTTTTTTCAGCAGTTGTTCTTGTAACTTACTGTTACAGTGCATTCTATTTAATGCTGAGAATTTTGAGAGCTCTCTGTTAAGGGCTTAGACTGTAAAGAGGATGATGGACAGCTATCCACTATAGAAGCAGAGAAACTTCTTCCCACTTCTAAGGTGGCTAGGTGTCAATCATCTTCCTCACAGTCCATGCTCTCAACAGAGGGAGCAACACTGCCTCCCAGTGGATGGGAGAGGTGGTGTTCTCCACACGTGAATATCCTCAACCTGTGTTTGTGTGTGTATCTTGAAAACTGTGTGATGTTTGTCTCAAAATTAAATGCATGTGCCGGTTTATCCACAAACACATATTTCAACAATTCACAAGCAGAATTGAAGATTTACAAATGATAAGTCATGATAAATGCACACACACAATTAAAAAACGTATGTGAAAATTATGGAAACATATTTGTGGATCTGAAAATCGCATGTGGAAATTGTGGATATGTATGTGTGCATAATTCTGAGACAAATCTCTCCTCATATCTTTTCACTGACTGATCAGAGACTGAGAGTAAAGCTGTGGAGATAAATGGAGACTCTCCTTCTTCATTAATAAAGAAATGGTTAAATGTTAAAGATTAATTACTAGACACACTTAACGAGTTATTAAAGAGGTATTTCTACCAAAAGAGAGTCTCCATTTATCACCACTGCTTCACTCTCAGTCTCTGATCAGTCAGTGAAAAGGTGGACTGATAATCAGACATGGGCTGTCGGCTCTGTACATCGAACAGAACATTACAGAACATTATCACACTTCTGAATCTCCTAACCCTAACCCTAACCCTCATCATAATCCTAATCCTAATCCTAACCCTAACCTAAAACATTGCTTCAGGGACGCAAACTTTTTTGTTAGATGGTAGGGGGATGGTCCCGCCCTCATTCACCTCTGATTGGCTAGAAGTGCAGGGCTCCAATTAATTATTCCTTGTGGCTGTGAAATGTCATTGTCTGTCAGGTTAGGGTTAGGGTAAGGGTTAGGGTTAGGATTAGGATTAGGATGAGGGTTAGGGTTAGGGTTAGGAGATTCAGAAGTGCGATAATGTTCTGTACTGTGCTGTTCGATGTACAGAGCCGACAGCCCACGTTTGGCTTGAGCGTGTGATAACATTTCCAGCTTCTCTAGCCAATCAGAGGCGAAGGAGGCGGGACTTTCCCCTACCGTCCTACAAAAAAACCCAATATCGCTTCCGGTATGGATCGGGTAGCTACAGTCCTCAATGTTTTTGGCTAACACTGTCAGAGCCCGGCAGTAGGGAACCTATTGACCTGTAGAATATGGAATGTGTTGCAACCATCAAACTCAAAATAAGTGAAGAATTGAAAAAATATAAAATAAAATAGCTTAATAAATAAATAAATAAATAAAATTAATCAGTTTGAACATTAAATATTTTGTCTTTTTTGTGTATTCAATTGAAGGATTCGCAGATCATTGTATCCCAACTTCATTGGAACAGATCATGTTAACTAAGAGTTAATAGGAAAGTTGACGGTAATAATCAATATCATCAATCCGTGATATTGAGATACATTGTTGACTGAAATTAAATCAATTTTTTATTGGGATTTATCTTTTATTATCGTCATGTTAAGTCCTTCTCACAGTTGTCAAAACCAGATATCTGAAAAAACAGTTTCAGCATTTCATATTTGATAAGCTCTAAAAACTTTTAGTTTACTGTAAGTCTCTTCCTCCTGCAGACAAGAGTAATCTGCAGTGATGCTGTTGTTGTTTTCCCCCTCACTCTTGAGAGGAGTGATTTGGTCTTTTGTGCCGGTGACATCATGTTCACTGGTTTATGGAAAAGCTTTACGGTTGTTATAAAAACTTGGATTTACAATCCAGCTGTTCAGAGGAGGAGGGGGAATGTAACAGGTTAGACATCCTGTTATTGCGTCGTATCGAGGTTATTTGGTGCTTGGATTGATGTGTTTTGAGTTTGACATTGTTGTTTCTCCCCACAGGTGCTGGATAAAGATGGAAAATCAGCTTTAACCTTCAAGAATTTGTATCATTTAAATTTTGATTATATTGCTTTTAAAAAACTGTCCTTCTGAGTTCAAAGTGTCCACAATAGTTGCATCCATGCCTCGGTTCTACCTGCTCCTCTCCTTGTGGCCCTCCTCAGCCTCATACCTGCTGCTTGTGGGGCTCTTGGGTGGACAGCTGGGGCTCAGGGTGGGGTTCCAGGTTGTTCAGACTCTGACTTGTTCTCGGAGGGATACGCTAAGCAGCCAGTCTATCTTTCAGGATGGTGATGTAGTAATTGGTGGGCTGTTTCCTCTTCATTTACTGCTCCCAGCTATAGAAAATGATTTCACTCAGCTGCCGGTCTATCCATCTTGCACTGGGTAAAACTCTGAACTGTACTCTTCTGCTTTTACTGTACTGTGGTGCTAAAGAAATTCTATCTTTGAAACATACGACCGCCAGATAAAAGAAACTGATCTCTCTTGTGCTCCTTTTCCCGTGATCTCAGTTTATTGCGCATTCCTGGGCAGTATGCTATGACCTTTGCGGTGGAGGAAATCAATAATAGCACAACCCTGCTGCCAGGTGTGAAGCTGGGGTACCATATTCTTGACAGCTGTAGCAGACCACCGTGGGCTCTGCAGGCAGCGCTGACACTGGTTGGAGGAGACAGCAGCAGCTGTAATTCAGCATCTCTAATAAACCACCCTGGGGCGTCATCAGCTGATAAGCCCGTGCCTTTGATAATTGGTGGCGCCGCAACTGTAACATCCAAAGTTCTCTCAAAAATTCTGGAGCCTCTTTCTGTACCTTTAGTAAGTACAGTTACTATGGTTACACTTATTTGTCTGCAGTTTGCAAACGGTAGTTAAAAAAATCCCAACTAAGTCTTACTTTAATAATCTGAGTAAATGTATTGGCTCTCCTCTGCTGTCCTCAATTAGCACACTGTTTGAGGCAATAACAGGAATGCATCTTTAGAATCAATGAAACTTTAAAACTGTGATGATGATTTCTGTATCTGTCTTTAAGATGAGCTACTCAGCCAGCTGTCCCTGTCTGAGCGACAGAACCCAGTATCCTAATTTCTTCAGAACTGTGCCCAGTGATTTCTACCAAGCCCGGGCCATGGCTCAGCTTGCCATCCGCTTCAAGTGGACCTGGATCGGGGCAGTGGTAGTAAACAATGACTATGGTCTCACATCAGTAAAGGTGATTTTATTCTTATTTATTTGAGATGTTTGGGAAATAGCATCATGTCTTGGAAGGAAAACCCTACCTTATACATGTACTTTATTTCTATTCTCTTCTTTTCCCTCCATCTCTGGTTTATATTGCAGGTTTTTCAGGAGGAGACTGCAGGGAAAGAGGTGTGTCTGGCATTCGTAGAGACCCTCAGAAGAGAGAGGACTGTCAGTGATGCCAGACGGGCAGCACTCACAATTCAGGCCTCCACTGCGAGAGTTATTTTAGTCTTTGCGTGGCATATAGATGTGACAGAACTGTTTCTACAACTGGCCGAGATAAATGTGAGACACTAAAACTCATACCTATCAGACATGACATTTTAAAAGCACTATTGCTGTCTAAAAATACTTTATAACTAGAGTTTTCTTTCTCTGATAAGGTGACTGACAGGCAGTTTCTGGCCAGTGAGGCCTGGAGTACCAGCACAAATCTCTTTGAAAATCCTGTTACATCTAAAGTGGCGAGTGGTGTTATTGGGGTAGCCTATCGGAGCTCAACAATCCCTGGATTTGAAAACTACCTCAGGAGTTTGAATCCCTTAAAACGCCCTGATGACAAGTTCTTAAGGGAATTCTGGGTAAAGGAGTTTGGTTGCAGTCCTGATGCAAAACCTCAGACTCCATCAGAGGCTTATTTGCCTCCCTGCAGCGGCTCAGAGTCCCTGGAGAGAGTGCAGAATCACTTTACAGAAATCCCACAGTTAAGAGTCACTTATAATGTCTACCTTGCTGTTTATGCTGCTGCCCATGCCCTTCACAGCCTCCTCTCATGTCCTAACAGAGACAACAGCAGCTCCACATGCTTTAAGCTGAAACACATCAAACCCACAGAGGTAAACATAACTTAGACTCCTTCATAAGTTTCAGTCTTTTTAAGTACTTAATTAGAGGCAGCCACATAGATCTCTTCTGCTCTTCTACTTTAAACTGAAGTGTTTCAATATCTTGTTGCTTTAAGCTTTTGCAGCAGATGAGCAAAGTGAACTTCACCTCACCGCAAGGTGAAATGTTGTATTTCCAAGGGGGTGAAATCCCAGCAAAATACGACCTTGTAAACTGGCAGAAAACCCCAGAAGGTTCACTTAAACTCACCCTGTTTGGCCGTGTGGACGGGTTTGACCTCCACCTTAATGAGTCAGCTGTTCAGTGGAGCACAGGATCAAACCAGGTTATTATCAGACTACTAGATATAAGTTTAATGACTGAAAAAAAGACCTTATGGAGATGTTTTTCACCTGTTATTCAGGTGCCTGTGTCAGTGTGCAGTGAGAGCTGTCCTCCTGGTACCAGAAAGGCCAACAGGAAAGGAGAGCCTCTGTGCTGCTTTGACTGTTTTCCATGTGCTGAAGGAGAGATAAGCAACAAAACTGGTGAGGAGATCTGCACAAAATTAGATAACAAAGGTTCATGTTGTCACCCCTTTCCTTCACCTTTCATAGGCTTTTATTTTAATCAGGTTCGACTCACTGCGAGCGATGTCCACCTGAGTTCTGGTCCAACCCTGAACGAACTGCCTGCATCCCTCGTCAGCTGGACTTCCTGTCCTTTAATGAAACTTTGGGCATCACTCTGACTACAGCAGCTGTGTCTGGTGTTGTGGTGACTTCAGCTGTGTTTGTGGTCTTCCTTTACTACCGTCACACACCTATGGTAAGAACCCTGTCATGCAATGAAAAGCACTCTGTATATAGATTTATTTTAAACTTCTTATTGACTCCGTATTTCATTTTTAGGTACGAGCCAACAATTCAGAGCTGAGCTTCCTGCTCCTTCTGTCTCTGAAGCTCTGCTTCTTGTGCTCTCTGGTGTTCATTGGTCGTCCATCAGTCTGGTCCTGTCGCTTCCAGCAGGCGGCCTTTGGGATCAGCTTTGTACTCTGTGTTTCCTGCCTCCAAGTCAAGACCATAGTGGTTCTAGCCGCTTTCCGCTCAGCTCGGCCCGGTGCTGAAGCCTTGATCAGGTGGTTTGGTCCGGGTCAACAGAGAGGAAGTGTTTGTGTCTTTACTTGCATACAGGTCAGAGTTCAGTTGTTGCAGAAAATAATGCTGTAAGTTATTGTAGGCTTCAAATATATTATTGTATTTTTCCACTCAAGGTTATCATCTGTGCCATTTGGCTCTCACTCAGCCCCCCAGTCCCTCAGGCTGACCTGAAAGTCCCTGGATTAACAGTCACTCTCAAATGTGCCATGGCCTCTGTGGTGGGCTTCTCTCTGGTTCTGGGCTACATCGGTCTGCTGGCCTGCACTTGCCTCCTCTTGGCCTTTCTGGCTCGAAAACTACCGGACAACTTCAACGAGGCCAAACTGATCACCTTCAGCATGTTGATCTTCTGCGCTGTCTGGGTGGCTTTTGTTCCTGCTTACGTCAGCTCTCCTGGAAAGTATGTTGTTGCTGTGGAAATCTTTGCGATCCTGGCCTCAAGCTATGGTTTACTTTTCTGCATCTTTGCCCCTAAATGTTTTATTATTCTTTTGAGGCCTGAGAAAAACACTAAAAAACACATGATGTCCAGATAAAAACAATAAGAAAACAAACAAACAAACAAACAAAAAACATATACTTTTATTTGAAATATTTGAGCAATTTTACATTATAATTATCTTTATAATAATTTTATTATATATGCTCTTTCATCAAGCCATTTGAATCAATGTAACATATATCTTTGACTAGCGTCTATCAGTTTTTATATTTATACCTTTGTGTACATGTTCAAAGAAAACTTACTTGTTTGTATTAAACATATTTGTCAAAAAACACGTTCTAACCTGTTATTTAAAAAAAAAAAAAAAAATCTAAATTTTAAAAACTTCTAATGAACTTTGTAAAGCTTTGGAAAAATAACAATCATTAAAATCATATTAAAATCTGTGTTCCCAGATTGTTTTCAGTTTTTTTTTTCTCATAGTGACCAAACTGTTTTACTCATGAATAAAAGTTGTTTACAATTTTAAGTAAAAAGTTTTGACAGAAAAGTTTCATCATGTTACACTTTTCAACAGTGAACCAACAGTCAGTTGCCACTCACTCAAAGTTAGCTCGAGCTGTCACACTGAGGACAGACCCTGTCAAAACCAAGTATCTGAGAACCATTTTCAGCATTTCATATTTGATAAGTGTTAAAATGAAAATGGTCAATGCACCTTCAAACACTGTAAGTCCCCTCCTCCTGCAGACAGGAGTAATCTGCAGCGATGCTGTTGTTGTTTTCCCCCTCACTCTTGAGAGGAGTGATTTAGTCTTCTGTGCCAATGACATCATGTTCGCTGGTTTACAGAAAAGCTTAATGGTTGTTATAAAAACTTGGATTTACAATCCAGCTGTTCAGAGGAGGAGGGGGAATGTAACAGGTAAGACACCCAGATGTTGCATCGTATCGAGGTTATTTGGTGCTTGGATTGATGTGTTTTGAGTTTGACATTGTTGCTTCTCCCCACAGGTGCTGGATAAAGATGGAAAATCAGCTTTAACCTTCAAGAATTTGACTTTTGATTATATTGCTTTAAAAAAACTGTCCTTCTGAGTGCAAAGTGTCCACAACAGCTTCATCCATGCCTCCGTTCTACCTGCTCCTCTCCTTGTGGCCCTCCTCAGCCTCATACCTGCTGCTTGTGGGGCTCTTGGGTGGACAGCTGGGGCTCAGGGTGGGGTTCCAGGTTGTTCAGACTCTGACTTGTTCTCGGAGGGATACCCTAAGCAGCCAGTCTATCTTTCAGGACGGTGATGTAGTAATCGGTGGGCTGTTTCCTCTTCATTTCCGACTCCCAGCTATAGAAAATGATTTCACTCAGCTGCCGGTCTATAAACCTTGCACTGGGTAAAACTCTGAACTGTACTCTCCTGCTTTTACTGTCCTGTGGTGATAAGATAATCCCACCTTTGCATGCTTCATTTTCTTAATGTTATTTAATTTAGAAAAACAAACAAAACTGCTTCACTGATATGACCTTTTCCTTGTCGTCTCATCCTGTGATCTCAGTTTATTGCGCATTCCTGGGCAGTATGCTATGACCTTTGCGGTGGAGGAAATCAATAATAGCACAACCCTGCTGCCAGGTGTGAAGCTGGGGTACCATATTCTTGACAGCTGTAGCAGACCACCGTGGGCTCTGCAGGCAGCGCTGACACTGGTTGGAGGAAACAGCAGCAGCTGCACTTTAAAGGACACTTCAGATTTATCTACTATATACAGAGAGGAAAACAGAGAAAGTAGAGGTAGCTTTTTTTTCTGCTTTTGTATTATACTCAGTTTCTTAGACAAAGATGAAGCTGTTTAAAACTGTTTAAATGTTGTTATTAGGGGACCCTCCTGTTCCCTTGATGATCGGGGGAACTTCATCTGTAGCAGCCAAGACACTCTCCGGAGCTCTGGCGCCACTTTCTGTGCCTTTAGTGAGTTTTATTTATCATTAATGTTGTAACTAAGTCTGAGAAAGCTGCTTTTATTTGTCCCTTTAATTATCTCTGTTTTTCTGCAACCCTTTTGAACTCTTTTCCAACCCAGTGGCAACATACAGCTGTTCAGCATGAGTGTGGTTCTGCCTAAGCTTTCAGTTTGTAAAATATTGTTTTTCTTTGCTTAATGCTGTGAAGTGCTCTGCTCATGGTGGATAGAAATGGGATAAGGATGATCCTCATATGACAAGATGAGACTCAATCTTATCTTGTTAGGGTTAAAGTTAGGGTTAGATATTATGATATTTTAGGGTCTTAAAGTATCATGTCTGATAAACATGAGTTTCAGTGTCTCAGAGAATATAGTGCTCTTCTTGTTAAGCATCTTAAGATAGCACTTGTGAATTGGCATTGTGTACGTAAAGATTGGCAGATAGATTTGTTGCAGTGAAAGTTTTCAGGTTAGGGATGAAGAAGAAAAAATCTGAATATAAATCATCGTCCCTCTCTTTCTTTTTTCAGATTAGTTTCTCAGCGAGTTGTCCCTGTCTGAGCGACAGACATCAGTTCCCCAATTTCTTCAGAACGATCCCCAGCGATACTTACCAAGCCCGAGCCATGGCTCAGCTTGCCATCCGCTTCAAGTGGACCTGGATCGGGGCAGTGGTGGCAAACAACGACTATGGCCTCAATGCAGTAAAGGTAAATTGTTATTTAGATAGTTTGAGTATTAAATAAAGTGCATTTTATTTATAACTATACTTATTATGTGTGCCAATGTAGGCATTTCAAGAGGAGACCGAGGGCAAAGGTGTGTGTTTGGCATTCGTAGAGGCTGTCAAAAGAGAAAGCATTGAGAGTGACGTCAGGAGAGCTGCACTCACAATTCAGGCCTCCACCGTCAAAGTCATCCTGGTCTTTTTCTGGTCTTCAGACCTGAGAAAACTGTTTGAGCAACTATACAAGCTAAATGTGAGTAAATGAAATTGTGTTTGTAAAAAGGATATAAAAGGGAGGATTTAAATAAATAGCTTTTTCAGAGAAACTCAGGATCTTATTTTCTTGTTGTTACCAGGTGACTGACAGACAGTTTCTGGCCAGTGAGGCTTGGAGCACCAATGATCGTCTCCTTAAGGATCCTCTCTTTAGAAAAGTAGGAAGCGGTGTGCTTGGTGTGGCCATTCGCAGTTCAGCCATACCTGGATTTGAAAATTACCTCAAGAATTTGAACCCGATGCATCGTCCTAACGATGAATTCTTGAGAGAATTCTGGCAAAACGAGTTTGAATGCATTCCTAACACCACACCTCCATCTTCATACGCTACTCCAACGCCCTCTCATGCGAACAGGTCAATCACAAAGACTTCCCTCCCACCCTGCAGTGGTACAGAGTCTCTGGAGAGGTTGAAGAATCACTTCCATGACACTTCTCAGCTGAGGGCGGAATATAATATTTATATTGCTGTTTACGCTGCTGCTCATGCCCTCCACAGCCTCCTCTCATGCCCTGATATAGACAGTTCACCCAGAAACAAGAGCTCTACTTGCTCTTCTGTTAAACCAGTCAAACCCATAGAGGTAAACCAGATTATCGGCCCTCACACCAAAAAATTGTATGCATAATCTGAAAACAATCCCTGGGCTCTCATGTGAATAATATGAATCTGTTGATAATCTCTCAGCTTCTACAGCACTTGAACAAAGTGAATTTCACCACATTACAAGGAGAACGGTTTTACTTCCAAGGAGCTGATATTCTACCAAAGTACGACCTCGTCAACTGGCAGAAAACCCCTGATGGGTCACAAAAACTGGTCTTGATTGGTCACATCGATGGGCTTGATCTCTTCCTTAATGAATCAGCGATTCAGTGGAGCACAGGATCTAATCAGGTATTAAATTTAGAGAGTTTGATGAAATGATTTCCATTCATTATTATTGTTCTTTTAAATTTGACCTTGTCCCTGAGAACTTCAGTTACCCTGTTATTCAGGTACCTGTGTCAGTGTGCAGTGAGAGCTGTCCTCCTGGTACCAGAAAGGCCAACAGGAAAGGAGAGCCTCTCTGCTGCTTCGACTGTTTTCCATGTGCTGAAGGAGAGATAAGCAATAAAACTGGTGAGGAAATCTGCACAATTAGATCACAGAGGCTTATGTTACAGACGCCCTATCGCTCTTTAAATCTTCATAAGCTCTTTCCTGATCAGGTTCACCTCATTGTGAGCAGTGTCCACCTGAATTCTGGTCCAACCCTGAACGAACTGTCTGCATCCCTCGTCAGCTGGACTTCCTTTCCTTTAATGAAACTTTGGGCATCACTCTGACTACAGCAGCTGTGTCTGGTGTTGTGGTGACTTCAGCTGTATTCGTGGTCTTCCTTCATTACCGTCACACACCTGTGGTAATAATCCTGTATCATGTCATAAAAAGCACTCTGTATATATATATTTTAAACTTTTTCTTCATTCTTCCTCCTATTTTTAGGTACGAGCCAACAATTCAGAGCTGAGCTTCCTGCTCCTTCTGTCTCTGAAGCTCTGCTTCTTGTGCTCTCTGGTGTTCATTGGTCGTCCTACAGTCTGGTCCTGTCGCTTCCAGCAGGCGGCCTTTGGGATCAGCTTTGTACTCTGTGTTTCCTGCCTCCAAGTCAAGACCATAGTTGTTCTGGCAGCTTTCCGCTCAGCTCGGCCCGGTGCTGAAGCCTTGATCAGGTGGTTTGGTCCGGGTCAACAGAGAGGAAGTGTTTGCCTTCTTACTTGTGTACAGGTATTTTAAACAGGCTTTTTATAATGTTTTTTATATGGTTTTATTGAATAAGCTCAGCTTTATGACTCATACATACATCTCTCTATTTTTTTCATACACAGATTATCATCTGCTCCACATGGCTGTCCTTGAGTCCACCTGAGCCCCGACGTGACCTGGGTTTTCAGGGGTTAAAGGTCACCCTTGAGTGTGCCATGGCTTCTGTGGTGGGCTTCTCTCTGGTTCTGGGCTACATCGGTCTGCTGGCCTGCACTTGCCTCCTCTTGGCCTTTCTGGCTCGAAAACTACCGGACAACTTCAACGAGGCCAAACTGATCACCTTCAGCATGCTGATCTTCTGCGCTGTCTGGGTGGCTTTTGTTCCGGCTTATGTCAGCTCTCCTGGGAAATACACTGTAGCTGTAGAGATTTTTGCAATCCTGGCCTCAAGCTATGGTTTACTTTTATGTATTTTTGCTCCAAAGTGTTTCATCATTCTTTTGAGGCCTGAGAAAAACACCAAGAAAAGCCTCATGGCCCGGTAGCACAGATATCAAATATATGTACATGCTTAAGCTAATTAAATTCTGTATATACTCACTTTAATACCCCTAGTTAGAGTCCTTTGGGGTTTTTTTATACGTCATTATGCAGGCTTGAGGTATATTTATTCAGCACAATACAAGAGAAGAAAAAGGACAAGAGTACATGTCATGCAAGTGTGATGTATTGTTAAAAATAATCTACTATACATAATCTAATGGCTCTTTAAAGGAAAAAATACTGAGGTTTTAGATTTTTTTTTACAAAGAAAATTTGTCAAACGCTGCAATGAATAAAAAATTTTCTTCCAGTGGACTTGTGTAAAAGCCGTTTTTGGTGCAAAAATTTTACACGATTCATTGAGCAGTAATTGATATTCTTTGTGTAAATCAAATGTTGAGTGGGCGACATATGTCTGCTGTATATGAAAGTGAAGCTATTGTTAATTCTGTCTGTAAAACAACTATAGGACTAAAAAGGCATTTACTCCACATGATGACACTGAAAAAACTTATTGTTTTATGAACAAAAATCCTCAACTTAAAAAAAAAGAAAATCTTTTTTTGATTAAGTTTATTTTCAACAGGTTCATAACATTTCCAGGTACAAACAGAACTTTCTGAAGAGGCCAAATATCTAGAAAATGAGAAGAAGTTCACTACTTAGTTTGTTTGTGATTTAAATATTAATTTTTTTTTTGTCCATTACTTTTTTCTGTGTGTTTAGGTTGCTTTATTTCCTACATATACAAAGTGAACTTCTATAACGATAATTTTATTTGATTTTATTTTATCTAACCCCCTAAGATCAGATGTGATTTTTTTTTCAAAAAGTGACCAATAGTAACCACTTTATACATAGATGAGACAATGATCAACATTGACTACTTTGTAAGCATCACACCAATAGATAATTCACAACTTACAGGATTAAAAGACCCGAAAAGAGAAAAAGATGCCTAATGTAATCATTTTTATTATTGACCTTAAACTTGTTGTATTTGAGTGGAGACAGGAGACTGTTTTGGAAGAATCTTACAAAATGTATTTCTTATATACTGCTTATTAGGAGTTAGTGGTTCCTCGACCCATAATTGCTTTCTTTGTGTTCCTCTCTGGTCTCAGCAGGATTATATAACATTTAGGTCCAAACAGTGCCACCAAGAGACCAAAACTGGAGGCCAGGATGGCAAATATCTCCACAGCATCTGCGTATTTCCCCGGAGAGTTGACATAAGCAGGAACAAAGGCCACCCACACAGCACAGAAGATCAGCATGCTGAAAGTGATGAGTTTGGCCTCATTGAAGTTGTCAGGAAGATTTCTTGCAAGAAATGCTAACAGGAAGCTGAGAAGTGCCAGAAATCCAATATAGCCGAGTAAAGCTGCAAATCCAACAGTGGACCCGACGACACATTCATGAACTATCTTGTCATTGTGGTATTGAGTGTTTTTATGAGGAGCTGGTGAGGACAAGACGAGCCATGCAATGCAGATTGCTGCCTGGATGGAAGTAAGAAGCAGAACCGTTCCTCTCTGCTGCATGGCACCAAACCACTTGAGAACAGCTCCACCTCCTGGTTTGGAGGCCTTGAACACAGCAATAACAACCATGGTTTTGACCAGAATACATGAGACACAAAGAACAAAGCTGATCCCAAACACAGCATGTCTCAGCTGGCATGTCCACAGTCTGGGCCGACCAATAAACAGCAGCGAGCAGAGGAAACAAAGTTTTAGTGCCACCAGGAGCAGGAAGCTCAGCTCTGAATTGTTGGCTCGTACCATGGGTGTCCTGCGGTGATAGGTGAAGATTCCCAAAACAAAAGCACAAAGAAATGTACCAAGTAATGAGGCAGCTGTTAAGCAGATACCCAAAGGCTCATGATAAGAGAGAAACTCTGTTTTCTTAAGGACACAGAAGTCACGTTTCGGGCTCGGCCAGAAGTCCTCAGGACAGCTGGTACACTCCATGGAGTCTGACAAGAAGGGGATGTTAGTGAGATTCATTCTTCAGTTTACAGAATTAATTTATTTAGCTTGTAAACACACCGGTTTGATTGCTGATCTTTCCATCAGAACATGGGATACAGTCAAAACAACACAGAGGTTCCCCTTTCTTTCTGGCCATGCGAGTACCTGGAGGACAGCTCTCACTGCACACTGACCTCGGTGGCTGTGAGGAGAATCAGATACAGATTTAGTCAAGTGCTCAAAATTAAAAAAACGAATAAAAATGAAATAAAAAAAAGTTGTACTTACTTTTTTCAATGCAAAGTTCCAGAAGATTTGGTCTTCATCAATTTTCAGTTCTTCACCGTTTGAGTCCGACCTCTTCACCTCACCCACAGTTTGAACTTTAGTTCTTCCATCAGGGAGCCACAGCCAGTTGATAACATCATAGATCGGTAAGGCATCGCCATTCTCATCAAATGAAACCTGATCACCAAAGGGTGTGGTGAAGTTGACGTTTTGCAAATAATGAACAAGCTGCGAATTGAGAATAAGATTACTTAGAGCAGTCAACACCAATGAATAGGCCCTTTTAACTTTTTGCACATCAGGGCTTTTTGAAGCAATGACATTAAGGTTGTTCTGCAGCTGTGTCTGTCACCAGTAGGTGGTGCTATCAGCATAAATTTATAGCATAGAATAAAAATTGTTGAACAGCCTTTTATCAGTTGGTGGTGGTTTCACTATGGGTTATCAACAAGGCATCAAATAAACAGCTAGAAACAAAAGGTTATTCAAAACTTATGTGGGAGTTACTTTTTCTTTTCATAGGGAGGTGCTAAGGGAAAATATGAATAAATCAGTAATAGATGCAATCAAGAGATCATGAGAGCATTAATCATGGATATGAAGTCTGAGGTAGATCAGATGATATATGAAGAGTAACAACGACTACCCATTTCATGGCCATACATCCAAATTTGACACACTAAAAATAAGGTGCCTTCATTGTCTGAAGGTTTTCCTGACCACATTTGGATATGATATGTAAGAGAAGTACAAACAAGTGTGAAACAAGCATTACATTTCCTGCTATGGCAAAAGGCTAATATTTGCTAACAGCTGTGTTCAGCCTGGACTGTTGAAACTACCATCACTTTAAGAGGATAAGGAATAAGTGTGTAAACTGATATGATACCTGCCATGGCTCCAGTCTTTGCAGATTAGCACAGCTGTGTCCACTGAAAGGCCCTCTCCCAGGCACACAGTGCAGCATATCATCAAAAGCATATGCCAGAGCGTACACAGCCTTGTAAATGTTGTACTCAGGCCTGAGATTAGAAACATCCAAGAACTCAGTCTTGGCTTTCCTTAAGTCTTCTTCTCCGGTGCAGAGTGTTTCCCCTGATTTTAACTGAGTTGTTGGAGCAAATTTACACCCAAATGTGAATTCCCAAAACTGTCTCACCTGGAATAAAGATGTTGAAAAAATCTAGATAACATGATTCTTAGTTTTCATTTTTATTGTTGATGACTTTTTCATACCTCCTACCATGTTAGTTTCAGTTTGGTCATTATCATTTTGGTCAGGACGTATCTGTAGGAGAAATTCCCTGAGTCCTGGTATTTCTCCTCGACGGATTGCAATGCCCAGTGTTCCCCTCAGGAACGGCATGAATTCTGGGGTCTGGAGCACAGTAGATGCTGTCCAGGCTTCACTTGCTATCCACTGCAGGCCTGTCACATTCTGCCTCAGAATCTGTGTGCAATGAGGAGTTTTTTGATGTTAATGAAATAGCATGGAAATAGATGTATACTGAAAAAAAGAATCTGTATTGATCTCTTTGTAGATTTTACTCCAACCTCTTCCATCAGATGTATCATGTGGAACTCGTGGGCAAACACCATGACCACACGAGCTGTGGACTTCTTCATCTCATCAACAATCCTCTCAAGCTCAGCTGGGTCACTGTCCCAGGGCAAAACCTTCAAGTAGGCCAGACAGCCTCCACCAGACGGAGTCAAGTCAGATTGGAAAGATCGCGCAACATGGAGACCGTAGTCATCATCGCTGACCAGCAGGCCCACCCAAGTCCAGCCAAAGTGTTTCAGGATCTGAATCATAGTGCGGACCTGAGGCAATATATTGATGTGAAAGTAAAACCAAACTCATGTAATGCTCTAATTGAGAATGTTGGTTATTGGTAATGTGAAAAGAAAAAAGATTCATAAATAAAGTTACAATAACAAGAAAAAGAGAGAGATCTGTTTGATTTGCAAAAACGTCCTTTACCTTGTTTGGAAGGAAACATACAGAGTTTGTAGTTTAGTTTGATTAAAGAGCCTCACCTGGAAAGTGTCACTTGGAATTGTTCTGAAGAAAGATGGAAATCGCTGCCGATCACTCAGACAGGAACAAGTGGAAAAATAACTGACCTTTAAAGAGACATACAGTAAAAAGTTACCCCTTATCACTGTACATATTGGAAATAGTATATGACAAGAATGATTCATTGACAGGGCTAGAAACACTTACAATGGGGATTTTGTATAGACCAATCACAGTGGAAGTTGCAATAGTAAATGTAGAGGCATAATCACCAACAATCCCGAGGACTGGAGGGGTCCCTGAACAGTTCTCCTCAAACACATACTGCTCCTCTCTGCCACTGACCAGAGATAACCCACCACTGAAACCTACTACAAGTGCACCGCAGTTGTCGTACAGACTGTATCCCAGAGTCACATTAGGTAACAGATTTGGGTTTTCGTTGATCTCATGAATAGCAAAGGCCATGGTCATTGCATGTCTGAATCCAAGAGTATCAAATCTGACAAACACAATATCACAGATAAAATAATATGACTTTGACTTCACGACCTGAAGGATTTAAAATGATAACTTCTATAAATGCAACAATATATGCAGAAATATTCTTTCAAAATTGCAATGAAAGTAACAATAGAATTGTTTTAAAAGTAAGCACATGTATTTTATGACAGATTCTGATATCAAACAGTAAAATTCACAATTATTCTCGCTTTCTACTTAATGTGTGTGTGATACGTACCCTTTGCAGCTGGGTGGTTGTGGCTCTGAGCTGTAAGTCCTCTCAGGGAAAACAGAGGTATAGTGCACCTCAAACAGCCCACCCAGAACCACATCTCCAGGTCTGTGGATTTCATTAAGCTGAAATCTTCTAAGCAACTTACAAGATGGATAAGAGTTCAACACAGAACATGAGGAGGCAGAGAAATAAAACAGGATGAATAAAAGTCGGTGAAAAAAAGATTTCATGTCTGCACTCCTCCTCTTCGACTGGGTCAATTGTTCATATGGGGCCATTTTTATATGCAAGGCTTCATCACTCCCAGTTGCATACTTAAGGTATTTCATTTTTCACTTAAGCCACCAGGGTGTTGGTTATTGTGGCATCTTGCACACAGTAACCCTTCAAATTTAAGTTAAGCTAATTGTTATCCCAACATAAAATATGATTTGCACCTTGCATCAAAATGTAAGAAATACATAAAAAACACAAAATATTCTACAGTTCAAGTGAAGACAACACCTACTTTGCTTATGGGTGGTTTTTGCATCGTTGTGTAACCTCCATCCCATCTTTAATTCAAATATCTTTTTTTTAAGTGACATGATTATTTTGTTTTATAGATTGCATTGAGACACAAATAATAAGTGGCTGGGGCTAATATTAGGTTAAGGGTCAAGGGGATATAATGGTCAAGATGGTGCAATACGATACGATACGATACAATATGACACAATACACTTTATTGTCCCATTAGAGAAATTTGTCTTGGACTCCAAGAGCTGCACAGGTAAAGCTGCCAACTGATGACACAAGTACTAGACCTAACAAAGACACGGTCACACAACCCACGCACATTGCACATATTCATATTGCACATACCCATATAAGGTGGGAAAGACTTGATAATTTTCATGTTGAGCAGATTGCAATCAGGCAAATTTGTTGATCCAGGTCCTAAAGCATGATGAGTTAAACTTGATTAGTTAGTATTGGTTGCCTCCTTTGTAGTACATGGCTCAACTTTTCATTTGTCCTTATTTGGATTTCAACCACGACCCCTACATTCGTAGGCAGCAGTCATGTTCATCACACAACAGGCGTGCCAGGCAGGATTAACTTTTTTAGGTCTTTTCATTTCAACATTTTGCTTTTGTTGATCAAAAGCACAGTGCAGTGCTGTAGTTTGAGACAATCTTTTCCATTTTATGTCACATAGAAAGTCCAGACCTGAACCTGGATTTAAACCCAGGATTATTTTATTGTACGGCAGCAGCCTCAACCATTACCCCATTTAAGATGCTTGTGAGTTGGATTTGAACCCTATAGTCCTAAACTCTAAACCTTAATCCTTACACCGCTGTCTGCCTGTGAGTTTTCATGTTTTCAAAGTGTCATTACTACCCTCTTCATCCTGGAGGTCAAAAGGATTTTTCCAAACTTCAACCACACAGACCCAAACTGGATTCAAACCAAGAACTTCAAGGCTGTGAGACAGGAAGCTTAAACGTCACACCCCCTGCACATTATTTTTAAAAATATATACTTTATTTTACAAATAACAGACAAAGTAAAGCAATCCATAAAACACTCAAGAAATTATCATATTATCTCCAAACAACAGACAACACAAGATACAGTGCAACTATGAAATTAAACAAAAATTATTCATTGCTTAATTTAGCAAAGAATTTTCATGGACAACTGAGAATTCTACTAGTAAAGCCAAGATTCTGATCAATTGAAGGTTCCTCGACTCATGATTGCTTTCTTTGTGTTCCTCTCTGGTCTAAGCAGGATTATATAACATTTAGGTCCAAACAGTGCCACCAAGATACCAAAACTGGAGGCCAGGATGGCAAATACTTCCACAGCATCTGCATATTTCCCCGGAGAGTTGACATAAGCAGGAACAAAGGCCACCCACACAGCACAGAAGATCAGCATGCTGAAAGTGATGAGTTTGGCCTCATTGAAGTTATCAGGAAGATTTCTTGCAAGAAATGCTAACAGGAAGCTCAGGGTCGCAAGAAGGCCAATATAGCCAAGTAAAACTGCAAAGCCAACAGTGGACCCGACGACACATTCATAAACAATCTTGTCAGCATGATATTGAGTGTTTTTATGTGGAGCTGGTGAGGAAGAGACAATCCACACAGTGCAGATTGCTGCCTGGATGGAAGTAAGAAGCAGAACCGTTCCTCTCTGCTGCATGGCACCAAACCACTTGAGAACAGCTCCACCTCCTGGTTTGGAGGCCTTGAACACAGCAATGACAACCATGGTTTTGACCAGAATACATGAGACACAAAGAACAAAGCTGATCCCAAACGCAGCATGTCTCAGCTGGCATGTCCACAGTCTGGGCCGACCAATAAACAGCAGTGAGCAGAGGAAACAAAGTTTTAGTGCCACCAGGAGCAGGAAGCTCAGCTCTGAATTGTTGGCTCGTACCATGGGTGTCCTGCGGTGATAGGTGAAGATTCCCAAAACAAAAGCACAAAGAAATGTGCCAAGTAATGAGGCAGCTGTTAAGCAGATACCCAAAGGCTCATGATAAGAGAGAAATTCAGTTTTCTTGGGAACACAGTGGTCATGTTTCGGGCTGGACCAGAAGTCCTCAGGACAGCTGGTGCACTCCATGGAGTCTGACAAGAAAGAGATGTTAGTGAGATTCATTCTTTAGCTCATAAAAATAATTTATATAGCTGGTTAACACACCAGTTTGATTGCTGATCTTTCCATCAGAACATGGGATACAGTCAAAACAGCACAGAGGTTCCCCTTTCTTTCTGGCCATGCGAGTACCTGCGGGACAGCTCTCACTGCACACTGACCTCGGTGGCTGTGAGGAGAATCAGATACAGATTTAGTCAAGTGCTCAAAATTTCCAAACATGGAATTTCATCTGAAAAAGTTGTACTTGCTTTTTTCAGTACAAAGTTCCAGAAGATTTTGTCTTCATCAATTTTCAGTTCATCACCTTTTGAGTCGGACCTCTTCACCTCACCCACAGTTTGAACTTTAGTTCTTCCATCAGGGAGCCACAGCCAGTTGATAATATCATAGATCGGTAAGGCATCGCCATTCTCATCAAATGAAACCTGATCACCATAGGGTGTGGTGAAGTTGACGTTTTGCAAATAATGAAGATACTACAAAAAAAAAAAGGAAATCATCCTTAAATACTTCAGATTTTTTTTTAACATCCTGAAGTTCAGTCTGCTTTGCCTATTAACAAATAACTACATGAGGAACTATCACCTACAAAAATATACACAACGAGAAAACTGATATGATACCTGCCATGGCTCCAGTCTTTGCAGATTAGCACAGCTGTGTCCACTGAAAGGCCCTCTCCCAGGCACACAGCGCAACATATTATCAAAGGCATATGCCAGAGCGTACACAGCCTTGTAAATATTGTACTCAGGCCTGAGATTAGAAACATCCAGGAACTCAGTCTTGGCTTTCCTTAAGTCTTCTTCTCCGGTGCAGAGTGTTTCTCCTGATTTTAACTGACTTGTTGGAGCAAATTTACACCCAAATGTGAATTCCCAAAACTGTCTCACCTAGAATTGAGATATTGACAAAATCAAAGATAAATGATTTTTATTTTTTATCGTTATTGTTGATGATTTATTTCACATTAAATTATTCAGCTCCTACCATGTTAGTTTGGTCGTTGTCATTATGGTCAGGACGTATTTGGAGGAGAAATTCCCTGAGTCCTGGTATTTCTCCTCGACGGATTGCAATGCCCAGTGTTCCCCTCAGGAACGGCATGAATTCTGGGGTCTGGAGCACAGTAGATGCTGTCCAGGCTTCACTTGCTATCCACTGCAGGTCTGTCACGTTCTGCCTCAGAATCTGTGTGCAGAATACTTTAGAGTTTCTGTTTAAGATAATTGAAGGAAAAAATCTTCTTGTGTAACACAGTGTTTGTTCAAGGACATAGTTTAATACTTAGGGACAATTATGAAATGCCTGTGTAACTTAATTGTATTTGATTGTAAACTTCCCTCCATAACACGAAAAATGAAGTCTTGTCATTTAAGTATTAAAGCTCCTGTGAGGAGATTTTTGGTGTTAATGAAATAGCATTGAATATATATATATATATATATATATATATATATATATATATATGAAAAATCAGTATTGATCTCTTTACAGATTATTCTCCAACCTCTTCCATCAGATGAATCATGTGGAACTCGTGGGCAAACACCATGACCACACGAGCTGTGGACTTCTTCATCTCATCAACAATCTTCTCAAGCTCAGCTGGGTCACTGTCCCAGGGCAAAACCTTCAAGTAGGCCAGACAGCCTCCACCAGACGGAGTCAGGACAGATCGGAAAGATCGAGCAACATGGAGACCGTAGTCATCATCGCTGACCAGCAGGCCCACCCAAGTCCAGCCAAAGTGTTTAAGGATCTGAATCATAGCGCGGACCTGAAGTAGAAAATACAAGTGTCTTTTACCTTTGTTGTGTAGGAAACAGAGATTTTTTTTTTTTGAGCCTCACCTGGAAAGTGTCACTTGGGATTGTTCTAAAGAAGGATGGAAAACGCTGCCGATCACTCAGACAGGAACAAGTGGAAAAATAACTCACCTAGAGAGAATTATGCAGTATAAAATCATCCATAACATGTACATGTTTAACAAGAAGGTGTAACTTTTAAAGCAGTTATGGCTTCATGATTGTATATGCATAAATACAATCAGAGATTACGGGCTAGAAACACTTACAATTGGCATTTTGTAAAGACCCAGCACATTGGACGTTGCTATGGTATATGTCGAAGCAGAATCACCAACAATCCCGAGGACTGGAGGGGTCCCTGAACAGTTCTCCTCAAACACATACTGCTCCTCTCTGCCACTGACCAGAGATAACCCACCACTGAATCCTACTACAAGTGCACCGCAGTTGTCGTGCAGACTGTATCCCAGAGTCACATTAGGTAACAGATTTGGGGTTTTGTTGATCTCATGGATAGCAAAGGCCATGGTCATTGCATGTCTGAATCCTAGAGTATCAAATCTGACAAACACAATATCACAGATAAAATAATGACTTTGACTTTAGGACCTGAAGGATTTAAAATGATCATTTCTATAAATGCAACGATATTTGCAGAAATACTCTATACCTAAGAATTGCAACAAAAATAGAAAATACAATTGTTTCAAGAGAATTTTAGCACATGTATTTTAAGACAAATTATATCAGATGATATCAAACAGTAAAATTTCACAGATCCTTGCTTTCTACTTCATAAATGTGTGTGTGTGATACGTACCCTTTGCAGCTGGGTGGTTGTGGCTCTGAGGTGTAAGTCCTCTCAGGGAAAACAGAAGTATAGTGCACCTCAAATAGCCCACCCAGAACCACGTCTCCAGGTCTGTGGATTTCATTCAGTCTAAACTTGCTCAGTGATTTACAATATGAGGCAGAAGAGCTCGGTACACACCATGCGGAGGAAGAGAAATAAAACAAGATGAATAAAAGTGTGTGAAAAAAAGCTCCCATAACTGCGCTCCTCCTGTCGCAAGTGGTCCCATTGTTCAAATGCAGCTTTTTTATTTGCTGGGTTTCGTCATTCCCAGTTGCATACACTCACGTGATGTATGATATTAGTGCAATTAATACAAATAGATTGAAATGCTGTGTCATAATGTTTTTATTGGAAAATAAAAGAAACATTGCTTTGTATTTAACAAAATTTTGAAATATTTGTAGATATTAACCAGCTTCACACCACTGAGTTTTATTATTGTTTTGTTATTCTTGCTAATATATCTGTTTATTCCTATAACAGGATGGTTGTTCATGGAGGCAGAGGACAGTGCTCCTTTATTGGGAGGATCTGTACGATATTGATGAGTGGACAGAGGACTTCAGTTCGATGCCAGACATTTTTGGTGGTGAATCTTAATGAGTGGAATAAATTAGTGGCCATTGGATTATCAATGGACATTGATACTCAGTCAAATATCAAAATTGTGTTTTAAAATTAGATATCCTCCCAAGCCAAAGGCAAGCACACGAGACTCTTTCACATGTGACCTGAGTTAGAGTAATTAATTCAGTGTCCTGTTTCGACCTGCCATTTATACAGGAAGCTAACCAGCAAACAAAGATTCAACAAAAACTACATATTGTTATAAAAGGATCCAGAGTACGTACAAAAGCAAACAACAAGCAAACAATTGTGCGTAGTAATTATATTGTCTTTAAACAACACACCACTGAAGATAATGTGCACACAACAACAAAAGAAAAAATACTTTTATTTCTAATCTGATAAAGAAGACAGGTGTAGGCAGTTAATTTCGACTCTCATTGATACTGTATCTACTGAAGAACAGGCAAATAATGGGCCAGTCCAGTCAGGCTAAGATTCTGATCAGTTGAAGGTTCCTCGACTCATGATTGCTTTCTTTGTGTTCCTCTCTGGTCTCAGCAGGATTAAATAACATTTAGGCCCAAACAGTGCCACCAAGATACCAAAACTGGAGGCCAGGATGGCAAATACCTCCACAGCGTCTGCATATTTCCCCGGAGAGTTTATATAAGCAGGAACAAAAGCCACCCACACAGCACAGAAGATCAGCATGCTGAAAGTGATGAGTTTGGCCTCATTGAAGTTGTCAGGAAGATTTCTTGCAAGAAATGCTAACAGGAAGCTGAGGGTCGCTAGAAGGCCAATATAGCCGAGTAAAACTGCAAAGGCAACAGTGGACCCGACGACACATTCATAAACTATCTTGTCATTGTAGTATTGGGTGTTTTTATGAGGAGCTGGTGAAGAGGAGACTATCCAGACAGTGCAGATTGCTGCTTGGATTAAAGTGAGGGCAATGACAGTTCCTCTTTGTTGGACAGCACCAAACCACTTGAGAACAGCTCCACCTCCTGGTTTGGAGGCCTTGAACACAGCAATGACAACCATGGTTTTGACCAGAATACATGAGACACAAAGAACAAAGCTGATCCCAAATGCAGCATGTCTCAGCTGGCATGTCCACAGTCTGGGCCGACCAATAAACAGCAGTGAGCAGAGGAAACAAAGTTTTAGAGCCACCAGGAGCAGGAAGCTCAGCTCAATATTGTTAGCCCGTACCATGGGTGTCTTCTGATGATGGATGAATATCCCCAGGACAACAGCACAGACAAATGTGCCAAGTAATGAGGCAGCTGTCAAGCATATACCCAAAGGCTCATGATAAGAGAGAAACTCAGTTTTCTTGGGAACACAGTGGTCACGCTTTGGCCCTGGCCAGAAGTCCTCAGGACAGCTGGTGCACTCCATGGAGTCTATGTAAAGAAAAAAAGAAAAAAAAGGTCCTTTTGTTGCGGTTTATCCTGTTAAGTATTTTCTCCTCAAAGGAACTCTTTAAGGAAAGTTTGAAAATTTTTCAACCTGTCCTGCAAGTTTTGGATATGTAAAGACAGGTCACCCCAACCACAGCTGCTACTTGTGCTATTTAGACAGAATTTAACAGTTATAATGCACGTGTATATTGTGTATGTAATCTTACCTGTTTCATTGCTAAACTTTCCCTCAGAACAAGGGACACAGTCAAAACAGCACACAGGCTGCCCCTTTTTTCTGGCCATGCGGGTTCCTGGGAGACAGCTCTCACTGCACACTGACCGTGGTGGCTGTAAGTATTTCAAGAGTTATCACAGGTACTTATCATTTGACTCTGCAAAGAAAAAATATATCAACAGAAGTGACCTGTTTTGAGTCAAAGTTCCAGAATATTTCATTTTCATGAAGTGTGAGTTCTTCTCCTCTTAAGATGGACTTTTTAACTTCGCCAACACTCTGCAGCTCTGTTGTTCCATCAGAAAGCCACCTCCAATTCATTATATCGTAGATTGGCAATGCATTTCCATTCTCGTCAAATGACACTTGATCTCCAAATGGTGTGGTGAAGTTGACTTTTTCCAAGTAGTGCATAAGCTGCAAACAAAAAAAGAAATGCTGAAAAAATATTCTGACATTGATAATTGTGGCCATAAAAAATCAGCCTTTCACTTTAATACCTTTTTCTGTCTTGTGTTTAGGTCACTTTATTTCCTACATGGTCAAATTATGCTTTTATTTTGAAGTGTACTACTAATTTTATATTTTAAGAATGAACTTAAGAAAACAGCCAAAATAAAGGCAAGAAAGTACAAACTCTCCATTAATTGGAAACCCAAGGAGGTACCAGCTTTGACACTTCTTTTGGATCCACAATCAATCTTGAAATTTCAGTTTGTAAATGTGATTAATCATTATACAGAGAGAGATGCTACAGCTAGTTTGCTTGCAGTCTGCTGGTTCTTTGTCTATGCTACATCAAAAAACAAGCTTAAAGATCCACTACTTTGAACTCATTGTTAAGGCCATTGGCAGTTCACATGTTAATCTGGCTTATCTCTCATGATTTGGTCCTATGTAAAGAGAACTTGGTTAATTTATAAATGGATCAATTAATTAACCCCAAATTATTTCATTTCCAACAGTTATAATATCTTAAATTGAGAAGAAATGATCTCAACTGTCCTCACACCTGCCATGGCTCCAGTTTCTGCAGAGTTGCACAGCTGTGCCCTCTGAAAGGCCCTTTTCCAGGAACACAGCGCAGCATATCATCGAGAGCATATGCCAAAGCATAAACAGCCTTGTAAATATTGTACTCAGGCCTGAGATTAGAAACATCCAAAAACTCAGTCTCCATATTTTCCAGGTCTTCATCTCGAGAGCATACTTTTCCACCATCTTCCACCCAACCCGGGGGTGGAGCAAATCTACAATGAAATGTGTGCTCCCAAAACTGCCTCACCTGAAATAAAATCAAAGCTGGTTTTAACTAAAGGAAACTGTCATTGCCATGATGCATCTAAATGCAATCCTATAACCTTACCATGCTACGTTCATCACCGCTGTCGTCATGGAAATCAGGGCGTGTTTGTTGGAGGAATTCCCTGAGTCCTGGTATCTCTCCTCGACGGATGGCAATTCCCAGAGTGCCTCCAAGGTACGGCATGAAGAGTGGGGTCTGAAGCGTAGTCGCTGATGTCCAGGCTTCACTGGACATCCACTGTAGGCCTGTCACATTTTGCTTTACCACCTGTTCAGTACAAGAAACACTGTATACCTGTATGGCTGAATTACTACAACTTTTGAAAAGTCTGGGGATCATAGCAGTGAAATTCATTTCAACCAGTAGAGAACAACTGGACAGGCAATATGGGGTTGCAACTTAAAGCTTTGCTGCATAAAATACTGGATGGATGGATGGATGGATGGATGGATGGATGGATAGATGGATAGATGGATAGATGGATAGATGGATAGATAGATAGATAGATAGATACCTCTTCCATTAGCTGAATCATGTGGATCAGATGTGCAAACACGATGACCACATGAGCTGTTGATTTCTTCATCACTTCTACAATCCTCCTCAGTTCAGTTGGGTTGTCACCCCATGGCAAAATCTCTGAGTAGGCCAGACAGCCTACACCAGACTCAAGTAAATCTGACTGAAAGGATCGGGCAACATGGAGTCCATAGTCGTCGTCACTGACCAGCAGACCTGCCCAGGTCCAGCCAAAGTGTTTGAGAATCTGAATCACAGCACGCACCTAATTTAACACGAAAAATAAGGGGTTAGTGTACCTGATAGAGGAGATGTATAGAAGCTTGCTTAGAGTAAATAAAATAAAAAAAAGAGTTTAACCTGGAAAGCATCACTTGGGATTGTTCTAAAGAAGGATGGGAAGCGTTGCCGATCACTCAGGCAGGAACATGTGGCAAAATAACTCACCTAGAAAGAAATACACAGTGTGAACCAAGAGAAACATTCAGATACTTTCACCTTTCCTATGATTCCCCCATTGCAAAATATCACATCAATTTGTCATTCATTCATGTCCATCTCTATCATTTTAACATTTAAAACCTAACATGTAGAGAGCCAAACACAGAAAAGGTAACTTACAATGGGTAATTTGAATAATCCTATCACATCAGAAGTGGCGATAGAAAATGTCGAGAAGGAATCACCCACAATTCCAAGGACCGGTGGAGACCCTGAACAGTTTTGTTGAAGCTTGAACTGTTTCTCTCTGCCGCTGGCCAAAGACAAGGCAGCGCTGAATCCAATTACCAGTGTTGCACAGTTGTCATAAAGACTGTATCCCAGAGTCACATTAGGAAGCAGGTTGGAGTTTCTGTTGATCTCATCGATGGTAAAAGCCATGGTCATAGCATGCCTGAACCCAAAAGGGTCAAAACTAACATAAAATATAATCAGTCAGTAAAAAGGATTTATATCTGTTCAGATGTTTGTTATCTGCATGGAGAGTTTGAGACTTACCTTTGACAGCTGGGCTGCTTTGGCTCTGAGGTGAAAGTCAGTTCAGGAAAGACAGAGGTGTAGTGGACTTCAAACAGTCCACCTAAAATCACATCACCTGGCTTGTGCATTGAATTAAAATAAAACTGCCTCCTTAAGTTACAAGTTGAGGAAAGTGACGAAGAATCTGACAAGCAAAAAAAGGAGCAACAGTACAAAATCAAGATCAGGTAGATGTATAATAGCAAATAGGTGTCTGCAAATGTCCCCATAACTGCTCTCCTCCCTTCCCTACTTTCTTACCCTTCATGCACAATTGAGAAATCTTTATATGCAGCGTTGTGTCATTGTCTTATTTTTGTCGTACTTTCACGCCACCCATCAGGGCATGGCCTATCATGTGAGGGCAGAGCAAACTCATGAAATTAACTCTAAGTTCGCCGAATATCTTTGCAAAAGGTGAAAGGAGGTGAAAATGCTGTAATATGAAGTGCAGTAACTAATAAGTGACCTAATTTCAAGACAAATATCACAGATGTTAGTATGCTTACCAGAGACATGATATCCAGCGAGGTAAAAAGGCCTCTTTTTTTAAGGAAGTATGATGCATGTTCCCCTTTCCTATTTATGACTTTGATAAAAGTACTGTAACTATTTCAACCAAGCCACAAACTGAGGACACCAGTGTGTCATGTAATCCTTTCTTTTCTTTTAATACATAAATGTCCTTCACAGTGAGGTCAACTAATCCTCACTTTAAATCCCCTTCATCGATTTAACCAGTGAATTATGCTGGGATTTTTGTCATGTATTATACTAAATGATATGATGCTACTCTGGCCCTGTTATGAGCTATCATAGTTAAATATTATAAAAATTACATCAAGTTTTATTTTAATCTGGATTAACTGCACAGCTCTCAATCATATCTGACCACGTACTATCAACCATTCCTTGTAATTCACTAAAATATCCACAAGGTGGTGACAGAGTAAGTCTTTACAGAACAGCTGTGTTCCTCTCCTCTTCTACAGTTTACTTGGTAACACATCACAAGGCGTAGCTACATAAACCACCCAAGACAAGTTACCTTACCACATGTATTATGTTAATACTCAACCTATAACACATCGAATCAATTTTGGATGGATGATAGCAGGAAAGGCCAACATGATGTAGTGAACTTCACAAACTTCATTTCAAGCTCCAAAGGAGTTTTAAAACAGAGTGTAACTCAAACTGAACCCTGTTTATCAGTCATCCAAGTAAACAAGACCATAATAAGTAAAAATGGGCAAAAAAAACTACTAGGTGTCAGACAAAGTGATGAACAGTGCCTTTTTTTAAATACTTTCCAAGGCCCGGATTCTCTCATTCTTCATTTAACAAAAAAGTAGCAACAGAAAGTCTGATGGGATTTTCTACTAAAAAATTGCTACCTATATACAGCGTGATCAGCAAATCAACAAGAAGATAAAATGCTCTGCTTTGTCCATGAAAAAATCAACACAAATCAAAAATTCCTCACTGGAGCTTTAACTATCAAAACAAAGTGTTACCATAGACAGAATATTTATCACCTCCTTTTGTATTAACTGGAATGTAAAAGCTGTGATATTGGCTATTAACATTTGGGACAGGGACTCTGTACAATACAGTGTTCATAATGAGAATATCCAGTGATATCTAGCTGTCTGATTCTTGATTAAAATGCTCCCTTGCTCACCCCTCATGTCAGTGAAGCAGCGATGGCCTTCAAAGACCAAGAGGTTTTTGTGATGCTTGATAAAAATGGTCCTCCACTGGTCAAGTACTGCAGTAGAATAACAGCAGTGCAAGAAAAAGGGACCGGCAACTATGTAAATACAAAAGGCTCTTCTAAATAAACTGAAATAAAACTATTTTTCTGGTCCAATAATTCTGCACCAATTTAAACATAAATACATTTGCACCAGATCTATTCTGGTAAATGTTGCACACTGTTCCTTTAATGTGTGATTACAGTTGCTCTATGATGTCAGCTGACGTACAGTAAAAGGAGGGAAGCTTTTCTCTGAATGTCTGTTCAAACCTATAAAAACACATGTACTGTACTCCTGCATGTAAACACCTGAGGGATGGAGGTCTCAGCTCTCTTTGGTGTTGGTCTGATTCTGTCACTGACTTTGAGTGAGCTTAATTCAGCTTCTCGGGTCAGCAGGGAGGCCTCATCTGTGAAATGCCAGCTCCAGGGTACAACTCGACCACCTGCTTTTTCAACGGATGGTGATTTCATTATTGGGGGTGTTTTCTCCATACACTACTACATGCACATAGTGAAGCATAACTACACCACCCTGCCAGAACCACTTAGGTGCACTGGGAGGTTAGTAAAAGAGAGAAGTGGGGGATTAAGATGCTTTTCTGTGTGATGAAAATGCTGTGGTTTCATGATGTGCCTTAAGATGTGTTGCATTTTTTTAATCTCATAAAATGCTTAAATTGATAATCATATTTTTACACTGAGAGCAAGTCAATATCCAGCTTTAAATCATTGTTATTTTTCAGAATAAGTTGATTTTCATGTTATTCTCTATGACTGGTTATGTCTTTTGTTTGAAAATCTGTCAAAGGATAAAAAAACTGTGCCAATCCTAGTCTTTGTTTTCAAATGTGGTTTCACTGTTGCAGAGCAGCTGTTCTCGTTTTTTTTTTCATCGGTTTGAATTTTCTCTGATATATTGGCCTATATTTCAGTACTGACATGACTGTCTGTGTGCAGTTTAAACTCCCGTGAACTGCGCTTCTCACGCGCAATGATCTTCGCCATCGAGGAGATTAACAACAGCACCGAGCTGCTCCCGGGCGTCAAACTCGGCTATCGGATCCACGACTCGTGCGCCTCAGTGCCCGTGGCAGTGCACGTTGCATTCCAGCTGACAAATGGCCTGGACCCGGAGTTTTACCCCGGTGGAAACTGCTCGCAGTCAGGCATGGTGGTGGCTATCGTTGGAGAGTCAGGGTCCACACCTTCTATTAGTATGTCGCGCGTCATCGGCTCCTATAATATCCCTCAAGTAAATGTTTCAACTTTGATGTATTTGATGTGCGTCTTTGCTATTTTTTACGCATACTCTGTCTGAGAATTTCACTGCTTTCCGCTAGGTGAGCCACTTTGCCACATGCGCATGCCTGTCTGATAAGCAGCAGTACCCGACTTTCTTCAGAACTATCCCAAGTGATCAGTTTCAGGCTGACGCGCTGGCCAAGCTGGTCAAACACTTTGGCTGGACTTGGATCGGTGCTGTCAGGTCGGATTCAGACTATGGCAACAACGGCATGGAGTCTTTCTTGAACGCTGCGCGCAAAGAGGGGATCTGTGTGGAGTACTCTGAATCTTTCTACCGGACCCACCCAAAGAGTAGGATCCAGAGGGTGGCTGAGGTCATCCGCAGGTGTTCATATGATACCACACAGTGCTTTTGCTCCACATGATAAGTCAGATGAAGCATGTTGAAATCTGAAGTAGAAATTATCTGTCAAATCCTGTCTCTCTCTCTCTCCCACATTTTGTATTATAGGCCTGTTGCAGTAGGGGTCACTGAGACCACCATCATAAATTTAACACACCCCCATGCTGAAGGATGTGCATTTTTTTGTTTAAATTATCATAATAAATGCTCATGTCACATCCAGAAGGGTGTAAAATAATCCCATTTTCTGTTTCTCCAGGTCCACAGCTGTTGTTGTTGTAGCATTTGTAGCCTCTGGAGACCTCAGGATCCTGCTGGAGGAGCTGTCACTCAAGCCTTCCCCACCTCGCCAGTGGATAGGCAGTGAGTCCTGGGTGACCGACCCCAACATGCTGAGGTTCAGCTTCTGTGCCGGAGCTATCGGATTTGGTATTCAGCAATCTGTCATCCCAGGTTTCAGAGAGTTCTTGATGGATTTGTCTCCGGCTGAGGTTGCCACCTCTCCGGTTCTTACTGAGTTTTGGGAAGATGCATTCAAATGCAGGCTGGGGAAACGTGAGAAAGTTTTGAAAACAGTTAACCAAGTCATGAGCGAAAATATTAATCAAATATTATTGTTAGACCCTAAAATGATTCCTTCTGTGTGTTTCAGATGTGGCTGACGATGAAAGTTTGTGTGACGGTACTGAAGACATAAAGACACTCAGGAGTCCGTACACTGACACGTCTCAGCTCCGTATCACAAACATGGTGTACAAGGCTGTTTATGCAATAGCACATGCTATTCATAATACAGTGTGTCAGAGCAATGATACAACTCAGTGTGACAAATTCACTGGGATGGACTCCCAACAGGTGAATGAAAATGAGTCTCTGAGAATCCTAAAGCTTTTTACTGTTACTGGATGATCTTAATAAGTCACATTATTTCAAACCCCATTTGTCTGTTTTATCCTCACAGGTTCTTACTCAGCTGAAGAAAGTCAGCTTTTCCCAAAATGATTACCACGTGTCATTCGACGCCAACGGGGATCCTGTCGCCATGTATGAGCTGGTGAACTGGCAGAAGAGTGAAAGCGGCAGCATTGAGTTAGTGACAGTGGGACGCTATGATGCATCCCTGCCTGTTGGCAAGGAGTTTAACATCAACAGGAACCTCACTTGGATGGAGGGCGGCACACAAGTAAGTTGGAGTTTAGAGGCAGTGAACTGACATCTTTGATTTCAAGTCAGGTGGGAGCCACACGCTTTTCAGATTGCGTTATCTGTGTGTGTGAGTTGGGGTGTGGTCTTGGATATGGGGGGGGGCTGATTGTTTTAACTTGGAAAGCTCTTTGTGCTCCATTTCTTTTCGCCTGAAAGGTGCTATATAAATCAAGTTTGATATGATTTGATGTATGTTTTTTTGTCTCTATTTCTTATGAATATATTAGCTGTGAATAAATCAGACACACAGAAAGCCTTTTCGTAGAGGTATAGGACAGAATCCAGCTATTTTCCATGCAAATCTATGTCCTAGTTTAATGATATTTTGGCAATCTGGAATGGATTATTATTATTTCACAAGTAATACAAACAGCATACTGTTATGATATTTGAATACTACTAATAATGATGCATCAGATTTTATAGCGCTTTCTGTCAGTGACCTCAAAGTACTTTACACTGAATACATCATTCACTCGCTCACACAGTCACACCTTGGTGGTGGTAAACTACCTTAGTAGTCACAGCTGCCGTGGGGCAGACTGACGGAAACGTGGCTGCCAGTTTCCACCTACAGCCTCTCTGACCACCACCACACAACACTCACAATCACACACCAGTGGAGACACGCACTGGGAGCAAGGTGGGTTAAGTGTCTTGCCCAAGGACACAACAGACAGACTTGGGATAGGGCAGGGTTTGAACCGCCAACCCTCCAGTTATCGGTCGACCGCTCTACCTCCTGAGCTACTGCCGCCCATACTATTCAATAGCACATGTAAAAAATTTGATACAAACTTTTCAATATAAGTATTTTGTAGCAAAACTGAATATGTGTGAGTATGAATCTGTTCTCCAGGTGCCTGTGTCAGTGTGCACCGACAGCTGTCCTCCAGGAACCCGTAAAGTGCTGCAGAAAGGAAAGCCAATTTGCTGCTATGATTGTGTACCCTGTCCCGATGGAGAGATCAGCAACGCTACAGGTGAAATGTTCTCTAGAGCACATCCACAGATAACAATAAATAACTTATAGAGGTTAGCTCTGATTTATCCTTTCAGATTCTTCTGATTGTTTCCCTTGCCCTGAGGAGTTTTGGCCTAATGCAGAGAGGGACACATGTCTCCCCAAGCCTGTGGAGTTTCTGTCCTTCAGCGAGGTCCTGGGAATCATCCTGACTGCGTTCTCCGTTGGTGGTGCCTGTCTTGCTATTATGACAGCGGGTGTGTTCCTGCGTCACAGGGCAACTCCAATTGTGAGAGCGAACAACTCTGAGCTGAGCTTCCTGCTACTCTTCTCCCTGACTCTGTGCTTCTTATGTTCGTTAACTTTCATCGGCGCGCCGTCTGAGTGGTCCTGCATGCTGAGACACACAGCTTTTGGGATCACTTTTGTCCTCTGTATCTCTTGTGTACTTGGAAAAACCATAGTTGTGTTGATGGCCTTCAGAGCGACACTCCCAGGCAGTAATGTGATGAAGTGGTTTGGTCCTCCACAGCAAAGACTGACTGTAGTGTTTTTCACTTTTATTCAAGTGTTGATATGTACCATTTGGTTAATTTTCAGCCCCCCTTATCCACTGAAAAACCTAGTTATATACAAAGAGAGGATCATCCTGGAGTGCGCCCTAGGCTCAGCTGCTGGATTTTGGGCTGTGCTTGGCTACATTGGCCTACTTGCTGTTTTTTGCTTTGTTCTCGCTGTCCTCGCCCGTAAACTCCCTGATAACTTTAATGAAGCCAAGCTGATAACCTTCAGCATGCTAATATTCTGTGCCGTCTGGCTCACCTTTATCCCCGCATATGTCAGCTCCCCTGGGAAGTTTACTGTAGCTGTTGAGATATTTGCCATTCTTGCCTCTAGTTTTGGGCTCATACTGTGTATATTTGCCCCGAAATGTTTTATCATATTGTTTAAGCCGGAGAAAAACACCAAAAAACAAATGATGAACAAATATTAATTCTACAACAGTTAAGCTTTGGATATACTCAGGGCCTATGTCCATTGACAAACTTTATTTGTACTGCCAAGCCACATGACCTCAGTTTCAGAGAACTTCTCATCAATTTGGAAAGCTATTGAAAGGAAAGGTATGGTGGTGATATTGACGAACCCTGCAGTGCTCCAAATCTGAACTATTTTTAGCTGGGTGTGCTATTGGCATTGGTTGTTTTTTAAGAAAATCTCTGTAAATGGGCATAGCCCCATAATACTGCAACACGCAGTATCTTATCAATTTTATTATTGATAATTATTCAAATATCAAAGATACAAGTTTGTATTTGACCAAAAAATATTCTGATGGTTTTTCCATTTGTTTTTAATGTTTTTTTTTTTACAAAAAGAATTAATTATTGTCTGAAAACATGAATAATTAAATAAAGTTTAAATGAATTTTAATAACAGAAATGCTTCAAAGTGAGTTATTTCCCAGCATTTGAACTATGAAGCTGAATGTTTCTGTATAGCCTCAACAAAGTCCTGTAAAGCCACCAAAAGGAAAGCATTGTCCTCACCAGATTTCACATACAAAGACATTATCAACAGAGCATACAAAATATAAAGACAAACATAAGTACATAACAATAGTTAAAGACACATTTTAGAATCTGATTTGTTAGAGATTGTTTGCCTGCAGATGATGTGCCAACTTTCAATGGAAAAGTGAGTGTTTTTTGGACTTAGCCAGTTTTATGACACAAATGAAATTAACACTAATGCCTCTTGATATTTTTGTATGGAAACAACATACTCAAAAACTTAAAACTGAATCACAAAAAGTTTTAGATTGTTGCTACTTAAATATCTGATATCTTCTGACTGCACTTGAGTTAGCTTGCACACTGCATAGGCTCGTATGCAAGTGTGTTTCTAAAGACAATTCCGTAGGATCTAAGTCTGTATATTTTTGTGCTTGTGAGCAGGATCACTGTCCTCGGCCCATGATTGCTTTCTTTGTGTTCCTCTCTGGTCTCAGCAGGATTATGTAACATTTAGGTCCAAACAGTGCCACCAAGAGACCAAAACTGGAGGCCAGGATGGCAAATACCTCCACAGCATCGGCATATTTCCCTGGAGAGTTGACATAAGCAGGAACAAAGGCCACCCACACAGCACAGAAGATCAGCATGCTGAAAGTGATGAGTTTGGCCTCATTGAAGTTATCAGGTAGATTTCTTGCAAAAAATGCTAACAAGAAGCTGAGGGTCGCTAAAAGGCCAATATAGCCGAGTAAGACTGCAAAGCCAACAGTGGACCCAACTATGCATTCATAAACTATCTTGTCAGTATGATATTGAGTGTTTTTATGAGGAGCTGGTGAAGACAAGACGAGCCATGCAATGCAGATTACTGCCTGGATGGAAGTAAGAAGCAGAACTGTTCCTCTCTGCTGCATGGCACCAAACCACTTGAGAACAGCTCCACCTCCTGGTTTGGAGGCCTTGAACACAGCAATGACAACCATGGTTTTGACCAGAATACATGAGACACAAAGAACAAAGCTGATCCCAAACGCAGCATGTCTCAGCTGGCATGTCCACAGTCTGGGCCGACCAATAAACAGCAGTGAGCAGAGGAAACAAAGTTTTAGTGCCACCAGGAGCAGGAAGCTCAGCTCTGAATTGTTGGCCCGTACCATGGGTGTGCTGCGGTGATAGGTGAAGATTCCCAAAACAAAAGTACAAAGAAATGTGCCAAGCAGGGATGTGGTTGTCAGGCAGATTCCCAAAGGCTCCTGAAAAAAGAGGAACTCTGTTTTCTTGGGAACACAGTGGTCATGCCTGATGTTAGACCAAAAGTCCTCAGGACAGCTGGTGCACTCCATGGAGTCTGGGAGAAAAAGGGGTATGCTAACATAAATACTTAGATTGTTCCCTATAATCGTCACTAAAATAAAGACCTACCAGTTTTATTGCTGATCTTTCCATCAGAACATGGTATACAGTCAAAACAGCAGTGAGGTTTCCCCTTCTTTCTTGCCACACGGGTACCTGGAGGGCAGCTCTCACTGCACACTGACTTAGGTGGCTGCAGGGAGAAAACTCAGCACTTTTATTTAACCGGACAGTAAAGATTTCCAATGGACAAAGTAAAATGTTTCTAATAAGAGAAAATAACCTCTTTCAATGCAAAGTTCCAGAAGATTTTGTCTTCATCAAGTTTCAGCTCTTCACTGTTTGAGTCTGACCTCTTCACCTCACCCACAGTTTGAACTTTAGTTCTTCCATCAGGGAGCCACAGCCAGTTCATGATATCATATACAGGCAAGGCATCACCGTTCTCATCAAAGGACACTTGATCTCCAAATGATGTGGTGAAGTTGACCTTTTGTAAATAATGTAAAAGCTGAATGGATGAGATAAAACACTGTAAGTACAGCAGTTTGAATATGATCACGATGGCAAATAGTCTTCAGTGAATGAAGCTTTTCAAAACAGTGAAATGATCTCACACCTGCCATGGCTCTAGTCTCTTCAAACTTGCACAACTCTGCCCACTGAAAGGCCCTCTCCCAGGCAAACAGTGCAGCATGTCATTCAGGGCATGCGCTAGAGCGTACACAGCTTTGTAAACATTGTACTCAGGCCTGAGATTAGAAACATCTAAGAACTCAGTCCCCACCCTTCGCAGGTCTTCCTGCCCAGTGCACAGCACTCCCTCAGTCTCTAACCAACCTGCTGCAGGAGGTGTAAATTTGCACTGAAATGTGTGCTCCCAAAACTGTACCACCTGAGGAAAGAAAGAAAGAAAACAATCCGAATAATAAAATCGATGGGAAATTTAATTAGGTAAAGAAAAAGGTGCCCTACTAAGCTGTTTCCATAGCTGCTGTCGTAGTTTTGATCAGGACGTATCTGTAGGAGGAATTCCTTAAGTCCTGGTATTTCTCCTCGCCGGATGGCAATGCCCAGAGTGCCACCCAGGAACGGCATGAATTGCGGGGTGTGGAGCACAGTAGATGCTGTCCAGGCTTCACTTGCCATCCACTGCAGGCCAGTCACGTTTTGTTTGACTACCTGTCCGTTCCAAAATTCACATTAAAGAGTTTACAGGTCAAGTTTAGAAAGTCAAAAGAATGAATCAACTTTAAAGTTCCAATGAAATTTTTTTTATATTTTACATTCATAAAATAAACTGAAAACCTTATTCATGTCTTTTTGAGGATTTTCAAAAACACTAAACTATTAGTGGCAAGACTCACAATTTAAATTTTGTAATTCTTAATGCCTGAAGCTGGTGTGAGGGGGAGGTGTCGGCCTAAAATCTAGGAAAAAAAAGCTCCATCCTATATAATACTCACAATAAATGTTAAATATGACTGTCAAAAGTCAGCAGGTAGTTTTGGAGTTTTTTCTTACCTCCCTCATGAGGTGAATCATGTGAGTCTCATGTGCAAATACAATGACCACACGGGCTGTGGACTTCTTTATCAAGTCTACAATCTTTTCAAGTTCAGTTTGGTCATTTGCCCAAGGCAAAATCTCTGTGTAAGCCAGACAGCCTCCTCTAGACTGAGCCAAGTCAGACTGGAAGGATCGGGCAGCATGGAGCCCATAGTCATCGTCACTGACCAGAAGACCCACCCAAGTCCAGCTGAAGTGGTTTAGAATCTGGATCATAGCACGCACCTTTGTATTTGGAAAAAATTACAAATATAAAAATTCTGCAACAAATATGTATAATAGAAACAAGTTTATCTTTTGTATTATCAAACTTTGATCGCCTGAATACAAATAAAGCCTCCACACAAGAAGATCTAACCTATTTTATTCAGGATGAAGGTCAAAAGAGCTATAGCTGTTTTTTTGCTGCGTTTGTATACCTGGAAAGTATCACTCGGGATTGTTCTAAAGAAAGATGGGAAGCGTTGTCGATTGCTCAGGCAAGGACATGTGGCAAAGTAACTCACCTGTGAGAAACAAATGTGTGAACATATTGAAGTCATTTTCTCACAGGTTTGTAAATAAAACAGTGTCATGGGCAAATCTACAATGTAATATAAATAGAGCACATAACATCTCAAACAGTTGCAATTTGAAAAGGATTGAAGAGAAAAAACTTACAATGGGCAATCTGTACAAACCGATAACATCAGAGGTTGCAATTGTAAATGTAGAATATGAATCACCCACAATCCCCAGGACTGGGGTAGACCCTGCACAGGTCTCATCAAACAAAAACTGCTCCTCTCGACCGCTTGCCAGTGACAGAGATGCACGAAATGCATTTCCAAGTGTGCCACAGTTGTCATACAGACTATATCCCAGAGTCACGTTGGAGAGCAGATTGGGGTTCCTGTTGATCTCATTAATAGCAAAAGCCATGGTATGAGCATGTCTGAATCCTAGAATATCAAAACTGACACAGAATGGCATCATTAATGACAAAAAACCCCAACATTATTTCACTATGATAACTAGATAGAGATACACATATAAGACAGATCTGTGTTTATTAAACATCATCTCTAAAAAAACTCAGATAATTTGACTACACTGGCAGAATATCTACAATAAAGTGAGTATTTTAAAGCCTCAAAATGACCCAAGATCATGACAGACTTAGTAAGAGTTCAGACATGTTCCCTCCTCTCTCTACAACTCTTATAAGAGTAGAATAATTAACACAGTTTTCTGCCTGGATCTTACTCTTGGCATCTTGGTTGCTTTGGCTCTGAGGTGAAGGAAAGTTCAGAGAAAACGGATGAGAAGTGGATCTCAAACAGCCCACCCAGGACCACATCGCCTTCCATATGCATGCCATTAAGCTGAAACTTCCTCCGCAATTTACAAAGAGAAGAAGAAGAAGAAGAAAAGACACGCAGTAAGAGAGAGGAAGACAACAGAGCAAAGAAACGCAGGAAAGTGCTACCGAATGCACCCATAACCCCTCGATTTGCTCGACCCGTTGTTTTTTTAATTCTTTGTTACATTCGGGTAATTTTATATGTGGAGTTATGCCAACCCCTCTGAGTCACGTCATCATTTGTTTGGTCTGTTTTTACAGGTAGAGAAGAGGCAGTGCCAATTACACAGAGGCACTGCATTAAAAGATGAATATCACGATTGCATCTGTATTTTCTGCACACCCCAAAGAGTATGATGGTAATGGTTTTTTAATGGTTTGAGATATTAATGTTCACTTCTAATGCGGTGCTTTCAAATGGGTACCAAAAGGTCAGGCACATGATATTTCAAAAAGTTTATTTGGGGGGGAAAAATATAAACTTCAGTAAAAGCTGAATTCCCAGATTTGAAATGATCATAATCATTTTAAATAGTTGAGGCCAAGCAAACATCAAGCTTTGAAGTCCAGTAGGTGGTAGCAGTTTACCACGGTATCTCCGCTGACAAACTGAAGAAGAACTTAGAAACCTATAATTAAGGGCAACCATTCTTTTTTGTAATGAACACCTCTAGCAAAGCAAACAAAAACGTTTTACATTTGACAGTTGTGTGTCTAAAAGAACATCAAGTCATTCTTGTTTAGCTACCAAAGCAACTTTATACATTAAAAGATATAGTTGGACCATTTGTGAAATTCAACCAGCCCTTTACTTCTTTTTCCAATCACAGCAACCAGAACACTTGCATGTACTGGATTATTTACATTTGCATTATTTTCACAAGGCTATTCATTTCATGTTATTACACTGCTATTGTGACATTATCATTTTTTTCTGTAATTATTTTTCTAGAATATCTCAGTAAGTTTTAAAACTTATATCCTCATAATTAGGACAATTACTTCTATGACTTAAGTCATTACCATTTTTTCCCTGTAGTTTTCTTCTTTACCATATCATATGATACAGTACTTAATGACACAATATCACACCACACGACACAATAGATACAATACGATATGAAACAATTCAAGACCATATGATATGAAATATAGTGGTCTATGAAATAAAATAAAATGAAATGATGATGTGGAATTATATTGTCAGATATAACATGATACGTCTCTTATACTTTACTATGTAGGTTTAATATGATATGAATGTGTGTAGATAAGGGTGTCAGTTATTATAAATTTAACTTGATCTATTATGGATTTGTGTTCTCTGTACATCAGATCTGGCTGACAAAATGTCAGAAAGGCCTGCCATTAGACACCAGAGACAAAAGATCCTAAAACTTTTGACTTCAAAGTGACACAATGAAGGGATTTGAGTAGCTTGTACCTGACCGTATAGTTCCATATTTGTATTTTATTTCACTAATCAAAATAGTCACGGGTCAGTTTCATGTGCATTGAAACAACTGAGTCCCAAATATTATATTTTCGTAAGCACCCCAGGTCTAACCATCCAAACAGGTTTAAAGTTTGTAAAGTAAAAGTACTGCCTCTTACTCATCTCTCCTAAAACTTTTCATGTGGCTTTTCACATGAGACACGTCTTGGCTTTTCTCCTGAACTTTCACTTTACCTTGTGATTGGTCCATCTGCTGATGACGCACGTTACATATGAAATGAGGCAAATATCAGAGATTTTAAATGGTCCCTGTCAGAGACTCTCAGAGGTTATGCTAGAGAACAGTAGCACAATCAAAGTCTTTATGGCCTCAGTATGGACTCTGCACCGTTTTTCATGGCATTACTCCCGCTCCTTTTTCTGGTGTTTTCTGATGTTTTTAAATGTGTGAATGGAAGGAACGGACTACATTTGGAGGAGGAGGATGAGAGTATATCAAAGAGGCTGGGTGGTCTGGGTGATGATGATTCTGACTTAAATCAGTGTGTAAAACTGAGCGACAGTGAGCCTCTGGCTCTGCAGTCTGGGGGGGATGTTGTAATTGGAGGATTTTTTCCTTTGCATTTTGTTGCCCCTGAGCCACAGCACAACTACCAAAGCAAGCCTCAGCTCACACCTTGCAGTGGGTGAGGGAAATCTTCACATCTGGTTTTGTTTTACATTAAATATAATAGCAACTAATTATGTCCTTTTGCCCACAGTTTTCCTTGCTCTGTTTTTACGTACTGATTTACACTGTGCTTTTATAATGTGTCTGATAAATTACAGGAACAGCATTGTACCTTTGCTAATTCTTCTGCAGCTTTGACCACAGAGCATTTCGCTGGATGATGACTATGGTGTTTGCGGTGGAGGAAATTAACCATAATGCAAGCTTGTTGCCTGGTGTTAAACTAGGTTACAGGATCTTGGACAGCTGTGACCATGTTCACACCAGCCTGCGGGCTCTTTTCCCTTTAGTTAAACACTTCGAAGATATGCCAGAAGACAACAGTACTATGATAAAGGAAGCAAAGACACCTGACGAAAGCAGTCATGACAGAAAACTCTCAGCTGTGAATGAGAAAGGCAGTGAGCTTGATAATTATAATGAGGACAACAGAAGGGAAAATGTGACAGAGAAAAGACTGAATGGTGTCAGTTTAAAAAAAGTGTCCCCATGTCTGGTTGATTCTCCTGTACCTGCGGTGATCGGCCTTGCATCGTCTTCCCCCACAAGAGCTGTGGCTCAAACTCTTGGCCCTTTCAACATCCCACTTGTAAGGAAAAACAACAAAAAGACAGAATCATGCACAATATTTCTGTTTTGCACAGGCTTCCTTTTCTACAACGATCATTTGTTGTAAAAAATCCCACAACATGTAAAAAAAACTCTTACAGTGGATTCAATTTTAATCTCAGATTAAGTAAATTTTATTTACCTTTAGGTGAGTTATTTTGCCACTTGCACCTGCCTCACCGACAAGCAAATGTACCCGTCATTCTTGCGGACTGTACCCAATGATCTCTTTCAAGTTCGAGGTCTTGTTCAGCTGGTCACTTTCTTTGGCTGGCTCTGGGTGGGCACAGTAGGAACCATGGTGAGATTGAATCTTTTTTAATATTAAGTCCGTTATTAAAGCACACTTGCATGGTTTGTGACACTTCTCTCTGCTTGTTTCAGAATGACTACAGTCAATATGGTATCCAAGCCTTTTCTAACCAGTTTAAAGAACGAGGTGGTTGTTTGGCATTTCATTTGGCAATCCCCAAATCACCCACAGAGTCTGAGATTCGAGAAATGGTGGACAGGCTGCAGAGCTCTACCGCACAAGTAGTGGTTGTCTTTGCAACCGAGGGACAGCTGGTGGATCTATTTGTAGAAGTAAGTGCTCTGCATTTCAGTTCATTTTAAATTTTTCAGTGAAGACCAAACAAAAAGAGTGATACTGCTCAGGGGATACTCTGCTCATATTTGTGTCTTATTTTCTAGTTGACTAAAAGAAATGTGACAGGGATCCAGTGGGTTGCTAGTGAGGCCTGGGTGACTGCTACTCTTCTGACCTCCCCACAATTTCACCCTCTCCTGGAGGGCACTCTGGGCTTCTCCTTCCCCGGAGTCAGAATCCCGGGCTTGAAAGAGTTCCTGCTGAATGTCCGCCCCTCCCCTGAGCCTGGGATGGGATTCGTCAACATGTTCTGGGAAAGGCTGTTTGACTGCAGGCTTGACTTTGAAAATGACACGTTCAGAGCAAATGATGCAGACAAAGAGGATAACTTCAATAAATTGCATTCTCTTAGTTACAAAGCAAGCTCTCAGAATATCCCTGGTTTTCTCATCAGACAGATTTCTGCAAACACAAGTGCATTCAAAGCAGCTGCTGTCAACACCTATGAAGGTGATGGTGAAAGGCCTGTGTGCAGTGGCTCAGAAGATCTGAGATACACTGACAGCAGTTACACGGATGTATCTCAGGTCAGAATATCTTATAATGTGTATAAAGCTGTGTATGCCATCGCCCATGCTTTGCACACTTTAATGAACTGCAAGGGAAAATGTGAGAAAGATAAACCCTTTACTTCAAAGCAGGTGAGCAAACCAAGAGTGAAAATAGATAATTATTTCCTGCATTTTCTTGCCTCTTCTGTATTTTTTAAGATCTTATTCTTTACACAGCTGCTGTATCATCTGAAGACAGTGAATTTCACTGACCAGTTTGGGGAAAAGGTACATTTTGACTCCAACGGAGAGCCAGTCCCTCTCTATGATATCATTAACTGGCAGAAGGACGGCAACGGTGAAATTAGGTGGAATATAACTTTTCAAGACACAGCAATAATGCATCTGTTGGAAAAATCATCAATGAGAGACATTATCGCAAATGTATTATGCAGTTACTGAGGCACATAACCTTTCATGCTGTGGTTAGATTTGTCAAAGTGGGGAGTTATGACGGTTCAGCTCCACCGGGACATCAGCTGCAGCTGGAACAGAGCACCATAGTATGGACTAAAGGACAGTCACAGGTGAGTTAAGACTGAAGTGATTTATCTGAAATTAAGTGCTGGTGGAAAATGAAGGATTTTCCACCAGCATATGTGATCTCGAGAAAAGAGATCCCTGGTGTGTAATTTTAAGCCTTGTTTTTTCAGGTGCCTGTATCTCAGTGTAGCGTCCCCTGCTCTCCTGGAAGCAGGCAGGCCAGGCGTCCAGGAGAGCCCCGCTGCTGCTTTGACTGTTTACCATGTGCTGATGGAGAGATCAGCAACCAGACTGGTATCGAATAATGTTTTTCTTTAAATTCATTTTACAGCTTGTAAGTAACAAAAGGTCATAAAAGCAACATGAATACTGCACAATTAGGAGGTACATAAAGAGATGTTTTGCCGGTTGCAAACAGAGGACATGTATGCGTATGTGTTCTTTAAGGTTCCACCGAGTGCACTAAGTGTCCAGAGTACTACTGGTCAGACAAAGACAAGGTGAAATGTGTTGCTGGGGTTGAAGAGTTCCTGTCTTTTAAGGAAACCATGGGCATCATCCTGACCACACTCACACTGCTGGGCGTCATCCTGACCACCACCATCACTGCCATCTTTCACCGTTTCCGTTTCACACCGATTGTCAAAGCAAACAACTCCGAGATCAGTTTCCTGCTTCTGCTTTCCCTCAAGCTTTGCTTCTTGTGCTCCCTGGTGTTCATCGGCCAGCCATCTGAGTGGAAATGCCGACTGCGCCAGGCGGCATTTGGGATCAGCTTCGTTCTCTGCCTGTCCTGCCTCCTTGTGAAGACCATTGTGGTTCTCTTGGCCTTTCGGGCTAATGCACCGGGTACCAGGGCTCTGAAGCTGTTTGGCCCGTCTCAACAGAGGACTCTGATCCTTTGCACCACAATTCCTCAGGTGCAGGATTTGAATCAGCTCCAAAATAACTTGTCTCTAGTTTACGCTCGTTGTGCTATTTTTAGTTTTTATATAAATCGTATCCTTCTCTCTCCCCATTAGGTTTGTCTCTGTGCTGCTTGGCTGTTGTGCACACCTCCATTTCCATTCAGGAACCCAACCTACCAAGCTACAACTGGAAAAGTAAGAACAAGCAGTGTCCCATTGTGTTTTTTGATCAACCACTCAAGGTCTTAAAAGTCAGTAATGTTTAAATCAAAGACATAGGGGCTATGGCGTCTACTGCAGAGACCCGATAGGCTCCAATAACAATACAAAATGCTATTTCATTATCTCTAACTCTTGTGTGGTTTAACTTTATTAGATTGTTTTGGAGTGTAAGGAGCCATGGCCTCCAGGTTTTTATCTGGTCCTGGGCTACATTGGCCTGCTTGCCTTCCTCTGCCTCCTCTTGGCCTATCTCGGGCGCAAACTGCCGGATACATTCAACGAGGCGAAGCTGATCACCTTCAGCATGCTCATCTTCTGGGCTGTGTGGATCTCTTTTATCCCAGCTTATGTCAGCTCTCCTGGAAAGTTCACTGTAGCTGTGGAAGTATTTGCTATATTAGCCTCCAGCTTTGGACTGTTACTGTGTATTTTTGTACCTAAATGTTATATAATTTTACTGATGCCTGAGAAAAACATTAAGAAAGGCATGACAGGAAAATATCCCAGATGAACAATTTTGTGTTAGATGGTTATTTCTAGCAGCAAAAATGACATACGATATATATTTTTAGTATTATAAAAAACATAAAATAATTTTAAGTGCTTGGTATTTGATGCTACATTAAATAAAATTCCATGTAAAACTAAACGTTTTTCTTTCACTTTGTTGATCTGTACATAAACAAATAATACCCCTAGAGTCCAACGCATGGAACTGCATTTCATCACAAATTTATAGAAACAATAAAATCTACTTGTAGTTATGGAGGAGAGACTATTTTGTCAGATAACTAATGAATCTGACAACATTTAATACAAAACAAATCACACTAATCTGAATGTATGTAATGTGTGGTCAAATTTTAGCAAAATTTGGTAAGACTCATGATGTGTTGCGACTTGATAAGATTACTTTTATAAATGCAATCCCACCTGAAAAATCAAATGGGAATCTGCAATGAAGACATTAGCCTGTTAGCCAGTTGGCATCATGCTAGCTCAGGTCTGTCATTTATAATCCACTGCAAAACTTAAATTACTTTAACATGTACTTGAAAGCATATTACAAACCTAAATATTAGGAAAGTGAGGAGTTCTGGAAGCACATTACTCATCCCGCAGAGTCACAGAGGTAAAAGTGGATTCCTTATTGACTCCCCTCCATGCACAGTAAAGTGGAAATGAGGCCTTTACTTGATAAGAGGTGCATTTGAGTATTTTGCTTTTTTAACAACAAAAAAGTGTTACTTTTCTTAGCAAGTGTAAAAATCATTCAGTGAAGGAATCTGCATGTTTAAAGTGCAATTCAGATACATCATAGGTGAAAACCCACTTCTACTTCCATAAAAAGTTTGCGTTTAAAAAGAGAGTATGAGCACTGTAACTCTCCAGAAAGTATGACTGACTTTAATAAAAATACCAGGTTCACATGCATAAAATTTTAAAGATTAAAAGTATATTTGTCAAGAGTGTATTTATTCAATAGATATATAGATAGATAGATTTTTATGTATATCAATCAATCAATAAAACAATCAGTCAAACTTTATTTACATAGCTTAATTTTACAAAAATGTTAACCTAAAAGCAAACCACACTCTTTGTTATGGTTATAACTAAGAGCCAATGTCAATAATATAAAATATACCTGAAGTATTCAGTGTATAAAGTGACACTTTTTATCAAGTTAAATTACAATGCATCTAAAAACAAGAGAAAATTTATACAACTGTTGTGAACACTAACCCCACATGTGGATGCAAGTGTGTATAATATGAAATGCTGCATAAGATTGCTGTACCAAGGTGTTACTGTCTTATTTCAAATAAAATTGAGAATAAAAAAGTCAAATCATCCATGAAAAAAAACAAACAAATATATATCACCCTTTTCTCAGACTTTTCCCATGACATGTCTCTTGGTATTTTTCTCCGGCTTTATCAATATGATGTAACACTTTGGAGCAAATATGCTAATTAATAATCCAAATGCTGATGATAAAATAGCAAATATCTCCACAGCTACAGTGAACTTCCCAGGAGAGCTGACATAAGCTGGGATAAAGGTGATCCAGACAGCACAGAATATCAGCATGCTGAAGGTGATGAATTTAGCCTCATTAAAGTTATCAGGAAGCTTTCTCGCTAGAAATGCCAGGGCCAAACAAAGTATTGCGAGGATCCCAATGTACCCCAGTACTGAGTAAAACGGAGCCTCAGAGCCTGTGTTACACTCCAGAACAATCTTCTTATTGCTGTATGTGAAAACCATGTCTGGGAAAGGTGGCTTTAATTTGAGCCACAACACACATATGACTATCTGAATCAAAGTGCAGGAGCAAACGATGATCCTCTGCTGTGCAGGTCCAAACTTTTCTGCAACTTTCTTGCCAGGGATGGTGGCCCTGAAAGCTGTGACTACAACAATAGTTTTACCTAAGACACAGGAAATACAAAGAGCAAAGGTCACACCGAAAGCTGTGTGTCGCAGCATGCATGTCCAGACTGTGGGTCTGCCAATGAAGGTGAGAGGACAGAGAAAACACAAGAAAAGAGAAAACAAAAGGAAACAGCTGAGCCCAGAGTTGCTGGCCCTTATGACAGGAGTTTCTCTGTAGCAGATAAAGACGATCATTGTGACCAAAGACAGTGAAGCACCCAGCAGGGATACGACCGCAAGAACTATTCCCATTGGCTCAGCATATGCCAAGAACTCAACAGTTTTAGGAATACACTCATCTTTCCTCTCATTGGACCAGAACTCCCGAGGACAGGGAGTGCAGTCAGTGGCACCTGTTGAACATGAACAGAGATATTAAGCTCTGTGTATGTTCATAAAAATTACAAGAGTTACAAATAAATGTGTGGATTTAATAGAGACCAAAAAAAGGCTTTGCCTTTAACAATGAGGGGTATACAAAGAAGATATTTTTACTATGATACCAAACTTTGTACAATTGTAATTTTCACAAACACGCCTTTTATACCTGTTGAGTTGGCTATTGTTCCATCTGCACACAGGATACAGTCAAAGCAGCAGATTGGTTTTCCTTTGATTCGAGCTTTTCTTGTTCCTACTGGACAATCTGCAGAACATATTGATGTTGGAATCTGGGAAAACAAGGTCAAAAACTGATGAAAAGAAGATTTTTTGTACCTGTACTTCGCTAATGTATGAAAAAGCCATCAAAGTTACCCTTTCCCCTGTCCTCCACACAATGTCTTTGTCATTGATGCTGAGTTTATAGTCACCATCAGCAGTAGAAGTAAAATTTCCCACTGTGACATAATGCACCTGACCGTCTCTCAGCTGCCAGTTAATTATATCATAAGAAGCAGGAGGGTCACCATTGGCATCAAAAAACACATCATCCCCAAACTGATTCCTGAAATTCACTTTTTGTAGGTGATCAGTGACCTGAGTAAAGAAGCACAGTATTTATTATTGTTAAGACTAAAAAGAGATTGTAAATTTTACTAGTAAGATTTCTCACCTCCTTGGGCTGAATATCCGATAAATTCAAACATGGTTTCATGATTTTTCCTCCAACTGGTTGGCAGAAAACCAGCTGATGCAGGGCGTGAGCAATAGCATAAACTGCTTTATAGACATTATAAGACACTCGGAGCTGAGTGACATCGAAGAACACATCCTGGAGGTCCATGAAAGTCTCATTGCCTGTGCATACTTCATGCATTGTCTCAGTGCCTGTGTGCTCTCCAGGTGAAACAGGTCTGCAGCCCACCATCATCCCCCAGAAATCCTTTACAAAGGCTGCACTTGGATCAGTATAGGGGCTAATGTTTGTGAGAAATGGTTTCAGTTTTGGAATCGCCATCTTCTGCATCACAAACCCCAAAGCACCACCAAAAGCTTGGTACATTTCAGGTGTTGAGAGTTGAATCGCTGTGATCCAGGCTTCACTGGCAATCCACTGAATTCCTGTAATGTTCTGTTTCACAACCTCTTGCATGAAATGGTAAAAGTCGGCATCTGAGACAAAAGCAAGGATGACCTTGACTGTTGACTGCTTGATTGTTTCGACAATATTTCGAATTTTAGCCATAGTGTAAGTGTTGAACAAAGGTTTGACGAATGCAATGCAAACTCCATGTTTTTTAACCTCATTGGCAAAAGCCTTGTATCCGTTATATCCATATTCATTGTCTGAGTGTATGACTCCAATCCACTGCCAACCAAAGCGTTTAACCAGAGCTGCTAAAGCTTTGGCCTGGAAATAATCGCTGGGAATTGTTCGAAAAAATGATGGATATTTAGCTCTGTCACTGAGGCAGGCACATGTTGAGAAGTAGCTCACCTGCAAAGAAACAGTCAGAAAAAAACAGTCAACTTTAAACCAATCATTGAAAATAACTCTTAATCACTTTTCCAAAAAAACTTCATCTCTGCTCCTTAAAAAAAGGAGGGTGTTGCATGACTTACAAAGCCGTTCGTTAACATTACTTTTAAACCATCTTGTGCCATTCCTAGCTTTCAATAGCTCGAAAATTTCTATTCTTTTTATTTCTATTCTCTTTGTTTGTGTTTCTGCTTTTTTTTTTTTTTTTTTGTATTATTTCAGTTCAGTTAAAATCAGTTTTTATTGCTGAATTATTGGTTTGGTTTTTTGAAATGCTTCATTTCATATGTATTTTTTTTTATTTCTTATCTAGCTATTTATTCATCATTTCATTGTTACTATTTATCAATATGGAGAGTTTATCAGGGTTATTACCTCCAAATATTGATCATTGCGTTGAAAAAAAAAAAATATATATATATATATATATATCATATTATTTGGCTGATGTCATAACACAGATACAATTATAAACTAGGACCCCGTTGGGGCACTGGCGGGCCCGAGCCGTGTCGCGTCCCCCCCCAACGTGCTGCCTCCCCGTCCCATTTGTGTCCTCTGGCCATCGCCCTCTCTGGTAACGCCCATCACTGCAAAGACCCTTTTCCTTCATCGGCGTTTGCTGTTCTTCCTGCCAGTGCGTGTTGCTTTCACTTACACTTGCCACAGCCAGCCTCGTGAGTGCCTAGCCTATTGGATATCACTGTCACCTACACAGGACAGTCATTACCTTTCTATTAATACTTTGTGTTTTAATTTCACATTAATTTCCATATTGTATAAACGACTGGAAAAAACTTGAGCCCCTGCCCCTGTATAATCATGTGCATGTCTCTGTTCTAGCTCCAAGGTGAATCTTCACTGCTCATGTTCTCCTCAGAAGCACTCACCTCACTCCCCTCAGGTTACTGTACACATGCACCAACTGCCTGCTTCAGGTTTGGATGGAGCTTCATGGTTGTCTTTTGGAGAAATGACCAGTCAAGTTGTGTTTGAAATTTGTTTTTTTTCAGGGGCAAAAGGAGCCTCTGCATTCTTGTCAAATATGTAAATAGCATGTTTTTGCAGGTGCTAAAAACCAGACTCTGAGTGTGTGTGTGTGTGTGTGTGTGTGTGTGTGTGTGTGTGTGTGTGTGTGTGTGCGTGTGTGTGTGTCTATGTGTGCGTTCAAGTCACATGACATATTTAACCTGATGTAGCTGCAAGACGGAGCCTCGTTGACTCTCCGTTTCAACTTATCTCAAAAGTGAGGACCTCAACCTATATACCAGTTTTTAAATTGTGTTGATAGGCCAAATAAAACCAGAGTTATGATAAATTATGTCCGCGATACTTTTTTTCTGCTTATTTTGATCACGTTCGGCGCTCGATCGCGCTGTATGAGACAGGAAAACATAGCATGCAGACATTAGCGACAGGTCTTACAGGCGGAAAAGGCTTGCCAAAAGAAAAAAAAAACACACCACAACATCTCTCCTATTGGTGGAAAACTTCACCACAACAACCAATCCAAAATTATATGGTGACTGATTGACAAGGGGCGGGCGCTTACGTTCTTCCTGCAACATGAGAAGGGAGGGAGGGACTCTCAGCAGGGATGCAGTCTGGGACACGTAGTTGCAAACCTAGCGACTTTGTTGTTAGATTCAATGACTTTTCAGACACCCTAACGACTTTTTTTAGAAAGAAAGGGACTTTTATCGACTTCTTCTGGAGTTTAGAGACTCTGACATGAAGCAGGCTTTCCTTACTGAGGAGTTAGCAACGCTGCTAAGGGTGCAGAGCCACACATGCGCTCAGAGCTCTGCATGGGAGACTGAAGCTGACAGAGCTGCAGCAGTTAGCAGGTTTCACCCTCAGAGACCACCAGGGGTTCATGTTGAGGCATTTTAATTTTTTTTTTTTTTTGTGCCATAGACACTGTCAGCAAAATCTGCAGTTACACTAACAAAAATGCTGCAAAAAACAAAGAATTATGGAAAAATTACACATGGACTGACATAGAGGAGGATCTACACAAGTTTTTTACATCATGTTTTACATCATGCATCATTTACATCATGTTTTTTTGTAGTGGCATAAATAAAAAGTGACATTTGTGAGACTATACAGTGTTTTGTAAATAATTTTACAAAGAACGCCTGGGCCATTGCCTGCATTTTGATGTAAATAGAGGTAAATTACTATGTTCTTTGTTAAAAATTTGCATATGTTTTGAAGTTTACAATTTTTATTTGAAGTTTAAGTTTTAAAAACAGTTCATCACACATATTTGTGGTTTAATTTCACATTAATTTCCATATTGTATAAATGACTGGAAAAAACTTGAGCCCCTGCCCCTGTATAATCATGTGCACGTCCCTGTTCTAGCTCCAAGGTGAATCTTCACTGCTCATGTTCTCCTCAGAAATAGTCACCTCACTCCCCTCAGGTTACTGTACACATGCACCAACTATCTGCTTCAGGTTTGAAATGGAGCTTCATGGTTGTCTTTTGGAGAAATGAACAGTCAAGTTGTGTTTGAAATTTGATTTTTTTCAGGGGCAAAAGGAAGCCTCTGCATTCTTGTCAAATATGTAAACAGCATGTTTTTGCAGGTGCTAAAAAACAGACTCTGAGTGTGTGTGTGTGTCTGTGTGTGTGTGTGTGTGTGTGTGTGTGTGTGTGTGTGTGTGTATGTTGGCGTGTGTGTATATGTGTGTGTATCCTGCAGTACTCTGTACTCCTGCAGTGGCCAAAAAGACTTTTAAGAATGTGGATTTTTGGGTCATCTTTGGCGCCCCCTAGAACTGCAGTACTCTGTACTCCTGCAGTGGCCAAAATGACTTTTAAGAATGTGGATTTTTGGGTCATCTTTGGCGCCCCCTAGAACGTAAACCGTGGGGTGCAGCGTCATGATTTTTACAACTTTGAATGGGCATGGGGTGTAGCTTGCCCTGAGCAAATTTGGTATCGGTGGGACGAAAGCCTTAGGAGGAGATAGCCACATTCCAATGTGTGCGAATCGGCAAAAAATGCAAAATAGCCCTTTAACCGTACATTATACAGATACGCGCTCTTTGACTTTTTCGTAGATCTAATTGAGATACACGTGATTGTCAATTTTTGTGTCAATATGACAAAGCGTTCAGGCGTGACACTCAACAATGTGTATTTTTATGTAAGGGGACAAGAAAAAATTGACTTTTTTCTCCTACCATGGGGGGGCGCTCTTTTGGGGAGTAAAAATTCCTTCACAAATGTGTTGATGGCTGGACATTGCATCATCCTAGAAAACTTGGAGGCCAGTGAGGACAAAAATAAAAAGTTATAAAACATTTAAGAATGTGGATTTTTGGGTTATTTTTGGCGCCCCCTAGAACCTAAACCATGGGGTGCAGCATCATGATTTGAATAACTTTTAATGGCCATGGGGTGTAGATTGGCCTGAGCAAATGTGGTGCCGGTGGAACGAAAGCCTTCGGAGGAGTTAGCGAAATTCCAATGTGTGCGTATCGGCAAAAAATGCGGAATAACCCTTTAACTGTACATTTGACAGATACGCGCGCTGGACTTTTTTGTAGATCTTATTGAGTTACATGTGTGTGTCAATTTTTGTGTCATTTTGACAAAGCGTATAGGCGTGACACTCAACAATGTGTATTTTCACCTTAGGGGACAAGAAAAAATTGACTTTTTTCTCCTGCCATGGGGGGGCGCTCTTTTGGGGAGTAAAAATTCCTTCACAAATGTGTTGATGGCTGGACATTGCATCATCCTAGAAAACTTGGAGGCCAGTGAGGACAAAAATAAAAAGTTATAAGACTTTTAAATATGTGGATTTTAGTGTTATCTTTGGCGCCCCCTAGAACCTAAACCTTGGGGTGCAGCGTCATGATTTTGATAACTTTTAATGGCCACGGGGTGTAGATTGGCCTGAGCAAATGTGGTGCCGGTGGAACGAAAGCCTTCGGAGGAGTTAGCGAAATTCCAATGTGTGCGGATCGGCAAAAAATGCGAAATAACCCTTTAACCGTAATTTTGACAGATACGGCCGCACTGACTTTTTTGTAGATCTTATTGAGATACATATGTGTGTCAATTTTTGTGTCAATATGACAACGCGTACAGGCGTGACAGTCAATAGTGTGAATTTCCACCTTAGGGGGCGCTATGGAGCCATTTTGCATTTTATTGTTTGGGCGACTTCAGAATATCGAATTTTTCACCAGGCCCGGTCGTCCTGCCAAATTTCATGAGTTTTCGCCAGTGGGAAGTGGGCCATTTTCCAGTTCAAAGGGGAGGAAAAAGAAGAAACTAGGGCCCCGGTGGGGCACTGTCGGGCCCGAGCCGCGTCGCGCCGCCCCCAGCGCGACCGCCTCCCCCTCCCGATCGCGTCACACTCAAGGTCCAAAGATGGTGTGCGCACTTGTCTGTGGTCATTTCCCATTATAATGAATGGGAGGCGCAGTTTCTACCAAAACACTCGCTACAGACAAACTACATGTCCTATTTGAAAAAAGTCTGATCCATGAGTGAGGGCACAAACACAGCTAGGATATATCCAAACGGCAAGTTGCTCCTCGTTACGGTGTTGCCGGGAGAGCGATGCGATTGAGCCATTGAGTGATGGGCAGGAAAAACTTGACTGTTTCTCCTGCCATGGGGGATGGGGGATGGGGGATGGGGGGGGGGGGATGTGGATTCTTTTAAGAATGTGGATATTTGGGTCATCTTTGGCGCCCCCTAGAACGTAAACCGTGGGGTGCAGCGTCATGATTTTTACAACTCTGAATGGCCATGGGGTGTAGATTGGCCTGAGCAAATTTGGTGTCAGTGGGATGAAAGCCTTAGGAGGAGTTAGCCACATTCCAATGTGTGCGAATCGGCAAAAAATGCAAAATAGCCCTTTAACCGTACATTTTACAGATACGCGCGCATTGACTTTTTCGTAGATCTTATTGAGATACATGTGATTCTCAAATTTTGTGTCAATATGACAAAGCGTACAGGTATGACAGTCAACAATGTGTATTCTCACCTTATGGGACAAGAAAAAATGGACTTTTTTCTCCTGCCATGGGGGGCGCTCTTTTGGGGAGTAAAAATTCCTTCACAAATGTGTTGATGGCTGGACATTGCATCA